AGCTCTCTGTCCCTTTCAGAGAAGCCCACCCAGTCCCCGCCATCGCGGAGTCAGCACTGGGATGTCGACGGGGCTGAGGGCGAGCACGAGCAATCGAAAGTCTCCCTCCCGTCGATTTTTACGACATTCGAAGACTCGTACCGCCCTGAACGACGCGCATCGCTCCCGACGCTCAGCTCGAATGTGCGCCACCAGCCATACCCTGCGTCCCAGCTGCGACAGCCAGTCTACGCCCCGTCGTCCCTGTCGTCTTACACGTTCCCCCCAAACAATTCTGAGTCCGGGCAAGAGCGGGGACTGGTGCGTCCGTCCGTGTCAACGGATCTACGATTCGACTATGACAACGGCTATCCCTCTGGGACGACGCCTGGGGCGTCGGCGGCCTCCTCTACGACTTCGTATTCGGCGCATTTGTCGCCCTACAACGAGAGCGACCACTGGACCACATCCCCATCTGGGATTGTCCGGCCGAGCTCAACCCCGGGTCAAATGTCTCAAAGTCCGGCCGTCAAATATGAGGACGGGTTACGCCATTCTTCATTTAGCGGTCAGATGTTCGCACACTCGGCTCGTATTTCGGGCCATCATCTTGCAGATCGCAGGTCGCTGTCGTCGGGTATAAAAGGTGAATGGTTCCCCCAGCCAGAATACCCTCTCTCTGGCTATCCCTCCATGCCACCGGCCCCGACGCTCAACTCCGGTTCCCGATCCCCACAGGGCGGCCCTGCTTCCGTCGACCGCCCCACTCGCAAGCGTGGTAAACTTCCCAAGGAGACCACCGACTTCTTGAAGTCTTGGCTTCATCGTCATTCCGACCATCCGTACCCGTCCGAGGAGGAGAAAAAGCAGCTGTGCCATGCCACGGGCCTCAGCATGTCCCAAGTGTCGAATTGGATGATCAACGTGAGTCTTCGTCCTCGTCGTCGCTGCTCTCCCGCCCCAACCTTCCTTCATTAATCACACCTGTCACTCCAAACGCCGTCGTCCCTTGTTTTATCTCCATCACTGACACTCATCTGCAGGCTCGTCGACGTATCCTTGCGCCCGCTCATCGCGCTGCGGCTAGCCCAACTACCACCGCACCATATCCATCTCCCGCCGGTCGCAGTGCATCGCTCAACGGACTCATGGACGCGCGCCGCGCCTCGCTCCCCAGCGCAGATAGTCTCCAGCTCTACCATCCGATGACCCTGCAGTCCCTTCCTTCTGCCCATCCGCATCATCCCCACCACCCACATCACGGCCCACCACATTCGGCCTACCCGCACGGGCACGATATGGGGTACCGTGGGCCGCCGCTACGCATGGGACCGGGCGTCGGGCTAGACTATGGCCCTAGACCCCCGATGTATGCGGGCGGCCCTGGGACCGGCAATGCGTACGGGGTTCCGCTCAGCGCGCCAGCGAGCATGGCTGGGCCAGGGAACCCATTCTCGCCGCCGCCAGGGTATCACCTGCCCAGCCCTAGGGAGGAAGGTCGTGGTGGTGGTGGTGGTGGTGCTTACTTTGATGGGCCGCCGCCGCCAGCGGGACCGGGGGGGAGCCCCAATCCGGGGCACAGTCCTGGGGCCAACGGACATGACTCGGCGCCGGGCAGTGGATATGGGACCCCGCAATAAGCGGTTCTCTCTGTGTGGTGATGATCACCACTGCTGATCGGGCAAGTTCGTCGAGACCCCTTGCTCGATTCCTTACCCGGTCACTTTGTTCGTCCTGCGGGAAGCATCGTCGGTCTCGGGTGCACTTGCGTCGAAGAAACTGGCGTGCCCACCAAAATCTGTCGTGCGCTGTTATGGACGCTACATAGTGGTCTCGTGTCCTGCGCATTATTTATTCCCGCATCTTTGTCGCTGCTGCCTGTTTTGCCTGAATGTACCTGCTCGTGTGTAACATGATACCCTCTGCTTGCTAGATCTCTTGCATCGCTCTGAATCAATTGTACTTGATATCGATATCCCCACTAATAATTATTCTGTATTTCACTATTATTTTACGATAGCGCCAAGGGTCGTCCGATTCCGCCGCCGGTGAGCAGCAGCCCCTGGCGAAAGAAAGTGGCTGGGCTGGATCCGTCGCCGGGCCTGGGACCCCGAAGCAGAGGATTCGAACACTATGATACTCATTTCTGCACATGCAAGCATTGATCAATCTTGATATGATTGGGCCCTGTTCCTCGAGTGCGGCGACTGACTGAATGCAGATGACTGCCCAGCCCTCCGCGGCGGTCCTAACCCCAGCGAGCCGCCGGTTCGCCAATGGGCCCTTCCCACGCCGAATGGCCGCCGGCAGTATCTTATGTCACCCCCTCCTGAATTAAGGTCTGCGCGTCCGAAATTTGCGCGCGCCCACTCTCGCCGGCAACGCTTACAGCACGAAAGCTTGTTTCCCAGCGCGGAAGCAGACAGAAAAGGACATATTGTCATGCACCGCGGACCCGCACCAGGCTTCACTCGCTTCTCCTCAGAAAGCTGCACGGTTACGGCGTCATGTATGTATCCAGCGGAACCGCTCGTCGAATAAGCACCGGCAGCTGGTTATTCAGCCCCGGCTCTGATTTGACAAACGGGCGAGTGACGACGCTAGGGTTGCAGGTCAGGGCACCGGACAGATTAACAAGGCAAGTTATCGGCCTCACTTGATTTTCTTCTCGATCACTAACGACGGCACTGCACGGAACTCAATGTCCTTGACCAGAGCGTAAAGAAATATCTTCATCCTTTGACAGTCAAAGCCTTATCAAAGAGCACGAGGGGGACAAAAACACGGACTCGAGCAAAGCGAATTTGTAGCCAATACAAGCCCGGTTCCCGTCCACGGGATTGCCGTTGAGGAAAGTCAGAATGCTGGAGTACAACCCCGGAATCGCCTTTGCCTTTCCAGGAACCTGCGCCCAGCGTTCGGGTCTTTCCAGTGTCAGCGAGCAGCAGAACATCGCAGCGACCTACTCACCTGAACAGCAGGGCGTCGTCGCCCCAGAGGTTCTTGCTTTTGTTAATGGCTTGAATGGGAATTGTGATAATATCCATCTTCTTGAGGCGGATGCCTGCTGGTCGGTTCCCTGCACAGAAGCCGACCTCGTCGGTGTCACTGACAGGAACAACATCCTCGTCCCGCATACAGACTCGCATTGTACTTGTTATCGGGGCATGCAATCTTAGCGCCTCACGAATGAACCAATCCAGATACTGGCATTTGGCCAGCTGCTCGGTCAACAATGGCTCTGCATCTGTATCCGACAGCCCGGGATTCGTCTGTCGCAGCCGTTTCTCCACGCTTCCCAGTTCTTCCCGCAATTTGAGTTGGATATCGGGGTTCTGGATCAGTGCATAAAGGCACCATGTCAGGGCAGAAGCCGTCGTCTCGTGACCCGCTGCGATGAAAGTGGAGATTTGGCAAAGCACCTCCTCCGCTGACATGCTCTCGGACGATGCTGACGCTCCGGCATTCGACCGCACTATTTCTATAATCAGCATCACTTTCGGAATGGCGAGAAAGCGGACGACCAAGGATGCTCAGTATATCTCGTCCCAACGTGTCTTTGTCCTGGACTCTCTCTTCGATAAGTCCGAGTCCAATTCTCCGCATTGTAGCCTGTGCATCTTTCATCACATTCGAATTGCGGCGCTGAAACACGTTTGAGTCACGCGGGCTTTGCGAGGAAGCACTCACAAATCTGCGCAAGAATGGGAACCACACTTGCAGGATGGTCATCACGCGGAACTTGCGCGCAGTGGAGAATATCACGGCAAACGCTTTGGCCAGCTCGTTGTCGTCATTGATCAATGAGTCGAAGTGGTATCCAAACCCTGCGAAGCCAGTCAGCACAAGTCATTCCACCATCAGCGGCTTGCCAGCAATTCCCATGGCGTCCAATGTTGCGCGTCCGAGCCATTTCAGAGCATCGATACGCGTAAACCCGGTGTAATCGCTGTCCGTTGCGCCGGCTTCGGCCTCGGAAAGCCAGATATCACGCAGCTGCATGCCATCAGCATGCAATCTCTCTTCGGATAAGCATGAGCACACAACATGCCTTGATGGCCTTGTCCCAAAACACGGGGGTCAGCGACTTGATATGGGAGGCGGAGAACGCCGGAGTCTATCATCGTGTTAGAGCAGAAAATCATCGCCGTCCGGGGCTAGCTTGTGCAAGCTGTGCTAGGAGTGACTGACTGACCAGAATCCGGCGCTGTTCGTGTGTGAGCTAGTCGCGATTGAGTCCTGACTCGGCAGACGTACTTGTCTTCGATGGGTTTCACCTTCAACCGTCAGCAGGCCGTCATGACCCGCTGCCATGGTTGCCAGGCTCTCACGCACAAAGTCGGGTTTCGGGTAGTCGTAAGCGTTTCCGAGAATATGGGCGATCGCCACCTGATGCGCGGGTGTGTCAACAACGGAATGGTAGCAGTTGGACATGCATATGCCCACAGGGTCGGTAGTCATCAGCCTGCGACCTCCAATGAACCCTCGATACACGAAGCTCGACCCATAGGACTCCTGCCATCGAGCAAGAAGGTCGTTGTTTTCCTGCTCAGACATTTCGGCCAGATGACCCATGAAGAACGAGGGGCATGGCGGTCCCTTGAGTTTTGAAAGCGGGGAGAGTTGCTGGCGAATGAGAAGAGCGATGAAGTCCGAAAGAACATAGACAAGAATGAAAAGGGAGAGAAGCATGTACAGAGTGAAGAAATCCATGGTTGTGTACTTGGCTTGCCGCAGAGGAGATGTACATATAGGTGCATGATGAGGAACAACTGGTGCGTTGAGAGATCGGCTAGATCAATGCGGGGTCGGCCTTTTCGGGCACTCGGAGTCCGGCATCGTTCGGCATAAACCAAAACAATGGCTCGGAAGTATTTCGCGACATGAGGACTCGGATATACTTGCCTGGAGCAGCTTTGAGATTAGCTGAGCAGAACATTTTCGCAGAACATGCACATCCATCGTCTTGTGTGTTGTCGATGCGCCAACCTACAGCCATTTTCAGATTGAGCTCGTTCACGTAAGCGAAATTAATGACCGAGAACGCCGAAATAGAAGGCCAGTTTAGTTCCTGAGAGAATCCAGCCCTGAAGTATGCTGCTATCCGATAAACGAGCTCATATCGCGGGCTTGCAGGTCAGAAAGTCCCCCCAAGCGTTGGGTAGCTGTTCACGTGGTCGCGTTTGATGAAACGTACAGCCACCCTGTCAATCTCACCGGCCATTTTCCTCAGAACCACATCATGAGCAGTTCGCTCGATACGCTTTGCGACGCAGTGACAAGCCCTTTGGTCGCCTCGCTACTGGAGACTCATCCTAACGACCTAGCTGTATCCAGATCTTGGCCTTTCCGTGAGTCGTGGTGGGAATGGGCGAAAGGCAGCTCAGATGGAACGGATCGTTGGAGGCAGATCCTCGAATATAGTCAACTCGATTCGGAAGCGCGCGCCTTGGGCAAAGAATGGGACATTCCTGTCGAACTTCGAGATCTAATTGATCAACTAACCTCACTGTCCTTGCCCCGAGACGTTATTCCGATCAACGCTGGTGCGAAGTTCCTATTATACAGCTTTCTTCCTAATAATACTCATAACTGAAGTTGATCCCTTCGAACTCTCGACACGAGGCATGTCACCGAAGAAAGCTCACGAGGTTGTTCTTGACATTATATGTCGTCTGCCATCTCAAATGTCACTTTCAGGTCCACCAGAGTGTAGCCTACATCTCCAATCTTCTCAGCTCCTTGAACTTGGACGTACCGGCAGTGCGGATCGTTGATGTTGGAGCGGGTCAAGTGTGTAGATTGCACTCTCGCGCTTGGGGCTGTCAGTGACTGATCAGTGCTCTCCAAGGGATATCTAACTCGGGCATTGCGATCACATCTCGGGACCACTCACCTTCTGGCTCTCGACTCTTCAGAAATACAGACGCGGGGTGCTGAGCGTTGGCAAGAGCGGACGGGCCTGGTGGGATCGATCACCCAGAAGACGATCCATATAACACCGCAGACCCTGAGCGACTCAGTCGACGAATGGATCCAGAGCTCGAAGGTACCCAGCTCTGGCGAGCCTGTTCCAGTGCTGTTTGTGGCTCTTCACGCATGCGGCTCGCTTACTCCCGACATTCTCCGAGCCTTCTTCATGCAGCAGACAAGAGTAGGTCACGCATGGTGGAAGCCTCTGGGAGTAATTGCCATAGGGTGCTGCTATAATCTTTTAGCTTCTCGAGGTAAACCGGCTCGTCTCCTGCTTCGCTCCTCTCCTAAGCTTTGGATGCAGACTTTCCACTCTCGACACATCTCACATGTAGACCCGAGCGTCTGTCCTTGCCAATCTCGGCCTTCCATCTGGCCGCTCAGATGCCAAGTCAGTGGATGCGTTCGCCCGAGAGTCGAGCAGACGCCGAACTGGCCCTGCGCAAGGTCGTCTGGCGAGCGATCATCGGCTCTCGCTTCTCTGCGAACGTCGAGTCCGATAGCATCGATGGTCAGCCTGACGGAACGGGCGATCGACCAGTTATGCGCCGGTTAGGCCGATTGAGTAATGCAGTGTACACAGATTGGGAAACCTTTGTTCGGGCTGCAAGTGATCGTCTTGGCGCCGTTTTCGAGTGCGGCCCGCTCACTGGCTATGAAAACGGGCTCATCAGCGAGCTGGAGGTTCTCCACGTTCTCCGTTGTATCGCGGGGCCGATGGTAGAAAGTCTGTTCATCGTGGACCGTCGAACGTGGGTCCAGGAACAGCTTGTTGGATTAGTGGACGTTCAAGTCGCAGTCGTCAATCTGTTCGACCAGGGAACCGGCAGTGGGCGGAATGTCGCCCTCGTAGTCTCGCCGCAGGGTCCTAGGCCAAATCGATGAACATGCCCCTCTAAATAGCCTCGTGCCGGGTGCACACTGAGTTAGGCAAACGAGCCAGCTTGCAAGCGGAGTCCGGATGCCGTGCACCGGCGGATCCCAATATGTCAGCCAACGCTCAGACATTAGACGCCCCGACACAATCTGCCAAACAAGGACAGGTCTTTCATTGTCGAATTCCATCATCAACAGCAAGCGCTCTTGATTCTCTTTTCCTCTTCGGATGAACGTCCAAATGCGACTCTGATATGAAACAAATCAACAATGCACCCAGGATCTCAGGCCGCACCATCTCCCTCTTATCGAATTCTCTTCCGGGTAAAGAACGGCGCCCCCGGCGGGTATTTCACCACATGAGGCTCGTAAAGATGTCTGTGGCGCAAGGGGGCAAAGATAAACAGCACATGAATGAATTCCCCAGATTCCCGAGACCCCACGGGTCAAAATCATGATTGCAGCCGGAACCGGCAGACATCCTGACCGATTTTCACGCAAATCTCGTCAATATCAAAACTTTTCACTGCAGCCGCCGACAACGAAAGTCTGTGTTCTGTATCCAGGTCAGCGAGCAGTGTGGAGGGGAAACCCCTAATGGTGGGATATTCCGAAGCAGCCTGTGGAGACTGTGGGTTTTCGTCAAGCAGGGCCCAGCCGATAGAAGCATGGAAACGAGGTTCAGAATAGTATACTTCTTGCCGGATGGCCTGCAGAACAGGGTTGAGAGATGCAGTAAGCTCAGAAAGCTACGAAACTAATCAGAACATGCGAGCATCCTTGAACCGAGGAACGACTTCGTGATGTCCGGCGCCTATCTCGAGAGCCAGGAAGACTCGAGTGCGTTCATCATTGACGAGCTCGGTGATACACGCCAAGGAAGCGGAGAAGCTATCACAAATGCGTCAGGTCATGGGAAACCGGAGTTCATCAACCTACGGTCGCGTCCCGTCGGCGATTCGTTTCACCGCCCGTTTCAATTCCTCACGCTGATGTGCCCGGACGAATATGGGTCGCGTAACGGATATATGCAGTTCAGGCCGTCTGCCATCCGGCGCGGAAAAGAAGTCATTAAGAGCCGGCACTCGAGCCTTTGCGCTGGCAGTTATCTTGCTGATGGCGTCGAAGAGCTGAGAGCTCCGGGATAACGGAACAGACGCGTAGACGTGGGTGGCATATTGGCCATCGATGTGGGGTGTTGATCTCTTACGACCTTGATGAAGAGCAGGGTTGTCGACGTGAGTTTTGCCTGCCAATGTGGCCGCAAGTGTGGGAAGTTTTCTGCAGGCGATGAGACATGCGTCTTTCTCGTGGGACGGGCGGGAGGCACCTTTTCTTTGTTGGCGGAGATTTTTCGGAATCGGAATCTTCAGAACTCGAATAGGACACGAGCTGCACCGAGTCGCGCTTCATGCAAAAGTTCAAGACTGTAATAGGCAAGTGGCCACCCCAGTTCAGTTCGACTACGACTTCGAGCAGTCACGCTCACGTGCCGACCCCAGATCACGCGTCCGGCCAGCATGATTCATGACAGATATCGAACTCAACGGAAGACTTATCGATTGCGAAATGAGCGTCCAGTTCATTAACAACCTCTCGGCCAGCGGCATACCTGCGCCTCATGCTCACGAGCACGGATCACACTCCCACGACCACGGAGGGGAGCATGGCCACACCCACGAACATCTCGATCATGCCGGTTAGATACCCCGTCCGATTTTATCTCGGGGTCTCACAGAGCTACAGGGAAATTCTCCGAGCGGGACTTGCCCGATTACTCTGGCCGAAACTTTGTAGAGAGAGGTTTCACTGTCGGGATCGGAGGGCCTGTTGGATCTGGGAAAACCGCACTCGCTCTTGCGCTCTGCAAAGCCCTGCGCAAGGAGTACAACATCGGTCCGTGTCTCCCTCCCCGGGCCGCTTTCAGATTTTCTCATATGTTCGGAGCTAGCTGCTGTGACTAATGACATATTTACGCGCGAAGACCAAGAATTCTTGATCAAGAACAAAGCTCTCCCTGCTTCGCGAATCCTTGCCATCGAGACAGGTGGTTGCCCGCATGCGGCCATTCGCGAGGACATCAGCGCAAACATGGGCGCGTTGGAAACATTGCAGGCGACATTCGAGTGTCAGCTGCTTCTTGTTGAGAGTGGAGGAGACAATCTTGCGGCGAACTACTCGCGGGAGTTGGCCGATTACATCATCTATGTGATCGACGTTTCCGCAAGTCATCTTCCCTGAACATGTTATATGAAGGCGCTGATGACTGGACTTGCAGGGAGGAGACAAAATCCCACGGAAAGGTGGTCCCGGCATTTCACAGTCAGACCTTCTCGTCGTCAACAAGGTACCCGTGATTTCGAACACCTGCTCTGGACTTTAATTGAAGATGCCTAGATCGATTTGGCACCATATGTTGGAGCTTCGCTTGAGGTCATGGACCGCGACTCGAAGCTGATGCGCGGAGACGGGCCCACTTTGTTCACCAGCGTCAAACAGGGCACTGGGGTCGACGATGTCGTCAGTCTGATCGTAGCCGCATGGAAGACCGCTGGGAGACCAGGAAAACCTGGCGCAGTGGGAGACGTCGAGTGAAACGCGACAGGTGCAATACAATGTGTACAATATCTATGCATCAGAAGAATCCGAAAGTCTGGCCAATAATATCGCTGACACCTTCTTGAATTCCAACATAATCATGTCCGCCGTGTAGAGTCTGGACGTGCGTGACCGTGCGCTTGCCGTCGTTGAATTTGTGCAGGGTTCCGAACTTGGGGATTTCCGTTGTGGAGACCAGGGCTTCGCGGGCTTCTCTTCTTTCTGCAGCCCTGCTCGTGAATTCAGACCACTGCTCTTGGGACAATGAGGCCAGATGGGGAGGCAACGCAATCATTTGGGGCAAATGGGGGTCGAGGAAGGCTGTGAACAGCGCTTCGGAGTGCGTATATGGAATGTCCCAGTCATTCTCTGTTGGCCGATCCTGAGAACCAGTGCCTGGATGTCGAGAACCGCACTCGCCTGCATGTGCAATGATAATTTGGCCTTTCATTCTTGGCACCAACTTGTCCGTATCAAATTTGTGGATCAGCCTTTTCATCAAGAACTCTGCGGGCATTTCAGAGATTTTGCAGAAAACCGTCTAGGAAGTACGGCACCTGTCGCCCGAGGAATGGACGCCAACGGGCGTAGAAGCGGGAATATTCCCAGCATGCTGTAAGTCTCTACAACCTTCGAAATACTTGAAAATGGCGACAGAAGCACCACGCCCTTGGGTGCGATTTCCTCATCTGACAATTCAGCACTAAGTAGAGACGATACGCCAGTCCCGAGACTGTGGCCGACGATGAGAATGTCACTGGCCAGTGCCCCATTGTCTATTAACCAGTTCCAGGCAGCCCGAGCGTCACGCGCCAAGCCAACCTCGCTGGGTGTGCCAGTGCTGTCTCCGTAGCCCCGATAGTCGATCGCCAGGACGTTGGCCGATAATCTTGAGGAAAATGTCGTGTAGTGTTGAATGCGGGCACCGAAGGCCCGCGTTCCGGCGTTTCCGTGGAAGAACAAGACCGTAGGACGCGCTTTCAACGCGGCACCAACATGCTCAACTGGTGGGGCCGAGTGCGAGGGTAGAGAGTGGTAGAACTGATCTGCGAGGATGAACCACGCCCCGAGCAGCTCTCCATCGGCAGTCGAGATCTTGAGGTTCGCAGTCTTGTTCGGAGCTAGCCCGTACTTCTCTGGCGTGTTGTAATCGGAGAAAAGAGGAATTTTGAGGGCGTGAAGAAACTGCAACACGAGAACGAGTTGATTAAGCGGGAAAAGATCATGTAGTGCATACCAGAGTACTAGTGTTGGATGTGGGCGTGTGTTATTCAAGAGATAAACTTGGACGCACTGCGTTTGTATGTAGGGAATCATGACAGCCAATATAGCCGCTGCATACAATCCTCCAAAGATGGTCGCGCCCTTGCGAGCCGCCGAGAGATAAGCCATGCCTGCAACGCCGCTAGTCTAGATCGTTGACGCGCTAGTAGTACAAGTTGTGTGCGAGGACGTGTAGTTGCGAGTGACGTCGCCCGGCCCTTAGACCATGTTTGACGTTTGACAGATTCTGTGATGTCAAGATTTCTCCAGCTTTCGGCTTCCGGCTTTCGTCTCTCGGCGAGACTCCACCCGTCATCGCCTTTGATGCTCTGCAGTACTCGCAGAACGCACATAACGACTCATGTCTTCTTCAGAACTCTCTCGCAGACCCGCCTCGCTGCGTGCTGAAGTGAAGGATGAACAACCCAACTCAAGAGTGTCGTCTAGTCAACCCTCTACCATTCACCCCGCCATCAGACCCAAGTCAACAAGTCTATTGGGATGGCTCAGAGGGATCGGTTCGGGTATGTCCAAGGACATAATGGCCAGAATACCGTTCTACCTGAGTGATTGGACCGACGCCTGGAACTATCGAGTGATACCAGCGACTGCTTTGATTTTCTTTGCCAAGTATGTGTACGATGTGTTGTTCTCCAACGAATGACATCTCAGGTTATGCAGCGTTCTTCCTGGAATTGCGTTCTCTTTGGATCTCATTGAAACGACCAATCAATACGGAGTGTCCGAAGTTCTGCTGTCCTCATTCATGGCGGCCTTCGTGTTTTCTGTCTTTGGTGCACAGCCGCTGACCATTGCGGGAGTGACGGGTAATTTATGCACGGTTCATTTGTTTCCTGCTGATGACATTTCGGAAGGACCGATCACTGTGTTCAACAAAACGATCTTCACGATCACTCAAGGAGCGAAGGACAGGCCGGACTATCTGCACTTCGTCGGTTGGGTGTACCTATGGGCTGCCATTCTGCACTGGATCACGGCGGCTCTGAACTTCTGCAACTTCCTAAAATATGTGACATTGTTTCCCTGCGATACATTTGGATTCTACGTCGCTTGGGTGTACCTGCAGTATGGTGTCCAGGTGCTGACACGACAACTCGACGGGAACCCGCAGAACGCGCCAGGGCCGCTCGTCTCGATCGTTGTCGCGCTCCTGATGCTCGTGACATCATTTCTCTTCCAGTCGCTGTCGGCCCAGAACCTGTTTCATCGACACACGCGCCGATTTCTCGCAGACTACGGCATGCCCATATCCTTGATCGCATCCTCCGCCATGGCGTACTGGGGCCGTTTCAACGCCGCGAATACAGCCACCCTTCCCGTCGGAGCCGCATTCCAGCCTGCCGGAGGGAGAGAGTGGCTGGTCAAATTTTGGGAACTGGATGGGAAATGGGTCGGGATCGCCTTCCCATTTGGATTCATTCTTTGGGTTCTCTTCTTTTTCGATCACAACGTCTCGTCCTTGATGGCTCAGGTAGGCGCGCGCAGATGCCATTGCTCATGAACGAAGCGCTGACTGGACGGATGCAGGGCGCTGAATTCCCATTGCGCAAGCCTCCTGGATTCCACTGGGACTTTTTCCTCCTGGGGATCACGACGGTGAGTTTCCTCGGATCGTCAGGATCGTCAGGATCGTACCCTGATATTCGCTTCCAGTTCATCGCCGGTTTGCTCGGACTCCCGGCACCCAACGGTTTAATCCCTCAAGCACCGATTCATACGACATCGCTGCTCGTCATGCAGCACGGTAGGCCCGAAGCAGACAAGGAAGATCAGAGATCAGATAGCTTGGACTTCGTTGAGCGACCGATAGCCGTTGTGGAGCAGCGTGTCTCCAATCTCGCTCAGGGGGCACTCTGTCTGGTGCTTCTCACCGGTCCTTTCCTGCATGTGCTGCATCTGATCCCTCGCGGAGTTCTGGCTGGCCTGTTGTAAGCTGTCCTCCGTTCGGTCCCATGCCTACTCAGCACGCTGACTGCCATCCAACAGCTGGTTCATGGGAGCCGATGCGCTGCGTGGAAATGGGATCACGCAGAAGCTTCTCTACTTTCTCCGTGACAAGCACCTGACACCACCGGACGAACCGCTCAGAAAAGTGCGAAAGTCACGAATCTTGTTATTTGTTGGTGTCCAGCTTGTCGGATTCGGCGCTACTTTTGCCATCACACAAACCATCGGTCCGTCCGTCATTTCTTCCCTGTTCCTATGCTCACCATTTGGCTCGAGCAGCGGCGATCGGTTTCCCGGTGGTCATAATGCTCCTCATCCCTCTGCGAGTGTGGATCGTCCCACGATTGCCGTTCACAGCCGAAGAGCTGGCCATCCTTGATGGTCCAACGGCATCCCCTTTCGTAAGCTCGTTTCCTGGTCTGCTTTCTGTTGCTCACGGCGGATTGTCAGACCATGGAATCCGTAGGAGGAACACTATCTTAGACGCTTCTATTTATCTGTAATGCACGGCCGGGCCACTAGATATGCTCATGTCATGCCGAACTCATCATCTATGAGCCACAATCAGATTCATCACATGACTTCTTCCAGCCTTTAAGAGTTTGACGTCGACGAAGGTCGTGCGAAGCCTTGGCTCCTGACCCCGAACATGTCCAACAGCACTCTGGTCGGTGTATTGATTCTAGCACGGCAAGTATTCGCTCCCATTTCGTCCGGGATGTGCCTAATCTCTTTTCAGACACGGCGATCGTGCAGGTACCCTTCGAACCCGGTTCACGGAAGATCTCTGACTCGATGTAGGATTCTACCAGGATCCGACGACCTACACTCCAACTGGGACGGTTATCACACCTCTGGGCACCGTGAGCCGGCTCTACCCGCCCACCGCCGTCTCACTGAGTGTTCTGGCAGCAACAAGAACTGCAATTGGGATCGATCTTGCGCTCGAGATACCTGAACGCATCCTCGCCGCTCTTCGTCCGGGGGATCAACTCGAGCCTGGTCAATGCGGTAGGCACAACGATCCGTTCCTGGCCGTCACGCTGAAATCGCTTCCACACAGAACCAGATCGTGAGTGCGAAACGCGATCCCGTGACTGATTGACGTAATGGCATCACAGCACGTACGGGCTGATGCGGGCGGTGAGTCGGGCGTCATATACGATTCGGCTGTGGCCATGCTACAAGGGCTGTTCCCTGCAAACGCCAACTACACGACGAGCCTTTCCAACGGATCCGTTATCGAAGGAGCGGAGAGCGGCTACCAGGTGCGTCGCGTTTACTCTGCACTGGGCTCCAAAAGTGATATGTTCTCCCAGTATGTCCCCAGTGAGCGAAGCATAACATTCTCACTCCTGCTTCGCTTATCCTGACTGCAGTCGAAACCGTGGAAACCAACAACGATGTCTCGCTTGAAGGTTGGACCTCCTGCGGGGTACGTGGCTTCGCCGCATGCCCTATTGAACGCTCATCGAACCGCACGTGAAGGCGTTCGACCAGTGGACCAGTGGTTTTTACGCATCTCCTGCATTCCAGGCCCAGGCCAACGAGAGCGCGTCCTTCCTGAGTCAGCTTCCGCCCTACCTGGACGGACGGGCAGTCACTCTGGAGAACATGTGGAATGTGAGCGCTGATTCGGCAGCGGAGATGTTGACTCATTCATAAAACAAAACAGATCTACGACTTCATGAACGTGCAATCCATTCACAATAAGGCGTTTGCTCAAGCGCTGCCTCCGACGTTCCTCGCTCAGGCTCGGACACTTGCAAACTGGCACGAATACGGAGTTTTCACATCTCCCCAGCTCAACGGGATCGGGAACAGTGAGTTTTCGACTTCGGTCTTCCACGGACAGGACACTGAACCCGAGGGACAGTCGCTGGCCGGACGATTTTGCCCCAGATGTTGCAAGAGCTGCATAGCATTGCCAATGCTTCAGACCCGCTCAAGATTGCCTACCAGGCAATTGCATACAAGCCCTTCCTGTCGCTCTTCAATATGACAGGCGTGGCGGAACAGAACCCGGAGTTGGCTGGAATCGGTCAGTCTGCAAAGCAGAGTGAGGACGGCCGGTTGCTGATATTTTCCCAGTCAACTACGCGGCGGCGGTGGCGTTAGAAGTTCGCCAGCCTTCGGATGGAAGCGAGGCTGTCTTGCGGTTCAATTTCAAGAACGGCACAGGCCAGGACTTTGTCACCTACAACTTTTTGGGCTCCACAACGGACGTTCCGATCTCCACTTTGGTCCAACACGTCAACGCAAGTCGCTGTCTAATGTGACTGCGGCCCAAGAGTGCTTACAATCCACCAGCCAGCGATGATTAACACCACGATCCAATGGTGCAATGCCTGTGGAAACAACGCGAATCGGGGCTGCGGAGAACTGGCCCTCGCCGCATCGCAAGCCAGCGCCGTCGCCGTTGCTGGATTCCACAGCCACCATGACAGAATCAGCCCAGTGGGTGCAGGCTTCCTCGGCGCAGGCCTGACTTTGGCCGTCTTTGCCATCATGTTTGGTGTTCTTGCGTTCTTGGGTCTCTTGACGTTCGGTCGCAAACGCTCTCAGCGCTCGAACACTCAATCTGAAAAGAAGGTGTAAGACACGAATAGTAAGCTGTACAAGTGTAAATTGTTGTTCACAATGTACCGGGATGTTGGCGGAGAGGCCATCGCCAACTAGCAGATAGCTGCCTGTCGACGCTGAGTGCCATCATTGATATCGTTTACGCTCCTCAACGACGACATTGTATAAGCAAATAGGATCTAATAGTGCAGCGATGTCAAAGCGCTGGCAGCAATGGGGAGGATTCTTGCTCAAGCGAATTTCTCGTCATCTCCAATCATGATCAGATCCGTCGTCATATTCGACCTCCTCTTCTGAATCTTCGTAAAACTCTCGATCGTCGACTGCATAGCAAGTGAGAAACGTTGGCGATCGGGAACCTTGACACATACCGTTCCCGTCGTCCGAAACGCTGTCTTCTTCATCCGGATAGTCATTCTTGTAATATTCCTCCGCTAGACAATTGTGAATGCATGTACCGGCGAGAGTGAGTACGGCAGACAGACCATTGGAGTCTTCATCTGCATCGTCTTCCTCCTCCTCATCGGAATCAGAGTCGTAGGGATCGGTGATAGATGGAGGGAGCCCCGTCCTGTAGCTTGTAAGCCGCAGACGGTGCGATGCTCTCGAAAACTTGCAGTGTGCCAACATTGGCTGCGTCGTTCCACTCAGACAGTGTAGCCGGCCGGTGATAAAACACATCCCAAACATAGTCTTCCGACGATGAAGGCGGGATGATGTCAACGGCGGGGGAAGGCGTGATATCGTTCACTGGGAGTTAAGGAATGAGGGGTATTCCATAAGTGGGCAAGATGACCACACTTTTTAGGTAGTCCTCCAGCAGAGAACTGAAAGCATCCATGCCCTCATCGCTGGTGCCGGCACGAGGAGAGTCGGACGACAGGACCGCGTCGTACAATTTGAATCCGTTTCTTGGCTTGGGAGGCAGATCTTTGGCGGAGATGACGCGCGGTCTGGACGGCCGATATGAGAAGGAAACCAACAGACATGAGGGATGGGAAATGAACGCACGGGCTTGTCGCCCGTCGTTTTCGAGCGCCTTCCGCTTCTTGCTGGATGACCGTATACCGGCGGAAGAGTTCATCTTTGGCCACCGTCGGCGACGCCCTAGGATTTGGATTTGGATTTGGCGCCGTAGAGAGACTTTGGGGATCCTGGGCGGCCGTCGCGCGTTCACGGGCGAGTCGTGTGATTTGTTCCTGCACAAGGTTTGCAGACGTCCTCCCCGACGTTCGAGACATACCTCTAGATCGCGTTGAGAAGTTTCATCCTTCCACGTCTCCGGTTCGACCGTCTGTGCGAATTGGAAGACGCCTATTCCGCCGCCGCGAGACTTCTTCTTCCGCCGGGATTCCACGACTAAAGTCAGTGGTAGCTGATCGTTAACGAATGAACTTGGGTAGGCAAGCCAAGAAAGGCATGCCTAGCGCATCGAGAGGCTCTTCATTTCTCTTGCGTTTGATTCGTAGGATCGTATATGACTGCGAGGGAGGGCTCCCGGCATCGATCTCCATGGTAGGAAACTTTCAAGAGGCAATGACGTCACATGATCTAGCCTGACTTGTGTTTCCGGCGCGTAAGAACGGCGATTACATTTCTATCGCTAATAGTCATATACATTATGCTGGAATAATGGCCAGCGAAATAGGGTCTTGCTCTGGCCAGATCAACTCGAGTGTGGGATGTAATTTCTCCAACTGCTGCAGGGATTGCCAGTCGGCGACATGGGCGTCCGGGCTGTTGACGCCGTCGACGAACGAGAATTGGATGCTGCGCAGATGGTCTACTCCTTCCGGTAGTGGAAGTCGGTCATCAAAGTGCGGGGGCAATCGTGAGGCGACCATCTCCGAAAGACAGCCGTCGTGCGTGAGGATATTCGATAGCTCGATAGCTTCGAGGCGTGGATTGGGCCACTGCTCAAACTTCTGAGTGGTCTTGCGATCGGGAGTTAGGTACTGTAGAAGATAGTCGGCTGGAGGAATGCAGTCTGCGACAGTCAGAGCTTTCAGCGACACGCAAGCCTTGTGCTTGAGAAATTCGATGACGTCGTCCTGCGAGACCTCGGCGTTGTGGAAGTCCAGCACTTTCAGGTTGCAAGACGAACGAGTGAGGAAAGAGGCGACTTCGCTCCGAGGCCAAACGGTCAGTTGGTATATGCAGACGTCCTCGAGACGAGGCATTTCCACGTGCTCAAAGAACAGACCGAGCAGGTCGTTCGATGTGACCTCCAAGCGAGCCAATGATTCCATACGAATAATTGGACCGCGAGGAACACTGGGTCCATCGATGTCGACGCAAAGATCTTCCAGGCCAGGTGTAGCCTCCAAGATATACAGCACATTCCCCATCGATACCGGCTCCACGAAATGTAGACGAGTGAGATTCGGGACGGGACAAAAGTCCTTAGCGAAATGAGTGACAGTGAGGTCGGAAAGAAGAGGTGCGGCTCTGCAAGCCAGATACACCCATTCCCAGTTGCTCCCTGCGGGGAGATCTGCGTAAAGCATCGAGAGCAGTGGTGCTCGAGGTGTGGAGGCGGGGAAGATTGGTCGCGGATAGATATCCGTCACAAGTTCGATGTCGTCAATGGGAAGACCGTCCAGCCAGAGAGACGCAGCGTGATGAGCATGCGCACAGAAAGCGGAGATGGCGCAACTGAGCACGTCCATTCGCGTCGTATTGTCCCAGAACAATTGGAGATATGCGGGGTACGACTGAGAGCGTTGAAGCCACTCGAGCGCCCATTCCGGCGGTCGTTTTTCGATTCCTCGGAGGTCGAGGTTAAGCACGCTCCACAATGCGGGGGTAGAGACCGCTATTTGCCTCCATCGCCTGCAGATTTTGCACAAGAGCAACGTACTGGCTCGATCGTCATTCCATTCATCATGTTCATCGTTCTCCCTCGGCGACAAGGTGAAGGCGAAAATCTCGGACATCATCTCCACGGGTAGCCACCGCCAGGGTGAGATAATGGCAAGGTGAAAGCGAATGACGCGACGTGTGTGATCCAGCTCGGCGCGTAGTTGTCGAGAGAGCTTCCGCCCCGTCGCCCGGTTGCGTCTCGGCACTCGAGCATTCAATTCGGAGAGTGATGCTTTCTTTTCCGTGATGTAGTCTCTGATCATCTTCCGCTCGATGGTAGTAGGAAGTCTGTCCTGCCTAATGATATCGCAGAATGGTGAATCCGAGGTGATAGAGCCATCGAACTTCATAGTGCTGAGTCGAAAGCAATCGAGGTACCGCGGGGCTTTGGACAGGGATCGAGCCCAACCGGTGGTCGATGGCTGTAGAGTGTATGGCTGAACGCGCTCTGTCACATTATCGCCACTGGGTGACTCGGCCACGGCCCGACAGCCGATAACGCCGGGCCAGGTGAAGCGCTGTCTTTATAGATCTACCATATGGTCTTGATCGAGGAGTAAAGTTTATACTGCAGAACGACGTTGTTTAAAGCAGGAGAAAGAATTGGATATATCCCTGTCACTTGCAAGTCAAGTCATACCATTATATCGTTACACTCCCGCCCGAAGCTGACTGTTTTTGGCATCTTCGCTTCGGCCACGTGCACAACTGACTGTCGGCTTGGTCTCTACGCGATTCATCCTCGGAGTCGTTATGGCTCAACTGCGACATCGGGCGAACAAGAAACCAAACAACCACCCGTCCACTTCAGAGAACACCGATGCGGGCATCAAGGTCTCCGAAGCAGCTCCTGCCCTGCTCGATCTTTCTTCAATCCTCTCGATGGTTTTAGGAGGATGTTGCGTGTAAGACTCTCCTTGACTGCCCCGTGCGTACTCAATATTGACTAGGAATGTGTGGGCCTATGAACAACTCCTTCTAATGAACGCGCGCATCGGTTCAGCGTTGACATTCTCTCAAGCAGTCTTCATCGCGTTCCAGGCTCTTCCGACATTTCTGGAGCGTCCACCGGGTTCATATCTCCCTAGATTGAAACCTAGACAAGTTCCGCTGCATCGCTGGGCCACGCAGGTTCTGCTACTGATAACATCGTCGCTACTGAACAATTGGGCATACGCATACAACGTCCCGCTGACGCTACTCATCGTCTTCCGTTCCGCTGGTGTGAAGTTTATTTCATTGCCTCATGTACTGTCTGTCTGACTCGAAACTCCAAGGGCTTCCTGTGTCGATGCTTTTCGGTTTCTTGTTCTCGGGAAAGCGGTATACTCTCATGCAAATAGTCCGTGCCAGGATCTCATTTGAAGTCCTGCTTCTTTGACTGAACACGAACCTTTTAGATTTCGGTGGCCCTCGTGTCCAGTGGGGTTGTGTTGGCTACCATTTCGAAACCTTCTACGTCCTCTGGATCCGACGCTCACACAAGCAAACTATCAGCAGAAGAGTTACAGAAATACACGACCGGCATCTCCATGCTTTCGCTGTCGCTTCTTCTCACCGGAGCTCTGGGAATGGTCCAAGAGAGAACGTACAAGACATATGGACCATGTTGGAAGGAAGGTGTCTTCTACACGGTGTGTCGCGTTAGTTATTTCTCGACTTGCCACACGCTGAACATGAGCAGCACATTTTGTCGCTGCCTGTCTTCTTTCTGCTTGCCTCAGATGTCCAACGTGGCCTTCAAAGCCTGTCTAACACTCAGGGACGGGACTCCTCAGCTTTAACCTCTTGGATGATCCTCGGCCTCAATCTTTGCTCCCAGCTTGTTTGTGTATCAGGCGTCAACCGACTATCCTCCGTACGTCTCGATAATTCTCCCTCTTTCCACCTTGTCCACCGAATCGCACACAGAAAGTTTCGTCTGTATCAACCAACATCGTGCTCACAGCCCGTAAAGCCATCAGCCTGTGTTTCAGCGTCTGGTGGTTTGGAAGCCAGTGGACCGCCAACCTGGGTGTCGGAGCAAGCATGGTATTTTGCGGCAGTCTCTTGTTTACGCTCACTGGCCCGAAGCAATCGAGTCAGCCCAAGGACAAAAAGGAGTAACCAGGTCTTTGCAATAGAGAATACATGTATTCTGGAGATTTTATTATTTAGACCTATCGGGATTGTATTGCTGTAGTCACCTGACCACGATAAGATAATCGTGACTGGCCGATTATCCAAAACATTGCCAAGCAACAACGATGCTTGAAACCTACCATCTGCAGCACTTCCCATCGCACATATCCTATGTCCATACTGCCCTATATACCGGCGTGTCAGACTCTGCTGCACTGAAACGACGCCTCATCACTGCTTCGACCGCCGAAGGAGAAAATGGGGAGCGTGAGCGCGAGGAAGTGAACTTTGCATTCATTGAAGCGCGGCTTGTCTGTCTTTGATCCTCTTTCTCTTGGTTCAATTTCTCTGATATATTGGTGTGGATCAGATAACTAGCCGCGAACATCTCCGTGCTGCAGTTTATCATGCGCTCCTTGCTGAAGCGCAAGGCACATTACGCACGAAGACAGTGCATTCCGAGATCATCTGGATTCTCAACTCAACGCACAACGTAACCCTCTCAGTGCGGGATGCCTAAACTCGTTTAGTGAAGTGACATTCAGATCACCGAGGCGATGCGCCGATATGGGGTGGGCGACAAGTCCAGCGCGCTGGTGGTGGTCCGTGTTTCTGGGCCAGAATTCTCATCCGACTCTGTGGGGAAAGCCATGGATGGGGTCGTGCAGGGAAATCGGGTGTCGTTCGATCAGCTGGATGCGGTCACTGACTGGGCTGCTGTCAAGAAGGTGCGTGCTCTCATGCGTTGAGCTCAGACAATGACCCGTGTGTGCACAGTATCATAAGCTGAATAACGAAGCTGCTATCAGAGACTCCCAGGGCCCTGAACAAGAGCACGCGACGATCGACAGTATTCTTGTTACGACTGCCGCAATGAAGAGTGTGGCTGCGTGACCCAAGATACTCTTGCCGCGAACGTCTCAAATAACGGCGTGCTGCGCGGGGTTGTTGGAATCGTAGTCTAGATGAACGCTGAAACATCGGATCATGAGGCAAAAAAGATTACGTAACAAGGCCTCAACTCACTAGGCCCGCGAGACGAGATCCAGTGCCTCAATCGATGCTTGCATTGTTTCGCCGACGTCGTGGGCATATGGCAGTGGAGTGTCTTTGGGTAGCCTAACAAAGAACTTTGGATTAACAACAATAAGCTGTTCTCGAGATGTTGCTTACACAACATCAACCTCCACAATCAACTCGTCTCCAACGTGGCTGTTGCCAGCGTTTGTAAACCAGAGAGCATTCAAGGTGAATCACTCACTAGATTTCCAGATACGAAACATTCAATACGGGCTTGAACCTGGAGATGAGATACAGTACACGAAAGTTGTGTTCGCTACTGGCCATGCGACCAGACAACTTGACAAAGTTTTCGAGCAGTGTCTCGACCCATTCGACGATGACTGCAGAAAGATTAACTTGATTTGGCGACACTTGCAAAATTCCTCACTGTATATAGAGAGCAATACACCACCCAGGGGGTCCAATTGTTTGATAGACAGCAACTCTCCGACCCATGGGATGATCAAAGAAAAGACGTTGAAGAATACATCGTTTTTCGCATCCTTTGCACACCGGTTAGCACAGAATCAAGAGCGAGAGACAAGGAGACCCACACCTGCGCTAGGGCTTGGATTCCAGAAGATCTAAAGCGGGCACACCATGCCCATATCACAAGCTTTACAGCGATTGTGACGCCCATAGTTCTGTTGTTTGATAGAGGAGTCCTGTCAGCGGAAACTGAGACAAAGAAAAAGGGACTAACATCTTTCCAAACAAGGAGAGCGTCCCCACCTCCCCGGTCTGCTCCCCGAAAAGTTTTCTCAAGGACTCAACCAAAACTTGAGTGAAAGAGGCGATCATGCAAACGGAGAACACGAGCACTCCCAGAGGCTCAAAGCGTTTCTTTCCAGTGGGGTATTTGGAGCCCGGGTCCTCCCGCTTGGCTGCGACGTCGGCAGCCCAGATGATCAGCGTTGAAAGAAAGTCCAAAGCCGAGTCCACGAAAGAAGCGAGCAGTGACACAGAACTGGACAGCGCAACTGCAGCGCCTTTCAGAGCGAGAAGGAGGATGTTGACAATGATGTTCACTGCATCGAGACATAATTTGAGTTCGACGTATGACCCAGATCACCAGGCTGAACACGAACCGTTGAGGGCGATCTTATCTAATCTTTCTTGTTTGTGGCCTCTGGATTCTTCCCTCTGTTTCAGCAACGGCTGCGTTTCAGCGTTTGCGAACCGGTTGTCTTCGTTTTCTCCCGTAGGCGAATGCACCGTTTGGGCATTCAAGATGTTTTGATGAGCGAGCGTCCCATAAACTTGGTCAGGCAGATTGGAAGTTAGTACAGTTTCCACTTCTTCAAAACCGTCGAGCAACTCGTCTGGGAAGGGTTCAGACTCAGGCATTTCTGCCGGGAAAGCGTTGTACTCTGACGCTCGTAGAAAGCACGCAAATTCTTCTTCATGGCTTTGAGTTCTGATCGGCTCTTCCGAAAATGTTCATACTTCCCCGCCGTGCAATCAATCATGCCCTCTCTAGCTCAAAACCTTAGCTAAGAGTGACGAAGGACGAGAGGATGACTATAATACCGAGGGGTTGGCACTGTCGAAGTGAAGGTGTGTATAGTTGGACGACGCTTGGGCGGTAGAGTCCCCACTAGACGAGGACTTCGAAGACCGGACGCCATTTCGTAGAGAAAATGAACGAGCGTCAAGTGAGTTGGGTCAAGTTCAGATTAGTACACCTTGGACACTGGACAGGCACTGTGCTGTGGACTGAGGATAAGGTGTATGATGGCGGTGCAGGGACGTCAATCGTCATACTACAAACTGGGATGGGTATTCTATACTGAGTTGCCAATGTTCACTGTGAATAAGTTGGTACCAGTTAACTCAGTGACGCCTCAGTCTGTTGATAGCAGTCTCCAGTCAGCCAGACGTGGCCAGGAGGATATCGTAGAATGTCATTGTGGGTGTGTGGGCGGATAAGACGAATGAGGGCAGGCCATATGCATCGATTGGGGCATGGGTACATAACATAATGCGACGCAGCAATCGTTTTGAAAGTCACGCAACGTCTACTCCTCGTCCTCTTCATCACCACCTTCCTCCTTCTTGGCAGCAGCAGCAGCCCGCTTGCGCTTAACACGACCAGGGCGTCCTCCACCATACGGTGACGTCAGTGCGAAGTCGATGTGCTTCTGGGAGTCGAGACGGACGACGAAAGAGGGCACGTTGACGATCTGACGACCGACACTGGAGAAAAAGAACATCATTCAGCATCCGATAGGGAGGAACAATAGATGCGTACCGGATGTGACGCTGGCGGATGAGGACACGAGCGTGGTGGATGCTCTTGGCAAGCCCACTCTTGAAGACTTGGGTCTGAAGACGACGCTCCAAGAAATCTTCGATTTTCAAAGCCAACACGTAATCGAGACGCATGCGAGTCTCATCAAGCACACCGATCCGCACCAACCGACGAATGAGGGCATTACCCTCGAACAGACGCTTAGGGTCCTTCGGGTCGAGCTTGAGCAGCTCACGGGCAGCACGACGGATCTTGGACAGAATCAGGGCGATACGAGCAATCTCGCGCTTGTTGCGAAGTCCGTACTCGCCAGCGAGCTGTGAGGAATCGGGTAATCAGAGCAGAACAAACAGGGCTAATGTGTGCGCACCTTGAGCTCAGTGTCGAGACGCGCAGACTCGAAAGGTCGGCGGGAGACCTTGTAGCTATGGGGCAACGGCTTTTAGCACGACATCCCTCCACATCAGTGGATCTTGAGGAATTAATTCTCACGTTTTGGAGTGGTTTCTCGGGGCCCTAAGAGCGTTTTCAGATTCGCATCCATCATGGAACAGAGGTATTACCTGGGCATTCTTGACGCGAAGGCGGCGCGGTCTTGAGGAGGTTACGGAGGAAAAAGATCAGGCCTCTGGACACTTTGCTGCACGTGCACATTCCGTGCAGCTAGGCAGCTGCACATCACGAGACCACGTCACGCTCGTGACGATAGTCCCCTCAGCCCGCAAGTAATTTTCCCCCTTCGTCCCTCCGCTCGACGACCTCCTCAAGATGCCGCACTCCTTCGGTTACCGGGCGCGCACGCGCCACATGTTCAAGCGGGGCTTCAAGGGTCTGTCTCTGCTGATTTTGAAAAGGAAGACACTCGATTGACCGGCAACCTGCAGAGCATGGTCCCGTAAAATTGTCGACTTTCCTCATCAACTACCACATCGGTGACATTGTCGACATCAAGGCTAATGCCGCTCAGCAAAAGGGTATGCCCCACAAGTACTACCACGGGTGCGTTCCGATACTTCCTCGCCGATTGATCTTGACCTAATGATAATCTCTAGCCGCACTGGGATTGTCTACAACGTCACACCCTCTGCTGTTGGTGTCATTGTGTACAAGGTCGTCGGCAACCGCTACATTGAGAAGCGTGTGAACCTCCGTGTTGAGCACATCCGTCACTCGAAGTGCCGACAGGAATTCTTGGATCGTGTGAAGCGGAACCACGAGGCGCATGTTGAGGCTAAGGAGAAGGGCGGTGAGTAGATTCATCGTTTAATCGTCGCTGGGCCTGGGCCTGGTGTTGTCTGCAACACAAAACCCTGGCCCTCACCATACCCCTTGTTCTGTGTTACTGATGACTTACACAGAGCGGATCAACCTAAAACGCATCCCTGCCCTGCCCCGTGAGGCCTACACCGTCGCCAGCGCCACCGCCTCCAACACACCGCAGACAATGGTTCCCGTCGCATACGAGACCACGATCTAAGTTCACGGTACCATTGTTGTATGCTATGCTGCTATGCGATTCTATGCAAGTGTTGCTGGTCTCGACCTGCAAGCAATCATGATCTCTTTCTTCTCTCTTTTGGGATGCAAACGTGAACATGTAATGGGGACGAACATCGAAGCCTAGGAACCAAGCTGTACATCGTACAAAGATTGCCCCATTTAATCTTTCGCATATCTTCTTTGATCTTGTCCTGCTTTGGTTTAAGTAGACGAAATGTAACACCGCCAAGTCCTCGCACGACCAACACCGAAATCAGACTGGATCATCGCAGGGCTTCGGATGTAATTGTTTTTCATTCCGATAAAGAGTAAGTGATTGAACACTGCTGGTGTCGACGAGCTCACTTTATCGGCCGAATATTGTGATCATCCAGGGTTACATATCAAGCAGGGAACACGTCCAACAAGCCCTCTGAAGCAATAGCAATGTACTTACGCGGCTACTCACATCTCCTGGACTCTGCTTCAGGTCACCGTTGAGTTGAAACGAACCCTTGGTCGGCCTCATCTTCGCTTTCATCGCTGTCGCTGTCGTCCTCATCCTCGACACCTTCATCACCGCCTACGCTAGGAAAGACCCGTGCGTCCGACGCTGTACCACGGTGACACTGGGAGGTAAAGTAAGTTCAACGGGCCAAGTATTGCACACAAGATTGCATTGCATACCTGGTAGACGGCGGTCCAGTATCCTCCCCAATACATGGCACTCAGAGCACGCGAGAACGCGTCATCCTGTGAGACCAAACGGGGATCAATTTGGGAGGTCATGTCCGTAGGAACGGGCATGTAGGCAGCGGACGCGAGGGGAACTGGGCCGGGCGCCGTCTCACCCTCTTGAGGAGCGGCAAGTGACGCATCATGATTCGGTACGAAAGAGGAGAAATCGATCGGAGTAGAGTCGGTCTCGCCATCACCACCATTGGTTAGCTCAGGTACAATGTCGGACTCTGTTTTGGGTCGTTTCTTCGCTGGTTCCGACGGTGGGGTGTTGTACCATCTGTAGAGAAAGTGAGGGCCAACGCTGAGACTCACTAGACGAACGCACAGGGAGGATTTGCAGATGGGCTCGTTCTTCCATCCCTTGCCTGGCCCATTGAGCGCTTCATACTCCTCGTTCGCTGCGTTCCATGCATCAATGAGAGCTGAATCGTCCCATGCCTCCTCCTGCGTCAGAAACCGACTGTCCTCGTCTTCCTCGAGGTCTTGAGACTTTGTAGGATTCTGATAAGTTTTTCCCCTGGCATTAGAGTGACCGCGATTGTTATTATTCTGTCCACCCCATTTCCGCTTTTTGGAGTTCGTGTTGCCGTCTGAGTGTCTGGAGGAGTTGCCGTTCGTAGGAGATTGAGACGCGTCAAACGAGGAGGATTCGTAAGGAAGCGTTATGTCGTCGTAGGATACTATAGGACGGTTCATGTCCTCCACCAAGTGATTCCACGCAAAGAGTGTTCGAGAGCTCAGAACAGTCAGATGTTTGACAGCGTAGTGTCGGCTCGGCAGTCAACTGATAGATTGCGTCCATCACTGATCTCGATCAAGTCGAACACTCTCTATCAAATGTGCTCTGCAACTCCCACAACCTGAAAAGCCTCATGGCCCCAGCTGGGTCGGTTCGGCAGAATGGGAACACAAATAGAATCGGAAGTCTGTGCTGTTAATACGCAAACTTTCTTTCATTAATGCAGTACGCAGGTCGTTTCAATCAAACCGGGGAACGAAACCAAGATCTGCACGGTGCTTGAACCTGGTCTTAATACGTTATGGGTGACACTCAGTGCCCCTACATATAGATGGTTCGCTTGACTCCGTCCAATCTCCGTATACGCCGCGAAGACCCAGACCCCGCCCCCTGCTGACACGCAGCATCAGTCCAGCTCCTTCAACTTACTATGGCGGACTACGTGAACTTTCCCCGTTGCCTGAGCCTCTTCCTCCCAGCCCAGCAGGACCTCGCGAATCGAGCGCGGAGGTTGAATTTCCCGCGAATCCTCTTCACAATCTTACAATCACGCCGTACATCCCACCACTCAGGAAGGAGAAAATACGAAGTGAGTACACAGTGGGGCAATGAGTTACTCCAACGAATTTTATGAATCAACAATTCAGAACGAAAGGCTCGACGAGAGCAAGAAAGAAGACTTGGTTCGTCCCGGATTCTGATTGTTTTTCTCGAGTTGTAATTTCTTCCTCCCTGCAGGACGCTCCGAACCAAGGTGGCTGCTGAATATCCCGGTCATCTGCATATCAGACTCGGACGATGGAGCACCAATGAAGAGACCCCGTTTGAGCGGCATACTCGATCGACAATCCCAATTTGACGAAGTCTTGGTGATAACCGATAGCGAGAATGAACTTGGCCTCGTCGATCACGTCAATGTTGTGGATCCAGACTCGGATGTAGAGATCATCGAACCGTCGCCGGTAGCATCGCACTCCTATACGAACGGATCACCTATTGGAGCGACGCGAACGTCCCCATTTGTCGTTGCTGATGCCGAGCTGACAGCGACCATCTCAGAGACACGGGACAATTCACCTCATGCGCGGTCCGACTCTCCGACTCGACCTCTCCTATTTAGTGATCCGGATTCAAGTTTCCATGAGGATGATGAGCTACTAGCGGAAACACCTCAGTGGTCAGACGACAGGAAGGAGTTGGGCCGATATTTCGACGAAGCTTTGGCGCGGCTGGAAACTCTGGAGTGCGCAGAGCTAGTGGCCGAGACCGGTCACGACTTGATTCCACCTCCCAACATCCAGCACTCTCCGGAGTTTCCGACGAATCGTTCTGTCCCGCATGTCCGTATTTCTCGACCCTGTGTCAAGATCCTATGGCACTGGCAACGACGATTTCCCCGCGATGACAGTGGGACGACGTCCAGAGACAGCACACTCGCTCCGCTAGTTGTCCTTTCAAAAGCTGCCCAAGTGATTGTGGCCACCGTGGAGACGCCAGATGAAGATTGTAGCCCAACCGAACTTGCATACCCAGACTAATCTCGTTTGTATCGATCTTGCCTTGTTTTTTTGCCATTGCTATTACTTTGTACTTGTCATTCCTTACGCCGAGTTGTTCCAATGTTCCAATGTCCCAAATGCTCTGATTCTAAGTAATTGCAGTGTGTATTGTACATTATGCGTGTCCGGAGTATGGCTATCTACAGCAAATAAGGCGATGCCTTCAGTCATCGACCTCGAGCGACAGTGTCAGCCTGTCATGGCAAAGCCGGCCCACAGCAGAGGCATCTAGGGGGATGGAGTTTCCTGCGGCACGTCAACAGGCCGCTCCAAACTGAAAAAAGAGAGGATCACCTTGGAACCCTTCAGGATAGGCATTCAGAGGCAAATCGGGACTGGTGAAGGAGCTGGATGATATAGGTGAGGAAAGAGTGTTACAGTCGGAAAGGCGGGACTTACGCAGAGCCCCAGAACCCGTAATGCTTGATACCCAAGGCTCGAGCGGTGAACTCGTAATCGTGCGCAAATCCACCCGGGTAGAAGAATTCCATGACCGTGGTACGCTCTGTCGGGTATTGCCAGATAAGATTAGTGAGACCGTTCCCGTGGACGCCCATCATGATCTGGAAAAGAATGAGCATCCCCTCACAGTGCCGCTGGAGAAACGCTCACTGTTGTTCGCACAGCGAGTCTAATCTGCTCTGCCCTGCTCATCTTCTCCATCAACACGATGTTGACCTCCCAATCATGTTCGTCGCGCAGACGATACAGTTCTCGCACTAGCTTTTCGTGATCCGCCTGCAGCAAAGTTCGACGACCCCAGGCTTGCCGCGAGATATAAGTGATGACCGGTCGCTGCGTGGTTGACTGTCCTTCGTGAAGACCCATGCCCGCCATCTGGATGACATCGTTACGTATGGTCTGCCACCAATTGACGCTGCCAGGCAAAGCGAAAGGAACGCCGGCTGTGCGCTGATAGCGCTGGAAGTTGTACGCTCTCATCGCCGACGACCGATCGGCCAGCACGACGCGCTCAAAAACAAACGGAACGCCCATCTTGACGCGGTCGTCCCAATCGTCAAGGAACTCCATGGTCACATCCGGGAACGAGGACCGGAGGACAAGCGGATTCATGTCTGTCGGGTCGCGCCACCGGAAGGCGTCCAGACGATTGAACCACATATGCCGTGGTTGAGGGAGCGTCGTCCGGCCGTCAGGCGATATGGAAGGGTCAAGCGAGGAATACGTCCGCCAGAAGCCAAAGTACAGTTCAGCCGACCAATGGTAGTAGTGACGGATGCTTCATATAGCCATGAATGGGTTGGCGACAGGATGCATGATAAACAACTCACAATTGAGGATGGTCGTTCACGAAGAACTGGGGGAAATATTCAGCCTAGATCCCTCGAGAGAGACTGGGAAATCCTCTTACCGTGACACCGTCGACGATTCCGGCACCCGTCCCGAAGAGGGACTTTGCTTCCGCCCTGGTGATAATTCGGAGGTCTGTTTCGTCAGGCAAACGCGAGTCCTCCGCTTCTTTGCCTGGAAAAATCTCTATCCCTTTGGAATACATGTCTTCCTTGTTGGGAACAGTATTGGGGTCATCGGACACGACATACACGATGCCTTTGAAGATGTACATCTTGTCGATGATGGTCCATCCTATATGCTGTGTGAGCGACCCGTGCAAGCTCAGTTGCGGGAGGCCGTGTTACCTGGCGCATGGGATAAGACCTTGGATTCGGGCACCGGTCCCTTCCCCCACGATAAACGAGTGTCGTAAACGAGCGGATTCTTTTCTTGCAACGTATCAACGACTTCGGTAGTTGAAAGGGGGATAGTCGAAGGGGCGAGAAGGGGTTTGGGGGAGCGAGAACTAGATAGGGAGAGGACTGCAACTAGAAGGACGAGCAGCAACAGGCATTCACGTCGGGTTGGAGGCGCCGGACCCATCGAGGAACGGAGAAGAGAAGAGAAGCAACTCGCGAGAGAAGCCAGCGCGTTGTCACGTGCAGAAATATCTGCTCACCGTCAGGGTGGATCATTGCCGCTGATGGAACGATGTATTTTGACCTGAAGCCGTATCTCAGTCCTTTATCGTTCTCTTCTGGTCGACTGCCTTTGGCTTCTGCTGCGATCCTCATTTGCTTCTGACTGATCTTACCGGGCTCATTGTGGCGCCCTCAGTGAAAGGTTGCACTCATTCAAGTGGTGTAGGCCTCTGAAAAATACAGGCAAGCCACTCACCTGTCTGTGTCCAACTCCTGGTGAAATCAGGCCAATTGTCTCGTGCACGGCACAAATAATTCGAATTAGTCCATTTCAAGCCTCGCTAGTCCCAGATAACTGCGCCGATCTGGGTCTATTTTCCAGCTGCATCTTCTTTGCGCAATCGGCGAGGTGTTTAATTTTCTCATATGCGTGTCGGTCCAACCCAGCTCGCCTAATGACCGCAATCTCACACAGACCAGTTCGACTACTCACTCAATGATCTTTGCTCCCATTGTCACCGCAACCTGTCCAGTCCAGCGCGCCGCGGGAGTAGACATGCCCGAGCTCCACGGATGGCGTCCCTTCTTCGTCTCGGGAACGAGGCCAGCGCGGAGTCGATTTGCTATGGTTTCAAGATCGACATGCTCGGGACAGAAGCCACGGCGGATCTCATCGACGAAGATTCGCGCGCGCGGGATGACGATCTTCTCTTGTCCCGTTAATTACCGGAGGCCCCAAGGCGCTAAGACGTAAGTGCGGCTGGTTCGCGGATGTAGACGCCAGTAGGGACTGGTTCGGTCTTGGACTCGAATGTCGACGCACCAAGGATGAGTTACAAGACTCGTCCTGCATGTGCAAATGTCATACCTGTCACATCGAGTTCCTCATTCCCCACAGCCCAGAAGTGACTGGCTCCGCGCGGGAGACGAAGGAGATCCCACGTGCCTTCTGCTCTTCTCCGGAGAGGCCGGGTAAGCTCTGGAAATCACACACGCTCATACGCACTGGCTGAAAAGCACCATCCCCTCGTTATCATGAATCGACGATACGATGCGTTCAGTACAGCCTTCAGGTATTTTCGGGACTTGCAGAGCTGGAGTTTTCAATAATTTACACAACTGGTGTGACTGCCGACCGTTGCTTGGGTGAAGCTCGAAATATTGACGACGTGTAGTCAGGTTCTCATTCGTTGCTCTTGCGATCCGATTCGACTTTGAACTAAGAAAGCTAGACACTAATCTGACCGCTAAATTCTGATTGACTGACGCTCACAACCCTGATGCATCTTTCCGTCCACGCCGAGGAGGAGAAGCTTGCAGCGGACTCAGGACTGCAAGCTACACGTGATCGTGTAAACAACTCACGTGAGTTCCGCGTGCTGCAAATTTACCAAATCCGAGTGATTCGTAAATTCCAAATCCAAAGTTGTTCATCTGAATGTACAAGGTCGCAGATCGTCATTTCATCATCGAAACTCTTCTTTTGCGATCCAGTGGTTGAGTAAAATGAACTGATTCTCTTTGTGGCAATTACAGATGCACAGAGCAATGAAAACCGTTCATCATGCATTCAGTTAGTTCTCTGAGATCGAATCCCAGCTTGATACCGATAATTCTCCTCAGTTGAACGCCGAGTCCCCCGTTTTGCGTTCACTAGCGCATTCGTACTCTCAACCCGTCAATGAGAAGTTGGCTATGCTCCCCACGAACCCGTTCCCGCCAAGCTGCGCGAGCGGTGCCTCGATCCCGATGGGCTCCCACACGAAGCTCTGCCCGTTAATGCCCATCACAGTGAGGAACTGCATCTCTGGCCCGGTGCCGGCCCGCAGGAAGGTCGAATCGCCGCGGGCGGAGAGGACGACATTCGTCCAGACACCGCGAGGAAGCGTGTAGTTGAGGACATACGGCTGGTCGTTGGACACGAGCATGATCCTGTTCACTGTGCCATTGCCGAGCAGCAGCTTCGAATCGGGCCCGGAGAGGATCGTCGAGCCGACGGCTGCTTTCGACGAGGGATTGATCGAAAAGGAGAGGGTGTAGTTCCTGCCCTTGGACCCCAGGGGAGTCGTCAGCTGGCTGGTGGACGATGGGAATGTGACTGAGCCCGATTTGACTGTGCAGCCATGGCACGTCGCATCGTAGCCGTTTCCGGACGAGTCGCGGGTGTTCCCCTGGAATTTGTACTGCACGATGAGCTCCGTCTTTGAAGGAATGGCCCGATCGAGGTTTTGGCCGGGGACCACCGAGTGCAGGCTCTCGAAGATCTGGTTGTACTGGGGCTGGGTTAAAACTCCGCCCCACTGCTTGTCGGCCAGAGCCGGCAGCCCGTCGCGCCAGCTGTAGTACGCTTCGTGTACGGTCGTGGCATTCATCCCGTAATCGTTCCACTGCGCGGCAATGTGGCCGACGATCCCCGGATGCGAGCGCGGGGGGTTGTTTGTTGCGTTGTTCGTGTCGAAGACAAACGGCGCCCAAGGTCCTCCTGCCGGATTGCCGGCGAAGATGCGGTTCATGTTGAGTATTTGAGGGTAACTGCCGCTCCACTTCCCGACGATGTAGAATCCATCGTCCGAATTGAGGACATTGTAGCCTTGCTTGAGGAGGGTGAACGGATTATCCTCAAAGAACTCCCAGTGCTGGATCGTGATGTTCTTGCTCACGCTGGACGTTGAGGACGGCTCATTGGTGCCCCAGATCCGGATCGTCTTGTTCGACGTCTGCGCGATGAATGTCGACATCGTGTTGACAAAGCGGATGTAGTCGTCCGCAATTGTGCTGTCGTATTCGTCGGCACCGATGTGTACGACTTTGCTTTGGAACCAGGGCAGAAATGTAGTCCATATCGTTTGCATGGTGGGTATAGTTTCCGGATGTCTGGTTTGGTGAACAGGTTGGTCGAGCCACAGAAAATCTCAACGCACTGGATGTTCAACAAACTCAGGTCGGACAGACCCAATTGTGGCTTCCACTGGACGATGGGCAAAGCATGGCCCGGAGCCTCGATTTCAGGAATCACCGTCACCCCCCGAGCAGCACAGCTCGATTGGAGCTCGTCAAAGTCCTCCCGCGTATAGCTTTCGTTCAAATGATACGCGGGCACGAGACCGGCAACGGCCGAGTCGTTGGAGTTGAGGCGGAACGCAGCGTACAACGACAACGAACGCGCCCTGGTGTAAACGCCGACATTGTTGAACAGGTTGTCGCTGATGTGCAGGTGCAATGTATTCTGCTTGAAGAAGGACAGATAAGCACACAGCTCGGTGAGGAAAGACACCGGATAGAAGTGGCGCCCCGCATCCAGCTGTTGATGTGAGCGCGAGCAGCGGCGCTTGTGGACGCACGCACCATGACTCCACGCGTCCCCCATCCCGGTGCATCCGTGCCTGATCCCATTGGCAGCGCCATGTTGTTGAGCTTCGCTTGCTGGATCAGCGTCCGTGTGCCCCAGAATACACCCAATGGGCTAGCGCCTGCAATAACGGCATTGTGTGCTCCAACCGTCAAAGAATATCCCTCCGCGGTGTGCCTCCCGGCTGCATCGAGGAACGTCGTGTTGCTCGACACGGTCAAGAATATCGATCCAGGGGCGGCCGCCGTTGCCGTCGAGACTGGAAGCGTGACACCGAGCACACTAAGATCAGTGCTGAACGTATGCGCGAATTCGAGGAGAGTGGGTGGGATGAGAGTCGTGCCGGTCGAGTCAACAGTGGACGCGAAGCGGCTATCGACAAGGATGCGCGAGATGCTGGCAAGAGGCAAGCTGGCGCTTGATGTGACGGTGAAGGGGACGGTCGGGATTCCAACGAGCGTTCCCGTGGCGCACCCGACAAGCGCTGCGAGCGCCGTAGATAATGAGAGGAGCATCGATATAGGTATCAGATCACCGAGTCCATGCTGCTTCTTATACTCAGGTGAACAGTTCTGACGAATATCGTCCTTGCTTCGAAAGACGATCGAAGTTTGGGCTATCTTGTTCTATCCATGAGGCGAAATACTCCCGGCTTGGCGACGCATGACGAGGAGGAACGGTCTTGAGCTGGAGCTCGGATAAGTGCGGTGTCATCGCGCAGAGTGGGAGCAAGGAGTTCGTGGGTTCATCGTGATGATGGTCGAGTCCGAAGAGTCCGAGTAAAGTTTGATTTAACCGTGATGGCGTGCGATAAGATAAGATGTATCTAATCTACAACCATTCCGCAGAGTGAGCATTGAGAACAATAGGCGCTTGACTAGCCTCGCCCTCTCTAACAGGTGTCTTGGAGAGAATGGCCGCATGTTTGAGCGCCGTCATCTTCTGCTTGCGGTCGGCTGACACCCAACCTATACTTAGATCAGCGATCTCCCGTTGCGAAGGAACCGTTTGCGGCGGAAGAGGTCTGGTGCCAGGCCCGAAAGCGTCATCCGGACTCAGGTTTCCCAGCGAGCGGAGCCACCGCCCCACTGCAGCCAAAGAGACTCGCACTTCCCACGACCCTCCTTCCTGTGACCGGTCGACTTCGCAGCACATACAGTTAAGGTCACGGACACACCGTCATGGTCTTGCAGAGTGCTGCATTGATTCCAAAGGCAAGAAGATAGCCTGCAGCGTGGTCCAGAGCTTGGACGGGGAGTGGCCGTGGTTTGAAGGCACTCTTGCTGTATTCGGCAAAGCAGGCGCCCTCCGTTTCGTTGAAGCCCGTGGCAGTTTGCACCAAGGAATCGAACTAGAATTGCACATTGCCGGCAGAGTAGTTGATTCTGTAAGAAAGACTTACTGCGCGGCGATCTTTCCAAGGGCCGTCCCATCCCCAAGCCCTCAGATTAGCAATCACAATCCCCGGCCGCAACTCGGCGAGGTTGTCCGCCCCGAATCCTTTCGCCTCGAGACCCCCTGGACGATACGCTTGCAGAAAAACATCGGAATCTGCCGCGAGTGACTTCAGCTTGCCGCGATCGGCTTCCAAATTGAGATCCAACTGGGTCGTGCGCTTTCCCCGTGAAGTATCTACGTCGAGCGTTGGGAGGTCGGGCAGATGCGGAGACGTCACAAGGAGAACGTCGGCTCCGTGAGCTGCAGGACCATCAGTCGTCTAGCAGACATGAGAAGACCGAAATCACCTGCGAGAGTCCTTCCACAGATGGGCCCGGCGAGCACGCGACTCAGATCAAGGACCCGGACTCCCTCCAACGGATGATGGAAGGAGCCCCCGCCTTCACGTCTGGGCGCATCGCCGATCTTGATTATCTGGACAGGCGGAGTTTGCGAAAGTGCCAGCGCTTGGGGATGGGCAGTCCATTGCTCAAACGTTCGGAAGGCGGTTGCACACATTCCGCGCCCAGCAGCCGCGGATTCGAAATCTTCGGCTGCCCATTGACGAAGAGACTTCTGCACTTGGTCTCTGGTGACATCGGCAGAGTCGGGGATTTCCAAGATGTTGAGGATGCCCCTTCGGTGACTAGAGAACCATCACTCGGTACTCGAATCGTCTGATTATGTGCTCACTGAGGGAAGTTGGTGTGAATCCGGACATAACCGTCTCGAGTCTCGTATATACCGGCGATGGAGTCCCATACCGATCCAGGAAGTTGCCCATCCAGAGTATACCATCCTTCAGAATCTGTTTTCGAACATGTGAGTACTGGCAGCTTCTTGTTCACCCGAAAACCATAACGGACGGAATTCGAGCACAGCGTGACGAGCATTTACAGAGACATCTTGCTCGATCTGGGTCCTCAGCGAATGGAAATGGGCTGCAGATAGCCCGGCAAGTCCGATGCTGCTCTACATGTGAAAGGGTTTCACTGCGATGGATGGTGGGACTTCGAGTAAATGATGAGCACCTGAGCAGCGTCACCAATTCTGAACGATGAATTGGGAGATTGGTTGGCGTTTGGCGGCAAATTGAGTCGAGATAGAGCAGAAGCCGGCAAGCCGTTGGATATCCAAAGATGTTTCGCTGCAGAAAACGATCGCGCAGCCATTGAGTCGCGGGACATCCCAATCGCGTCAGAGTAAGAGTGTCTTATTATCACTGGGACTGAATCGATGGCAACGGGTTCGAGAAACCGACTAGGTCAAGCGACTTGACTCCAAGTTACTCTTGGACTGCGGCCCCGACTCAGGCTCGGTCACGCATTAGAGAATTATCACGTGAATGCCATGATGACCTAAGCATCTCTAGTCTCGACTTTCTTCCCAGACAAGTTTTCGGACTGCCGTTTGAAATCAATGGCGGAACGCGCTCCTGAAGATGCCCGCCCAGATAATACTGCTGCCGCATCGTCCTCGTCTTCGCTATCGAAGTCCGCTATCTCTTCTCCCGTGAAAGAGGGTTCGCCTATGACCCCGGCTTCACTTTCCGCCTCATTTGCGGAATTCAACACCAGTGTGCAAGCGGCTGCACTGCAAGCTACACGGAGTGCAGCTGGTTTGCCCTCAGACATCGGCTTCCACAGGTCGATTGACCGCGAGCTTGCCGACGATCTCGACGCGTTTTCGGCGCGTGTTCTGTCGCTCACGAACAATCTATTGGCATTGGCTGCGACTGCTGAGTCATCTTATCACGGCAAGGGAAAGGCGAAGCTGCAAACCTGCGACGACGTCGTCGATGACTTTCATTCGTTGGTGGTGGATTCCATGGACCGGTTGCTGGAACGAACTGTGAGTGACATCATCCCGTTTGAGGCCTACTAAACCGCTCTCAGGATACGTGTCTTGATGATTTCCTGGGCCGAAACAAAGTGCCTGTGGTCACGATTGACGCTGAAGCTGTCCGCAAAACTCAAAAACCCGTCGCGGTGAAGGGCGGGCGTCTGGACCCAGCAGTGCAGCACGCAGCCAGTCTCGTCAAACCGCAGCTGTCATTCAAGCACTTGGTCAAAAACACCGACGAGCCGTGGTATCCAGCTCTTTCGCACAAATTCAACGCTCAAGTGCCGTTGGGCCATATCTTCGAAGACGCAGAAAGTGATACTATCATGTACGCGAATCGCTCTAGTTTCAGCGATGTTTTGATGTGAATCTGTGCGCAGGAAGCACCCGTACCGATACGAAATCACGCACACACCCTATCCGCAGCGCATGTTTCAAGACGCCACACCCATCGCCCCTACGCCTTTTGAATCGACATCAGCTATCTGGGTGTCCACTCCCGAGGCGTTGGCGTCCATGGTGAACGACCTGCGCCGTGCGAGTGAGATCGCCATTGACCTTGAACACAACGACTATCGGACATATGTGGGGATGGTATGCCTGATGCAGATCAGCACCCGCACTCAGGACTGGATCGTTGACACGTTGGCCCTGAGGGCCGAGTTGGCGACAGGTGAATTGAACGAGGTTTTCACTGATCCAAAGATCGTCAAGGTGTGGAAAGCAGCCTCATTTGGTACTATTGTGGCTCATCTAATTCGCAGGTGCTTCACGGTGCTGAGAGCGACGTAGTTTGGCTGCAGAGAGATTTTAATCTTTACTTGGTCAATCTATTCGATACCTTCCATGCCTCGAAGTTGCTTGAGTTCCCTCGGCATGGACTAGCAAACTTGCTGGAGATGTATTGCGACTTTACACCGGACAAGCGGTACCAGCTCGCTGACTGGCGTATACGGTGTGTGTTGACTTTCCTCAAGAGATTCACGGTCTGATGTTTTCTAGCCCATTGCCCGACGATATGTTGCAGTATGCTCGATCTGACACGCATTTCCTCCTGTTCATCTACGACAACTTGCGCAATGCCCTTCTGGATCGAGCACGATCCCGTCCGTCATCCCCTTCGCCGAATGCATCCTCGAATAGCAGTGAACACTCGTTTGTTCGACAAGTACTCACGCGCTCCGAAGAAACTGCGCTGCGAATATACGAGAAGGAGACTTACGATTCGGAACGCGGGTCAGGGCCTGGTGGCTGGGACTCCCTCGCCCGAAAATGGAACAAGGGTGCATTGGTCGCTGCCGCGGAGACACCCACTGGCAAAGAAACGCTTCAGCGGGCAGTCTACCGATGTGTTCATGCTTGGAGAGACCGAATCGCTCGGGAAGATGATGAGAGTGTCCGGTGCGTGTGTCACGCAATAGCAAATTAATGTGCTGAGCATCCAGCAGATATGTGCTTCCGAACCATTTCCTGTTCCAACTGGCAGAACAGCCCCCGTCCGACATGGGGTCGCTGTTGAAATTGTTCCAGTCTGTGCCTCCCGTTGTGCGGAGGAGGGCGAAAGAACTGCTGGATGAGATCAGGGCTTGTGTTGATCAGTATAGGTCAACTCCTGCTGCACTCGTAGAGCCGAAAAAGGATGTTTTCATGGAGCAAGCACCACTGGCACAGGAAGGTAGGCTACTGTTTTGGTGAATTTGACGAATGCTAACAGGACGCAGTCCGAGCTCCCGTTCAATCGAGCCTGTTTGGTGCTGCTGTCGTCAAAGCCTCGAACGTCACGGCCTCTAGCTCCCTCTTTGGAGACAAGGCCGGTCCGAGAACTGTCGCAGTAAGCCCTCTTTTCCTTAACGACATGCTGGCCAATAACCCTTCTCCAGCTGACCTCCCAGTTCCGGGAAGTGCTATCTCGGATCCATAACAAGCTTGTCGTCATTCCTGCCATGCCTGTGGTACGTGGATCTCCTCGGGATCGCCCGACCACTCTGATGTCATTCTAGGTCCAACCCGATCCGGAGCCAGTTGCCGACCCTGCATTGGGCATGCAGGTCGAGATGCCTTACGTTCCTCCGGCACAACGGGCGATCCGACCCGTCGTCGACGAGTCGATCGTCGTCGTCGGGCAGGCTCGTCAGAAGAAGCGGAAGCGCACCAAGACTGAGACGGGTGGGCAACCGGACACTGTAGAGAAGACAGAACCGCAGGAAGAATTCGACTTTTCTGCGGTGCCCAATATCCTGGACGATGTGCCGAATGACCAGGATATGAGGGTCAAAAAGAAGAAGAAAGGCGACAAGCGAGGGAAAGGTGAGTCGATCTGTGTTTCGGCTGGGCGTTTTTGAACGGGGGACAGATAAACCGATGTATGGAGATTTCCCTGCGCCACCGAAAGCGCACAGAGACGTGAAAAGTGGCAATATGTCCCATACTTTCAAGCGGTAAATTCGGTGCCTACACAGTTATTTCATACTTGCATATCGAACAATACTTTGCCAATCTTCGAGTCGTTGAAGGCAGCATAATACTCAACAGCCTCATCCGCTGAAACGACTTTCTCGACAAGGCTCGCTGAGTCGCCGACGCTGCCGAAGATGTCCTGACGTTTGACTGGGTTGAAAGAGTCAAAACTGGATGACAAAGCATTGCAGAGCACTCACCCAAGAGGTCGAAGGCCATGGGGAACATGGCCCGAGCGGGACAACGTCCAAAGTCGAAGGACACGTTCTTGTTGTACAACTGCGATCCAACAAAGGGCACCGCAGGCGATCCATGCACGCCGACGGAAGTGATGACACCAAAGGCGCGGACAAGATCGTATGCCAACGAGAGCGCACTGTTGTTGCCCACAACCTGAGTGCTTGTCATTTGAAAACATTCAGCCGTGGGTTAGGTGGGTGTACCTCGAGGACAGCAGTGCACCCGGTGCCCGCTGTCCAGGTTTTCACTGTCTCTCGGGCTTCCTCGATGCTCAGGGCGGCGAATTTCCCAGACGCGGATCCAGACGATTTGATCTTGTCGTAGATAGTCTGTGCTTTGTCGCGGCGGCTCTCGACCGGGTCGACAGCGATGATTTGGTATTGGAGCCGCTGGGTCTCGAGCATGTCTATGAGGCTGACGCTGGCGCACAATCCCACGGGTCCGAGCCCGATAATCGCGAAAGTAAGGATCTGGTCCTCCGGTTTCATGGTCGCGACTGCATCTGAATCCGCCGCAATCATCGACGGCCAGGGTTTCCCCGTGATCGCTGGCAGGACTTTGGGGTGATTCAGCGCTTGCAGAGCTGCGAATACTCCCGTCGGAAGGATATCAGCCAGCAGAAGAAGGGAGCTGTCGGTGATTGCCGAGAGGGCTTGCTCTTTGGCCGCCGCGGGCATCGAGGAGGACCAAGTGGATGGATCGCTCAAATTGAACAAAGTGCCTCCGGCGTATGGAACTCTGACATATTGTGCTTGGCCGCCATCCAAGGACGGGCTGCCAAAGAGAAATCCAGAGGGGCATCGACAGGTGTAACCCAAGCGGCAGACACTGAGGAGCATTCAGTTGCTGCCGTGCTTTGGAAATGTAGCCCTTACGAGCATTCGCCGCAATTGCTAGTAAACGGTGATACGACCTAGAATTCCAGTTCGGGAGTCGATTTGGACCCGGAGCGCTGTCCCCCACCTTATCGCCGATTTTGAGTTTGGCGTAGAGCGCAGGACGACCGTCGACAGCCTGCTCAAAGCTCGACCCGAGCTCGACCACCTCCCCGACGAACTCATGACCACATGTATGGCTAGAATAATTTGGCACTTGCGATCTCAGATTGTGATCATGCGCCGTACACTTGAGTTACCCCGCCGTGCCCTCTGTAGATGTGCAAATCGCTGCCTGGCATCATGATCAGGTTCTGCGAGGCGTATCTTATCGCACCCCTCACCGCATAGCCCTGCCAACTATCCCGCATTCGAGGATTCGTGACCCGTGTTGGTTACCATTCATCGATTCGGGCTTACCGCGACTTTCACAACCGCATCATCGGGATGCTGGATTCGCGGGACGGGAACCGACTCGACTCGGATGTCGAACGCCGGCGGATAGAATCGGATGGCTTTCATCATCTTCGAGTCCGGCGATGAGTCCCTGTGCACGAATTCCCTGGTCAGTCCGGGTCTCGTGGCCACGGGCGATGCGTGGTACTACCTCGGAATCGGAAGTACTAAATGGGAAAATCACGCGGCCGCCCTCAGTCAGGGCCGATAACATATCTTTAAATAAGATTGATATCCGCAAGGGGTTCCCAATACATCACTTGGGGAGCACATACTGTAGTATACCGAACTGGAACTGTCGTGTTTGGCCTCAACTCAGGAAGTCAGAGGTCACTCAATACAGAAGGGACTGAGAGTACTGTACTGCAGGCCCCTCCATAAACAATGGCAATGTGATGCGTCACGGAACGCGTCTTGTCACATCATGTCACAGAGCGCATGTGCTCTATGCAAGTCTGTTCCCGCCTACGGGTCTCGGCCGGAGAAGCTCGTCCAGTATCTACACAAATTGTCGGTTGTGTCTTAGCAATGACCTGGCAACAAGTCAAAAAATCCCGGTGCTCCGCCCGAGCGGTCCATCCACCGACCTATATAAGACCGCTCTGATTGGACCGAGCAACTCAAAAACCGGATCGGACTGACCATGATTTTCCTGTCCCTCCTGGCTGCTCTGTCCCTCGTCTCGCTCTCCAGCGCACAGGTTGGACCCGGTCGTGTCGCAGGCAATGTGAACCCCGTCGCCGATCCCACGATGTGCCGATCGGCCAGCGGAGAATACTTCGTTTTCTGTCCGTCTTGTGTCTTGCTGCCGGGTTGAGCTTGCTCTCTGAAGTCGTTATATTAGCCACGGCACCCGGGATTGCCGTTCGCACCTCTCCTGATCGCGTAACGTGGACATATCGCGGTGTCGTTTGGCCCAGCGGTGCAAGCTGGACGGACTCGTGGACCGGGACCTCGAACGGGTGCGTCGCGCATGGACCTCTGCCTGGAAATATTCTGATAAAATTCAAGGAACCTGTGGGCGCCCGACTGCACGGTCATCGGGGGTGTTTTCCACGTCAGTCCCTAACCGGCCTCTATGTTCTGATGCTGACCATCCGTTTCTCAGCTCTACTACGCTGCTTCTAAATTCGGCACACACGACGTTCGTGGGGCACTGAAATGTTCACCTTGCATCAAAGGCTCACCTCATCGCAGTCTGCTATTTTCCTCGCCAAATCCAACACTGGGCTTCCCGGCAGTTGGACGAATGAAGGCCTGGTCACCAGCACGGGATCCAGCAGCAACTACAACGTGAGTTGGTTAATTTGGACTTATGACGACGGCGTACTCAATGCGTAAACCTAGGCAATCGATCCCAAGTAAGTCGCTTATCTTCGCTTGAAGTATCGCGATCAATGAGGCCCATCACAGTCTCTTCATCGGTGCGCCTGATGGTCCCTTATAATGGCCATGGAAACTGACCGGATGATTTCGAAGATGGAAGCAACTGGTTCCTATCCCTAGGCAGTTTCTGGTCCGGGATCAAGCTTCAATCGTGAGTGTCAGTCATACATCCCCTTCACTCTCCGACAGTTATCTTGTTTCGTTTCCTAGACTCTCCGCTTCTACAGGCAAGCCGGCGAGCAGTGCTGTTACGTCACTTGCCGAGCGCAGCTCCGCGAGCGGCGGTGCATTGGAGGCCAGCGTCATCTACAAGTCGGGCTCTTACTACTATCTGTTCACGTCCTGGGACAAGTGCTGTGCCGGCACCAGCAGCACCTACAACATCCGAGTTGGCCGTTCAAGCCACGTGAATGGGCCCTACGTTGACAAAGCCGGCGTCGATCTCATGAAAGGCGGCGGAACGCTTGTTTTGCAGACCCACGGAGGAGTAAGCAAACTCTCGGTGGGAGTCCGCTGGAACCGGGAGCTAATACTTTGTTGCGCAGGTCTTCGGTCCCGGCGGACAGGACATCTACCATGATGTGGACGGTCCTGTGCTTGTTTATCGTGCGTTACTTGCTATCTGCGTTGCGACACTTTCTGAAATCAGCCCACCTAGACTACTACACCTCGGCTGGCACTTTGGTATGGGACAGCTCGTTTTGTGCCCAGCCTATTACTAAGCGTTGTAGCTGGGAATCAACCTCTTGGATTTCTCGTCCGGATGGCCGGTAAGCTGATGATCGAGTCCCATTGGATTCCCGTCTCATGCTGACCATCGCTCCAGGTTGTCAAGTGATCCGTGGTCTTCGTTGGTTGACTATCAGATTTCGCCTTTGCCACTCATTCCTAATATACCTCCTTCTAATTCCGACAAGCACAATCATAATAAAACGACTCAACGGGCTGCGTTGGCTGTAGCGATCACTCGGGTTTCCGGAATCTTTGAGCCGGATTGAGAGCGTCGCCCAAAGATATCCTCGACTGGCTTTTGCTATGATAACTCACGGGTGATGGTTGAACTGAAAGAGTGATTTCGCCAAGCCCGGTGTCATCGTTTACGAAAGATCAGCGAAAGATGGCACAATTAGGCCAGGGGGAAGCGAAGTATAGTGAGGGCCATCCGCTCCCTGTCACTTACAAAATGTAAAATTGAAAGAGTTTGAATCCAAGAGAACGAGACTGCAGCGACCGCCTTTGTTTCCTGTGTTACGCTTGGCCGCAAGTGGAAATCTGAACAGAAAGCGTGTATTGCTTAGTATGACCTCATCCATACGCTTCCAGTTGGGACACTGACTCCGGTGGCTGTGTGGATCTGCTAATGATGTAATTTTGAACGCGGTACGGATTCATTTTCGCCTTGGCTTCCACCTCCACGCATGTCTTCATCCGTCGGGTCGCCAGCAGAGGGTGCATCGTCTACCAAGAGGACGCCGTCTGATGTGTTTCGCCCCCGACTACCCTTGGATCCCTTCTCGCCTTCCTCTTCAGTTCCTCGAATGTCACAAATGAAGGATCCTGACACACCTTGGGCTGCCTACGAATTGCCTTTGCTGGCAGAATCTTTCGAGCAGGGTCCGCGAGTACTACTGGTGCTCGGAGGTGGGCTCTTTGGCTACTCGAGCACGATCTTATCAGCTCATACCCTTCGTGCAGCATCAAATCCTCATGTTTTGAGTCCCATTCTCCGCTCTCGAACATTTTCGAGCAGCGTTGTGCTATACGTCACGCACACGAACCCTCAGCTTAATGCTATAACTGCTGCCATCGGATCCAATCCCAGTCCACCCTGTGTCAGGGTTCTACGATTGTCGGCTGCTCTGACACCCACAGCACCCGCCTTCGCTCTCACGCTCGTGGGCATTCTCGAGGCAGCAGCGGCCGTAGCGCGCTCATGGAGAGCAAATCCGCACTCCGGTTCTCAAATCGAGCAACTGTCCCAAGACTCCACCGGCTCCTTCACCGTGTGTGAGACCATATCCCCACATCCCTCACCTCCACTTCAGGCGTCCGAGCACCTACACCATGCTCTCAAGAAGCGCTCGTCAGTCCCAGCCTCACCTGACTCTCCGTATTCCACCACCCGCTCACGACCGCCATCCGCTCTTTCCGTCGACTCCACTGCCTCGAAACAGCGGAGTAGTTTCTTGAATTTCTCGTCACGATCTTCTACTTCTGTCCACCGACAGAACCCCAAACGAATGTCTTCGCCCTATCCGCCCACATCGAAACGAATGTCCAGCGGGACCAAGCGAGCTTCAGGCATAAAACTGGATGGAACTCGGGCGTTCGACGCGTTGATCTCCTTTCTTCCACCTGCACAGCTGGAAAAGGCCGTACTCAAGCAGGTCGTTCTGGTCAGCACTCTCGCAGGGACTTTCCTGACTGGTCCGACCCTGTCTGGAAGCCCTCGGTTTGCATCTGCACCTGGATCTCGCCGAGGCAGTCTTAGCGGAATCGTGCCTGAGTGGCCAAAGTCCCTGGCAAGCGGCGCAACAAGCCGCACTGGATCCATCAACGGCGACGGATCAGACAGGCCGCATTCACCTGCCCGGTCCATCTTTAGCTCCATCCGAAGCCAACCTACCTCCGTCTACCACGCTGCACTGTGGGGCACCCAGTGCAGGCCCCACATTGTGCATATATTGCCGGCGAGTTACAAGAGTCCGAAGCTGTCAGCTGCTCTCGGCGCATTCGTAGCCTCGTATTCGGCCCCAGCAGTGCCACTTCCAGTTTCGTTCTCGGCCTCGAGCTCATCGGAGTTTTCGGAAGAGCTGCTGTCAGCTGGAGGATCTTTCGGTCAAGGCAAAGGGAAAGCGCACGCCTATGTCGTGGCAGAGCGCGCAGTGCCTCTCGCACTCGAAACCATTCTTATCGGCGGGATTGATTTTTCGGCAGAGGGCCATGTCAGAGGGGGCGGCTGGGTTTCTGCGGTGCGGGTAGAAGAAACTGCCGCGTCGTATGGGCTACCCACTCCGCCGGACAGCCGAAGTGGGAGTGGTGAAAGTGGGGAAGAAGGACAATGCTCAGACGAGCCCGAGCCGGCACAGCCTGAACTGCCATCGATGGGAGATCCAGTCCCGCAAAAATCTGACATTCCATCATCTTTCAACAACACAACAACTCGCAAACTCAGGCGGGCGAGCCAGCGGCGAAGTGATGCAGAACCAGGTCGCTCGATCTCACAACAGCCAACATCCGCAATCGCGCGCACGCCGAGCAACCGTCGGCGGGTCGAAAGTGCGCCGTCCGATGCAGGATTGGCCGGCATTGGCGCCCGCGGAGGACGACCAGATGAAAGCAAGATAGCCTCAAGCACAGCACGTCCGATAGGCAAAAATCGCAAGACCTGGAGCCGAGGCAGCCGCTTCTTCGGAGGCAAAGGCCCCGACGATTTCAAGCTGAAGCGCTCGACGATGGGTACTACGGCTCCGAACAAATCCAGAGTAGCTGCCTTGCGAACAAGCGATGAGCGGGGCCGCAGCTCCCCCGACTTGCGCGAACTGCCAGGTGGCGGCCTCGATGCTTCGCACAAGAGGAGAAAACCATGGTGGATGTTCTGGGCCTGAACGTCAGAGCGCCAACTCGACCGTTCTGTACGGACTCTATCTATGCCAATATCGGACATGGGGTACTACCACACATCCTTCATTCACATACCCTTATTTTTGATTCCTGTAACTTCACCTTGTTGTAGCTGGAGCGCCCTAATTGTATCCGATACCAACATTCTGCATGTCGACAATACACATAAGATCAATTATATCATTGATCGTGACCTCTACTTGGAGGTAGAGTCTGAGCTTGAACAATCATGTCGAACAAATCCAAAAAACAAACCAAGTCTTCGTCTTCGTCGCTGCCTGCAGAACACAAGTCTAAGGTAGGCCATTTCTACGTCGGCGTATTCGCGCGTAACCGCTCCAGAAAGCCCAGGCGCGACACCCTGTATCCTGGCTACCTTGGCTCGCGCTTCCCGTGGCTGTATTAGCTGTCGCGTACTCCTCTGGTTTCTTCTCGTCACCGAAGCTGGAAGAAACGTCTCTCGAGCCTTATGTTGTCAAAGATCTTCCTGGAAGAGGGAAAGGTCTCGTCGCGAGCAGAGACATCAAGCAGGGGGAGTTGGTAATCCGAGAAACACCGCTGTTCATTGTCCCTCAATCTAGTACGTCTTCTCACAGATACCTGGTCCGAGGTTCTGATTATGAACGTGCCAGTTTCCGAGTCACCCACAGTCCTCATCTCGCGTTTGCTTAGTGGGGTGTCTGCTGAAGACCGCCAAGCTTTCATGAACCTTTCTTATGTCAACCTCCCACCCTCAGAAACCGATCCGGCGGCAATTGCCTTAGCAATCTTCCAAACAAACGCGGTGGCAGCGGGGAATGGGGTCGGCATTTTCCCTCGCATGGCGCGCTTGAATCACGGGTGTTCGAGCGCATTCAACGTGGTGTATTCATGGAGACCGGCAGAACAGGCCCTTTTTGTACATGCGCTGAGGGATGTGCGGCAGGGACAGGAGCTGCTGACGACATATACCGATACTAAACGGCCCCGGAGCGAGCGGCGGTACGTCGGGTGTGATCGTTACCAGTTCTTTGCTGAGCGAGATGACTACTCAGCGAATATCTGTCGCATCAGTACGGGTTTTTATGCATGTGCCGTGTCTGCGCGATGGCCGAGGCTGAATCGCAGGCTTCCGACCGCCGGCTGACGAATATCCGAGACTATTACAAGCATCTTTCCAGTTGGGGCGAAGAAGCCATTGACGGCATGGCAGCAGTCCAGACCATCAACGCTATCTGGAAGGTAGAAAACGAGGAGGGATACTGGAGTGAGCGGGGCCAACTAGCTGCCGATGGCGCCTGGATCGCAGCTGCGCATTCCGAGTGCGTCTTGTCTCGTCGGTCCTTGAATCTAGCTGATTTGCAGTGCCCCGGCTGTTCGCTCGTGGGCTAAACTGGCTATCCGATGGTTCTCCTTCGAGCTCGGAGCAGACAGTGAACTCATTTCGGAGATGAGGGTTGCTGCGGAACATCCGCAGGCTCATCGGGCCTGGGGCTCGAGACAACCGATGCCCGTTGGTGCGCACATGGACCATAGTCCGTCCTGAACGTATGGATGGGACTGGGAACGCACTTTTATGTAATATCGGATAGTCCTTCGGGTGCCGATATCACGCAGCATCTCTGCGTAGCTAGCTGTTTATGAGACTAGAGTACAGCCATGGTACATGCGTGGGAATACTGTCTGAATGAGGCCACGTCTTATTTAAGCACCCCAGGGCTTTCCATCTTCCGTTTACACCTTTTGGCACTTCCTCGAGGTACACGCCTCTCAAGCTCACTTAGTCCTTTCCTTTTTTTCTTCGCCTATTCCCCCTTCGCCCTCATGGCGACTTCCACATCCGACGTGATTATTCTCGGCCTGGGCATTACTCTAGCCGGTACCTACCTCTTCCGTGAACAACTTTTCGCACCCTCGAAGCCCAAGATCGCACCGCTACCAACCAAAGCCGCTAATGGGTCCGGAAACCCTCGCGACTTCGTTGCAAAGATGAAGGAGGGGGTATGTGCAATACTTTGCCAGGGGCCGGTTGTGCTTTCCACTGATCCTTGTCGTAGAAAAAACGCATCGTCATCTTCTACGGCTCTCAAACTGGCACGGCAGAGGAATACGCCATTCGGCTCGCAAAAGAGGCCAAGTCCAAGTTCGGGCTTGCCTCACTCGTCTGCGATCCCGAAGAATATGATTTCGAAAATTTGGATCAGATCCCAGAGGACTGCGCGGTCTTCTTCGTCATGGCCACATACGGAGAGGGAGAGCCGACAGATAATGCCGTGCAGCTTATGCAGAATCTCCAGGACGATTCCTTCGAGTTCTCCAACGGCGAGCACAAACTAGAGGGCCTTAAATATGTGGTCTTCAGTCTTGGGAACAGGACATACGAGCATTACAACCTTATTGGACGTCAAGTTGATGCTGCTGTGGAGAAAATGGGCGGCATCCGCATCGGCGAGCGCGGAGAGGGCGATGACGATAAGAGCATGGAAGAAGATTACCTCGAATGGAAAGATGGAATGTGGGATGCGTTCGCAGCTGTCATGGGTGTTGAGGAAGGACAAGGCGGTGATTCCGCCGACTTCTCCGTGTCGGAGCTTACGGAGTACGCCCCGGAGAAGGTGTACCTAGGTGTGTGCATCATCGTTGTGTCTTGGTCAATGCCTAAACTCCGCAACAGGTGAACTCTCCGCTCGTGCTTTGACGAAGACCAAAGGAATCCATGATGCCAAGAACCCCTACCCCGCCCCTATCATTGCCTCCCGAGAACTCTTCCAAGTCACCGGAGATAGGAATTGTGTGCACATCGAGCTCAGCACGGAAGGTTCCGGTATCACGTATCAACACGGAGATCATGTCGGGATCTGGCCGTCAAACCCGGAGCTCGAGGTCGACCGTCTTCTCTGCGCTCTCGGACTGTACGACAAGAGGGATCAGGTTATCGGTATCGAGTCGCTTGACCCTGCTCTAGCCAAAGTGCCCTTCCCCGTTCCAACGACCTATGCCACAGTCCTCCGCCACTACATCGATATCAGCGCTACCATCGGGCGTCAAATTCTGGGACCGTTCTCCAAATTTGCTCCATCCCCGGCCGCGGAAGAGATGTTGAAGAGCCTGAACTCCAATAAGGAGGAATATCATAAGATCGTCGTCAATGGTTGCTTGCGATTGGGCCAGGTGCTTCAGCTTGCTGCGGGCAATGACATGAACGCCGCACCTTCTACATCCAACACAACGGCATGGCACATTCCTTTTGACCTCATCGTGTCGGCTATTCCCCGTCTGCAACCTCGGTTTTACTCGATTTCCTCCAGCCCCAAACTCTACCCTACCTCGATCCATGTCACTTGCGTCGTCCTCAAGTACGAGTCTGTTAAAAGTGCTGCGGTTGATTCCAGATGGGTTTACGGAGTCGGGTCCAACTTCCTGCTCAATCTCAAGCAGGCCGCCAATGGAGAGACCCAGTCGTTGGTTGCCGGCGACGCTTTGCCCGTTTACGCTATCGAAGGTCCCCGGAGCGCCTACAAGAGCGATGCAATCTATAAGTCTCCCATTCACGTCCGACGGTCCACTTTCAGATTGCCCACGAACCCCAAGAGTCCAGTGATCATGATTGGCCCTGGAACCGTGCGTCTCTCTGTTTACGTTTCGTATCTCTCTCTAATATTCGATGCAGGGTGTCGCTCCTTTCCGTGGCTTCGTCCAAGAACGTGTCGCACTGGCTCGCCGCTCGATTGACAAAAACGGACCCGATGCCCTGGCAGACTGGGGCCGCCTCACCCTGTACTATGGCTGCCGGAAGTCGACTGAAGACTATCTATACGGCGATGAATGGCCCCAGTACACAGAAGAGCTCAAGGGCAAATTCAACTTGCGCTGTGCCTTTTCGCGTGAGCCCCCGTACAAGCCTGATGGATCCAAGATCTACGTGCAGGACTTGATATGGGAGGACCGCGAGCCCATTGCCGACGCCATCCTCAACGGCAAGGGCTATATCTACATCTGCGGTGACGCGAAGAGCATGAGCAAGGCCGTGGAGGAGACCTTGGCTCGAATCCTCGGCGAAGCTAAGGGTGGTTCCGCTGAAGTGGAGGGTGCTGCTGAGGTCAAGATGCTCAAAGAGCGTTCCCGACTAATGTTAGACGTCTGGAGCTAGATTTCCCCATGTTATCTTCCTATGTCGTTGTCTTGCGTCTACTATAGTATACAGTATTTCGCCCCACTTAAACCTACGCTGTAATGAGTGGAAAGTCCGCCTGATCCGCAATCAAAACCCGGCCGCTTGTGATGTTTCCTCTGCGGTCGTCACTGCATAAGTCTCTTCGCTCGCCCGCGTTCACCCTCTCTCGGAATGTATCACAGAATTTTACAACACCCTCTCCGGAAGAACCCAACGAAAAATCCACGTCTATTCATGAAGAGACACCACGCCCATCGTCATCCGCGTTGACGGAGAAGCCCGTTTCAGCCCCGGATCCCTCGTCAGAGCTGAAACAACGCATACGGAAATTCGTCGACGAATCGTTGCTCAATGCTCGTACTCGGGCAGACGAGTTCTCTGCGGCTGCAAAAACCACGTTCTCCCAGCTGGGTTTGCAGCTGAACAAAGTAACGGGCTATGAGGAGATTGAAGCGCTGAAGCGACGCGTCGTAGAACAGGGTGAGTGTGTCGCACCATGTCATCTTGTCCGAATAGCTTATGGCTCGACTGTCAGAGGCCAGTATCAACAATACCCGCGAAGCGGCACGACAAGCAAAGGCAGCATACGACCGGGCGGTCGCCCAGCGTTCTGACTCCCAGAGAGAGATTAACGACCTGTTGCAGCGCAAGTCGCTGTGGAATCAAGCAGATATCGCGCGTTTCACTACTCTGATACCCCAGGACCATGTGTTGGAGCAGGCAGAGGCGCAAGCACGACTCAATGTGCAGGAAACGGAAGATGCTGTTGAACGCGAATTTACAGGTCTCATGCGCACCATCTTAAACCGCTACCATGAAGAACAAGTTTGGTCCGACAAGATCCGTAGTGCCTCGACTTACGGGTCACTCGCTGCGCTCGGGCTCAACTTGTTCGTTTTCGTCACGGCCATTATTTTTGTGGAGCCATGGAAGAGAAAACGTCTTGCGGCAACATTCGAAAAGAAGATCGAAGAAATGAATCGGGAAAACGAAGCCATGACTTCGTCCAACATGCGCGAAATCCAGCTGAAGTTGGATGCGCAAACGCAACTACTGTCACGGACTCAGATCCCGATCCCAGAGATTGTCATTTCGCCGACGCCTGTGGAGGATCGCGAGCTGGGTTCCGAACCGGCTCTTCCTGTGGAACTATACCGTCGAATCTGGTCCAAAGCCCAAGATCCGGAAGTGGGTGGCACGATGCTTGGCGCAGCCGCTGTTGCTGGGATCGTAGGGTGGTTGATGAGGACATGGGTGGGTAATTGAATAGCTCAATCCCGAGCCGGAGATGAAACTCTTAACACGCGTCGCGTGCGTTGGAGACTAGTAGCACTGGAAGCAGGGCTCATCGTACTTGCTCGTCGGTCATCAAAGATCGGATTCAACATGTAGATTAATATGATCGGTGATTGACCTCATCTCCCATCTACGAGGAGTTGGCGTCCTTGATCTCGATTCCCAGCACGGGCTCACCTTCTGGGTCATTGGGACAGGTCATGTCTGCCACTGAGGTTCCCATGAGTACACCCAGCTAAATCTGAATTCAGCTGCTCTGCTCATTAGTGGATCATCATCCCTGCATGATTGATGGCGAAGTCCGTTTGCTCAGAAGTTACCGTAACTCTTTGTGTACAAATGCCCACCTTGAACTCTCTGTTCCCCGAATTGTTATTCGAGCTACCGGCATACCTTCATTCCATAGAGGATCTGCTTGCTATCTCTTCGACCAGCAGGACGTTGCACGCGATATGCTCCAACCCTGATCCCCGAGTAGTCCTGCGTCTCGCTTCTATCTCCGGCCGTGTCTTTTTCAGACCACACCCTCACCTACTCATTGCTGCAACGGCGCGTCGGCTGTCAGACTGGGCTGTCGAAAGTGAGGGCCGTCGCCATCGTCTGGAATATGCCTTCCACGGTGGAGTTGAAAAGCTTCTGGAACTCGCAGTTGCTGTGACTGGACTCAGTATGGAAAATATCCGTCGACTTGGCGCCTACCGTCGCGATGTCCTGAACCGGCTCAGTCGGGAACTAGATCTGGCGGCAGGTCCAGCATCCAGAGCAGATGTATTCACAGTGCGCAATGATCCTGAAACCATCCTCCTCACCTGGGCCATCTATGAGGAGCTTTCCATCAGAATGCAGAGTTCAGCTATCTGCCTTTCCCGCGGCACCAATCTTTGAGCTCACTCACGCGCTTCAAGTGGTTGATTTTCTGCGTTCCGGACGTCAATAGCTTCTTATTCATGGGTGTTCGGGACCAGCCGGCATAGTTCAAAGAGTACGTGCAGGACGAAACCGACCTTGACCAGCAGCTCAGTCTGTCCGAAGCAATGATGGGAATGCTCAATGACAAGCTGTGGATTGCGGCAATCGATCATCTGAACCTTCAAGGACTGGAGTCACCCGCACTGAAAGATGCATTCGTCTTTATTGTCATGCATGTGGGAATGAAAAGTCTCCAATTGCTTGTCCCAGGAGAAGCACAGAAACTGCGGTCGGAGCTGGGGATGATCATCTCTGGTCTCCGTCGCGCTGTCGACGGGATCAACGGCAGCGAAGGACCGGAGATTGACTTGTACCAACGCGTTGCGCATTTGGACGCAACCGTTCGCGCCAAAAAACAGACGACCCTCTTCTCCACTCCGCTTTCCCGTCTCTCCACCGAGACTTACAATTCACCCTGTGGGGAACCTGGCAAGGACTACCAGGTGATCGATACCTTGACCCAGATGAAGAAGCTCAAGTTCTTGCTTACTTGCAGACAATCCCAGAGATCAATACAGCAGATTAGATTAGGATTAGATTGTGCAATGGTGGCAGTGCCACATTTTTGTTTCCATCCACCATGAGCCGACCAGGCCCTTCTCTACCTCCTCCGAGTAAAAAGCGCAAACTCGACAAGAACCCGGCCCTCTTGGAGTCTATTACAAACTTCGAAAACGAACTGAACTCTGCCGCTGCCGCGAATAGCTCCTTGAATCCCTTGGCCGATCTGCTCGAACTTGCTGTAACGTGTCAAGACGCACAACAGACCTCAAAAGCCATATATGCGCTCTATCGAGTGTTTGTCGTTCTCATTCAAGGCGGAAAGCTAGGCCCCAGTGATGATGAAGCGGCGCGTGTTGTCAAATCATGGATTTGGGAGAAGCTGCGAGCTTATGTGGACTTTCTGTGTGAACTTCTCAAGGACGAAGAGAAACTGCTGCGTGTTGATATTTTCCATTTGCTATCTAATACAATCGCGTCTGACGACTTTCATAGACTTCCTCCTTGCAAATTTTGTTTTCACTCCAGAAGCATCTTTCGACGGCGACTTCTGTAGCCGAAAACAAGCCGCAATTTCACGGGTTTCATTTCCGGAGCATTGTGTCAGCACTTCTACTTTGCCCGTCTTCTCGACGAGCACCTCAGTCGAATCCAGGCGTGCTCGATCCCGATGTACAGAGATTGTTCCTCGAAACCTGGTTCAGTGTGCACGATGATGTGCGGTGGTTTTTCCTGCGAGATGCAGGGTGCGTGGTCTTTCGAACCTTCTAGATAGGCTCTTATCGTTTTAGAACGACCCTAAACACGGTCTCAATCAGCGAACATCCTCATGTCGCCCAAAATCTGCTTGGGGTGTTGGAAGCACTTGAGACCTTTCCCACTGAGAAGGGGGAGATCAACTCGTGGTGGGTCGCAGAGATTGGCGCAAAACCACCGAAGGTCAAGTCCGGCAAAAAGAAGGGGCAAGAAGAATCTGACGAGGAGGAGAATGTTGACCCGGGACTTGATGAAGACGACTGGAGAAAGTTTTTCGACGAAGACTCTCGAGCCAAGGACGTCAAAAGCAAAGGACCAGAAGCGCGATTGCATAACCTGACCCTGCATCAATCCCTGCACTCGCTCTCTTCCCATCGAGCTGTTTTTACCCGCCTCTGGCTGGGCCTTCTACCGAAGCTGACGGCAATCCGCGAGATTGAGCAACGGAAGGCTTTATCAACGCGTGCTCTCAATGTCATGCACCGAGGCGTAATTCCGCACCTGACGCGACCGGTTTTGGTGATGGATTGGGTTGGGGAATGTGTGGATCTCGGTGGAACCGTTGGGCTCCTGGCGCTGAATGCGTTGTTTTTATTGATGAAAGATTACAATCTGTATGTTTCACCTTTCTTTTTGAAGCCACTTCTAATACGTTCTAGGGACTATCCTTCATTTTATACGCGACTATATGCGTTCTTGGACCGAGATGTTCTTCATTCCAAACATCGTGCCCGGTTTTTCCGGCTCACGGAGGTATTCTTGGGGTCCACGCACATCTCTGCGGCAGTGGTGGCGTCTTTTGTCAAGAAACTCGCTCGGTTATCACTCAGCGCCCCTCCTGCAGCAATTGTCCTCGTCCTGCCATTTACCTACAATGCTCTCAAGCGTCATCCTGCGTTGATGCCTTTGATTCACAGAACGCACGTTGGCACAGAACATGATGAACAGTCTTCGGACCCATTCGATGTGTTAGAACCTAACCCAAACTCGACGAGAGCGCTTGAAAGCTCGCTGTGGGAGTTAGCATCACATCGGTCGCATTACCTGGCCGGGATTTCCACCCTGAGCAAAATATTGACGGAGGCCTTTACGAAGCAAAGCTATTCGATGGAAGACTTCCTCGATCACACGTACGGCACGGTCTGTCTTTCATTTCGGGGTCGTTCTATCCTTGACCAGTGATTTACAGCTCTTCGATGCCGATGCTGCACGCAAAATCAAGAAAGAGCCACCCGTTGCCTTGGAAATGGGAAAAAATGTGGAGCTCTTCCGAGAGGAGGTCGTTTCAAATGTTACTACAGACCTTTGGAGCATCGCATAATTTGTGCTCCATCCACCATCGGGTGTAACTTGTCTATGGGGCCGCACCAATCCATAGCATCCAGTACGATGTGGTCTCGTAAAAAAAGCTGCGCGTGTGAACTTTGACAGGGGGTGATCGGACCTCGCTCATGTGGGGAAGCCGATGATGTCATGCTGATGAGCGTTACGAAGCTGGTCGGACTATCTTTCGCTCTCTCATGGGCAGATAATGCTCTCTAACGGCAACTCACCACCAACGTCTGCTTTTGTCTATCCCGTACGCTCGTTGCTCAAAAGCGAGATCCAACCGGCTCCCTCTCCTGTCAATGCCGTTGCCGTCGACATCAGCGCTCGCGACGACCCTGTCGCGCAAAGCACAAAAAATGACTCTGTAGATCCGGGTAGCGCATCTGCGGCCAACGGCGCTCCAGATGAACCACCGACGCTCCAATCCGATCCTCAGCCCAAGGCCAAAGGGAGGAGAAAGCGTTCACGAAAAAAACACGACCGCGCGAATGTACCCAATCCTAACTACAGGCATTTCCCCGGCGAGGACTCCCCCAAACTCCGCAGGACATTCACCGCAAGCCTGGGCCTGGTCAAGCAACCTGATGTTGCCCCTGAGGCGTTGGCCTTCCTTGTTGTCTCCCCATCGGTTTCCGATGTTGCAGCTCCTTTCGCGGAGACGAAGCCTCTCGATGGACCCCCACCCGAGCCTCGAGCGCGTCCGAAACAGGTGCCAGTGAGCGACGATCCTCTTCCCCCCGAAGAAGTTCCGGACGTGCCAGGTCTCGAATGGAATCCATCGCAAATGGGGGTCGTTCACCTCGCGCCACTCCCGAGCTCCTCTTCGCTGAGTTTTGACGAAAGGGCATCGTCCGTCGTCTTCGGCTCCTTCCGTGGTCATCCCAGTCAACGTAAATCTCCCAGCCCAGCGGGATCTACACCTTCTCTTCCCGAGGCCCCTGTCGGTGCCTCTGACGGCCAGGCGGGCGCTGCTCAGTTACTAAGCGTGGCTCGCGGTGGTGCTGCAAGTCGATGCTCAGCTAGCGAGTCACATTCAGGCACGGGCTCGCTGTCAGGCTCAGATGCCAGTGATGCGTCGCAATTGATTGCGGTCCGCTTTCAGCATCACCAGGACGAGAATGGACATCATATCATAGTCGGACGGGAGGGACAACTGGCGCGGTGCGAAGACGAGGTGAGTATCTCGCCTGGATCAAGCTGTTGTTCGAGCGTTCTTTAGCCTATCCGCACTCCAGGTGCTGTCCAAGGGTTCGGCGTTCTCATCGTGGTGGATGAGTTGGATGATATGCTCGTTGTTCGTCAAGTATCAGAGGTGCGCCACATCACGATTCAACCTCGTCTTGTCACTGAAGACCATTAGAATTCCGAAGAGATTCTAGGCCTATCTCCACATTACCTTTTCTCCTTGAATTGTTTCACCGACACACTTTCGGACTCTCAAGCCGGGATACTTTGGGACAACATCCAGTTTCTATCTGATTCAGATCCCAACAGCCACGACGAAGAAGCATCTCCACACGTTTTTCTCTTGACTGGGTGGGGAGCCCCGGGTAGCGCTTCGCCGGATGATCAAGAGGCGAGTGGAGGGCGACGCTCCTGGACATGCTGGTGCGCAGTCCATCGCCCATCAACTTCGGCCCGACACGTCATCATGGAATTCGAGCTAGAGCGTGACGTTCTAAATCCACTCTATCCCTCTTTGGTAGAAGCGGTTCCGGAAGTAGGATCTCCTGACACGGGCTCGAGTGGTGCGAGTGACACGCCCGGGAGTGCGAAAACCGTCGGCGGTTCCACCGATTCTTCGTCACAGACGCTTACACCCGGTATTTCCGACGTTCCTGCGTTTGAGATTCCAACCGGGCCTTCTGCGGAGGACATCCTCGAGAGTACAACGTCACGCGCCAAACCTCTACCGGCGCTCGAACGATTGCGACGGATGGCTAGACCGGAACTAGTCTCACCTGGAGGCGCAAATCCTCGCTCACGTCGTAGGACAGCTTCTGGTTCGAGCACTGGAGGCGTGGGTATGATGGACGTGTTTGCCGTGATGGCCCAGATCAACGAGCAGCTCGGACAAGCTCCTGACTTGACTGCCTTCTTGCAAGTTGTCGTTGGAGTCATCAAGGATCTTTCGCAGTTTCACCGGGTGCTAGTGTACCAGTTCGATGAAGCATGGAATGGTCAAGTCGTCGCGGAACTATTGGACTGGAGCAAAACACACGATTTGTATCGAGGCCTTCATTTTCCCGCGTCCGACATCCCTGCCCAGGCCAGGCAACTTTACGCGATCAGTGAGCTCTTGCCAATTGACGCGATAGCCGACTAACCGGCTGCTGAAGACAAGGTGCGACTTCTGTATGACCGGTCGCAAAGCACCGCCAGGATCGTTGTGCGCAGCAAAGATGATCTGCAGACACCAGTGGTTAGTGCCCTTGCGATTAGCAGCTGATACATACTTACAAAATATGTCCCAGGATATGACGCATTGTTACCTGCGGGCCATGAGTCCTATCCACATCCAGTGTTTGCCACCTTACTCTTGTGTCAGTCTATTTGGCTGACCTGATTCAGATTTGGAGAATATGGGTGTACGAGCCTCGATGTCTATTGTGTGTCCAATTACTTGCGATTTGTCAGGCACTGACTCATCGCATGTAGTCTATCATGAGCTTCGGGACTCTCTGGGGTCTTGTTACCTGCCACTCCTATGGGGCTCAGGGAATGCGAGTCTCTTTCCCTGTCCGACAGATGATGCGATTGCTCAGTCAGTCGATATCGCGGAACATCGAGCGATTGAGCTATGCTCAGCGTTTGACCACGAAGAGACTGGTGAGTGCCATCTTTCCATCGAAAGGAGTAGTATCGAATTGGATTCCAGATCAATACTATGGCGTCTGACAATCATCCCGTGAGCTGGCTGTGTTCCACTCTTGCAAGCACCACACATAACCGTTACAGACTGGCTACATTGTTAGTAACGCCGATGACCTACTGGGCCTGTTCGATGCCGACTTCGGGGTACTTGTGGTCAGTCGCGTCTCTGTCTTCTAGGTGCATGGATGAGACGTTTCTTTCAGATAGGACAGGCTGCCAAGATGCTTGGCCCCAGCGACTTTGGACAGGAGATTTTGATAATCGCTGAATACTTACGTCTGAAGCAATTCGCGTTAGCAACTCTTCACCGTTTATCTCGTTCGACCTTCACGCGTTTCTTAGAACAATCCAAGTCACGCAACAGGTCAAATCGGACTACGAAGAGCTGGTTTCGGCTGGGCTAGATGTCATTGCCGGCATGCTCTATGTGCCGTTGTCCAGCGAGGGTAAAGATTTTATCTGCTTCCTGCGCAAGGGACAGCCGCGACATGTTCACTGGGCTGGCAATCCGAATGCGAAGACGGCCATGGAAACAATTCTCCAACCCCGCAAGTCATTCGCTGTCTGGTCGGAAACACTTGCTGGGAGATGCCGAGCTTGGTCATCCGAACAATTGGAGACGGCCGGTGTCCTGGCGCTTGTTTACGGAAAGGTGTGTCGATCGGATTGGATACTTTCAAGGCTGACCTCTGGTTTGAGTTCATTGAAGTATGGCGGCAGAAAGAGAATGCATTGCAGACGACTCGATTGACGAACTTGCTACTGTCCAATGCATCGCATGAAGTCAGAACACCGCTAAATCATATCATCAAGCAAGTTGCCATTGCATGTTGGTGTGTACTTTCTAATCGTGGGCTCAGTTATCTCGAAATGGCTCTCAATGGGCCCTTGGACGACGAGACTCGCGACAATCTCAACAGATCACACGCTGCATCCAAGGCACGTCGTTTCTCGGCAAATGAGGCATTCTCTAACCACGGTTTCTCCAGAGTCTGCTCTTTACAATAAATGATCTGCTGGTACGATAATTGTTGCATATAACTGCTCACGATCGATCATGGAATCTTCCTAGGACCTCACTCGATTGGAAAGTGGCAACGAGACGTCGTTCAACGAACCATTCGACCTTCAAACGACCATCGAGGATGCCATCCATCTGTACCGCAAAGAGGCCGTCAGACGCAATCTCGACTTCAATCTCAGGCTCGGCAAGTCGCCGAAGATTGTGGTCGGTGACATCAAGAAGATCAGGACAGTCGTCCAGAACATAACGGCCAATGCCCGTAAGTTCCGAGTCTCGTTTTATGTCTGTGGAGTATCTTATGTGTGCCATATCAGTGAAATTCACGTCGTCTGGTGCAATCTCTGTGACATGTGCCATTCTGGAAGAACCCGAGGGTATCCGTGGTCCGGATCAAGTTGCTGTTGAGATTATCGTGGAGGACACGGGATGCGGGATTCCGGCTGATAAACTGGCCACTTTGTTCCGTGAATTCGAGCAGGTTGAATCGATGGAGCCCTCTGGCGCTGCTCCTGGCGGTGTTGGTCTGGGTCTGGCCGTTGTCGCCAGGATCGTGGAGCAGTAAGTCTTTTTCGCAACCGCTGTCGCCATCAAGTCTGATTCTTCACTAGACTGGGTGGTCAGCTACGCGTCGAATCAAAAGTGAACGAAGGCAGTTGCTTTTCGTTTATGATTCCCATGGCCTTGCCGCAAGAGGGAGATAACTCGACTAGCTCATCACGATCGTCGCTTTCTCGCTCCCGAAAGCCCAGTTTGGAGTCCATTCACCAGATCGATTCGCTCGTAGAGGCCCTCTCGTCGAGCCATATGGTTCCAAATCCCGGTCATCCGCTCCTCAAAAGGGCGGATTCTTCATCGTCAGGGGAGCCGATGCCCGTGCAATCCAACAGCAGGCCCGGGACGTTTGATATCCCGGATTCTAATATTCCAGTCTGCCCGGTCAAAATCGACGGCTACACAATGGACTCGCCGATCCCTATGACCCCGTCGAAAGAGATTGCACCCTTCGATTTCCGTGCAGTCACTGACCATCCCTTGAAATCCCCTGTCGTTTTGAAGCCGATCTTGCCACCCGCGGTCGACTCGATGGGGCCATCCCATCTTCGCGTGCTGATTGTCGAAGACAACGACATCAATCGGACTGTCTTGGCAAAGCGCCTCAGGCTGGACGGGCATTCTGTGGTGACAACTACCAATGGGCAGGAGGCACTGGACAAAGTGACGACGGATAGGTGCTTTGATGCCATCTTTATGGATATCCAGTGCGTTGATATACAAGTTGCCTGCACTCAACCAAGTTGACCCAAACACATAGAATGCCCATCCTCGATGGTTACCAGGCTACTGAACGCATCCGCGCCCTCGAAAAGGCGACGCCCGATGATGGGTCTCAGTCATTGGCCAAGGACCTCAACGGTGGACACATTCCCATCTTTGCTGTCTCCGCCAGCTTAAAGGAGAATCGGCGAGAGGAGCTGGCCGACTACGGGATTGACGGCTGGATCTTGAAGCCCATTGATTTCAAACGGCTCAAAATCATCCTCAAGGGCGTGATTGATCTGGACCAGCGACAGGCGAATCTGTATCGTCCGGGATGCAGCTGGGAAGCGGGTGGTTGGTTGCTCGAACGCTCCAGCCCCCCTGGAGAACCGCCACCCACGTGAGCGACTGGGTCGGCTCTTGGTGTTTTATGAATCCGGATTTGTTTTGTTGCTAACTCACGTAAACTGTAATTAGGACGAGGTTTTCCCACACACGACGAAATGCCCGACATTGTATCATAGTATACACAAAGTATCATAGATTTTGTAAGCAGCCCTTGCCAATGACCTGTGCCATGATTGCAGTTGAACGAGAGCTCAAAAACCTTGCCTTGTGGCTTGTCGCCATCCTTCAAGAGCCAGTCTCTGCGTTTCCCAGATATGTTCGCTCAACTCCCTCCACCGCGCAGCATACACTGTCTGGATCGTTGATTCGTCGATGATGAAATCCAGGTCGGTCGCAACCAGCCGACGTCCATGTCTGCCGCTGCCCGCGTAGGACAGTTCCACCCAAAGCCTTCTTAGTTCCTGCACGATTCGCGGGAGCATCCAGCGGCCCTTGAGCCCGAACCCCTTCCCCACGACGTAGAACGTCGCGCGGGTAGCGTGCATGCAGACCGGCTTCCACGTCCACACCCTCGCGCACAGCACGTCGAGGAGGTACATGAGCTGCGCGGACACGAGCCGCTCGGGCTTCGAGAGCTTCAGCACGACTGTGCCGCCGAGCGCGGCGGAGGCGAGGCCGACGAGGAGCTGCGAGACGAGCAGGCGGTCGCCGACGAGGTACTCGAGGCCGGGGCGGTCGCCGCTCCGCAGCGGGTGCCCGTCGATCGTGACGAGGTCGTACTGGGCCGCCGCCGCCCGGTCGTCGGAGGCGTGCGGCTGTGCGAGCTGTGGCGGGAGAGGGCGCAGGGAGGGGTCCGGGATGGGCCCGATGTAGTGCGGCCCGAGCTGGTACTTGGTTAGGTCTGCCCAGATGAGCTCAAAGCGAGGCGGGTGGCGGGGGTCGGCCGCCGAGCTCGTGAGGACGGCGGGGTCCAGCAGACACGCATGCCCACCCTGCTCCACGGGGAGGGAGATCCCGACCCCCGAGGCGCGGGGGTTCTTGTCCAGTATGTACGAGGTGAATCCGCCGGGACAACATCTAGCAAGTAATAGTATGAGACGCAGATCATAATCTACGCGAGACGCCACTGATAATCGGACCCGCACACGAAACTTACCCGAGGTCCAGGAAGCGGATGGGCACGGCGGCGGGAACGCACAGCGTCATCTCGTCGATCTCCTGCATCACCTGCTGCATCGAGCGGAACCAGCCCTGCTGGCGCACGGGGTCCTGGGCGTCCGCGGCGCGTTGCTGGAACTGCATGTGCGCGCGCTCGGCCCGGGTTTTCTACGTGGTCATCATCAACGCGGGCTCAGACATCTCGGAGCCGCAGAGAGCGCACGGGGTGTCGCACGCGGTCGAGGACTTGGAGCGAGGGATTGTGCAGCGACAGCTGGTGGTTCATCGTCACTGGGGGTGCAGGGAGGGCGGAGCGCTGGCGGTGCCCCACATACACGCGGTGAACTTATACACGCAGATTGGCGCCCGCAGCAGCTTGGGCGCCAAACGAAGGACGGTAATGAAAGAGTGTACATAAGGTAATGAGATGCGGTGCTCGATTTCCTTCCTAATGCAGGCCGCTGACGGTGTAATACACATCGACGTAGTTGAAGCCACCGCAGAGGCCCGCCGCTGCATTCCTGTCAGCACACATCGAGAATGCAAGCAGAGCGCCACTCACAGTCTCCGGAACAGTGGTACTGGCAGTTGGAGCTTGCGGTCGCCGTTTTGGAGGTGAACGTGGATCCGCAGAAGCATTGTTGCTGCGCGCGACGTGAGAACTCGGGACGGGTGGATAGACATGGGCACCTGACGCACCCCAAACTCTAGACCGCCGTAGACATAGCCCTTGCCGCCACAGCCTGTCAGACACGAGCTGACGGAGTTCGCTGGTCCGTCGTACGCTGCATACGAGAGCACCCTCGCGTTGGTCGCATCGTTGTAGCACCCCAGATGCGTCCACGCCGTGTTTCCCACGGTCGTGACGCTCGAGGCGCTGGAGCTGGCGGGCTTGTAGTACACACTCGCGTAATTGAACCCGCCGCAGTTGCCCGACCCAGCGGGGCACGCGTAGCTGCAATGCGAGTCGGCGACGGCGGAGACACCGGACAGCAGCGATGGCCCGCAGAAGCACTGCTGGCCAAACTCGACCGCAGCGTACGAAAAGCCTGCCTGCGAGCACGTGGTCTCGCACGATGCGATCGAGTTCGACGAGGCAGAGTCCACTTCGAGCGCACTGACGATCCGGCTCGAGGGCTATCGGGGTAGCACCCAAGGTAGGTCCACGATCCCGTGTCGGCGCCTGCTGGAGGCGTCGTGATAGGTGCCGCGCCACCCGGAATAGAGTAGATGTTGATCCTATTGGCTCCTCCGCAGACCCCAGACGCCGAGCCAGCAGAGCATGCGTAGTTGCAGCTGTCACTCGTCGCTATCAATGAACTGGCAGGGGCTGCATTGCCGCAAAAGCATTGGCTCTAGGTCGAATGAGCGGAAATGGACTGGAAGATGAGACCAAAAACAGACCCCGAATTCGACACCCCCAAACGAGTATCCTGCGTTGGCACACGACGTCAGACACGAGGTGACACCGTTGCTCGGACCCTCGTAAACTTGCGCAGGGAGAACACGCTGATTGGTCGAGTCAGCGTAGCAGCCGAGGCTCGACCAGGACTGGCCGCCGGCGGTGACTGTCGCGGCAGCAGCACTGGTCGTCGTCGTCGTCGTAGTGGCTGTGCTCGCAGAGGACGCTTTGTAAATGTTGATGGCGTTGAAACCGCCGCACTTTCCAGCTGGGTGGTGGATCAGTGCCAGCAGACCCCCGATCGGATGCTACTCACCGCCGCCGGGGCACGGGTAGCTACAGTGAGACTCGTCCCAGGTCGATACTCCCCTGAGTGCCCGGTCAGCCACGGTCTCGACCCACCACAAGCTCGTATCACTTACGAAGCGATGGCGGCGGCGCAGAAGCACTGCGACCCGTACTCGACTCCGGCATAGAGATACCCGGCAGCCTGGCACTGCGACTGGCAGCTGGTGATACTGTTTCCGGTGGACGAGTCGATTTCGATTCCTCGCAGAGTACGGGAGCCACCGTTATCAGTGTAACAGCCTTGGTGATAAGATGAGATAATCGGGCTGGAATCGCGTGCAGATGCTTCATACCCTGATAAGACCATGTCACTGTCGTGGCCGAAGTAGCTGCAGTGTCAGTAGACGTCGACGTAGTTGTCGTCGTTGTAGTGGTGGTTGAGGTGGTTGTCGCGGTAGTCGTGGTCGCAGTACTCGTCGTGGACGTGGTCGTAGTCGAAATGCTAGTAGAAGTGGTCGTAGTCGCAGTGCTCGTAGTCGCAGTGCTTGTCGCGGAAGCTGCTCCAACATAGACATTCAGATTGTCTGCGAAAACATCAATATAGCTCGATGTCATCCATGTGTGCAGTGCGCTGACAAAGACTGGGCACCGAGACATAAGTGAAATCCGTCGGAGACGCGCTAAAAACGGTGGTAGAGCCCTAAAACGCGTGACGAGTCGGCATTCAACGATACCGAATTCGAAGAGCACTCGACCGACCTTGCTCATGGCCACCGAGACCCGTCCCGGCGCAAGCGGAAGCTGCAACAGATTCACACCGGCTCCCAGGTTCGTCCACGTCTGCGACGAGCTCGTCCCGCTCTTCAACGTCACGGTGCACGTCGAGGAGCAGAACGCCGCGGCCCACAGATAGTCGGATGTCCACGCATAGTTGGCCGGCTGCGGCAGCGGGTCGGCGGTCGCGGTCGCATCGTGGGGATGCGGCCGAGCCCAGAAGTATATCACATCCTTGGTGACGGTCGGATAGACGCCGGTCTTGAACGCCTGGATGTAATACGCGCTCATGTCCATCCAAGCGGTGTGCGGGAAGTTGTCGGCCCAGGTCGTCCCGGTGGGCTGGTTGGCTGTGACTGGTCCGAAGCTATGTGCAAGTTGTTCACCATTGATCGAGGTGAGAAGGGACTGAACGCACTAGTCGGATTCACCAAAGTCGTTCCATGTGACCATCTCCACGAACGTCAGTTGATCGCGCATCTGGAAAATCTGATTCCAGCGGTTGTTCAGAAGCCAGTCATCGGAACGCAAAATACGGTTTTTGTCGGAGAGGTGGGTGCTGGAAAGTGCAGATCAGCAACAAAAAACGGCTGAACTTGACAGGGACAACATACTAGAACCATCCGCTGACTGTCGTAGCGTATTTAGATCCAACCTGACTGATATCTGTTTGTAATTAGCACCTGTCCACCCCGAGAGCAGAGCACACACAGTAGTAGTCATCAGCAGTATTCTTGTCCTGGTTGTTCTGAGACCAGGCACAACCCCAACTGCGATGTTGTCAGATTCCTAGCAACTGTGCACGCAGATCGACCCAGAACACACCAATACCACGAGTCGAAGCTTGACCACGCGCCAAAGTTGCCCTCCAGCCCAGAGATAAACGGCATGATATATCCATTCGTCTGATCTTTCAAGCTCCTCCAGCCCGCGTCACCCAGACACGCGCCCTCGTAGCTGCTGATCATCGCCCTGCCGTTGACTTTGAACTGGGACGGGTGGCTCGAAAACTGGAGGGTGCGCTGGACGATGTCATTCAAGTCGCAGCCCAGGTTCGTGGTAAAGTCGAAAGAGATGAAAAGCTTGACGGGGCTCGATATCGCTTGTGCGGCGGCGTACGCGTAGCCGATTTGCGTCCGTTGCCATGTGTCGCCGCCGATGTTGAGAGCGATGGCGTCGCTGGAGACGAGAGTCAAGGCGGTGAGAAGATGAATGTGAAGCCACTCACACTCCCTGTGCACCAATCGCTTGAATATCTGCGGTCCAGTTCGCTTGGGTATCTGACAGTAGATTAGAGAATGGGCCATGTCAGGGATCAATGGCTTACAGCCCCATCTATCGACGGGATGAGAAGCTGCTATAGACGGATGAGTTATCGAGACTCACGTATCTGCGATTCCGGAAAGTCCTAAGTGCTAGCCCATGACAGAAAATAAAAACAACACGCACTGCCCACAATCTGGAGTAGATGTGAGTTCCGGAGAGAAAAAAAAACACAGAGAAAACGCGTAAATCGACGCACATGATGCATAAAGACGTATTTCGTGTTATCGCGCTTCGCCAGGGCGGTCTCGTTGTCTATAGCGAAAGCCCGATCCAGATTCCAGTTGGCAGAGAGTTTCGTCGTCCGGGTCGGCAGCTCGAGTTCCAGTTCCTCCAGAGAGCGTGAGTGGCCGGCATTGTGGAGACGGCGTCCATGTGTCCGAGATTGTGTCCCGGCAGTGAGTGAAAGAGCGACGAGGAGGAAGGGGAGCAGGGACTGCATGGGTCTACTGAGATAAAGGACCAGACGTCTAATCTGAGGACGGCTGCAAGCACAAGATATATATAAGCCATTGCAGTACCTGAGTACGACAAAAACTTAGGGGACACGGCAGATCAGGTACAGTGGCAGAGACTGACATGCCATGTCGTTGGATGTGGCGGCGTTGGCGGCTACATGCGCGTAAATTTCAAGGGCATGGAGCCATTCGCGGCACGGATATCCCAGTCTCTCTTTTGCTTTTCGAACGCGTCGAACGCGAGCCCCCAACGGCAGAGAACCCGGGAGAGTAGCAACCGCGCATACAGGAGCAGGAGAAGATCGAACGGCGCCGCCCAGACCGGTGTGACATCGCTAAAATTAATTATGGTTGGCGATCATGATGGCAGTTGACGTTTCTCGGCGATCATCAATGCGCGTATCGATAAGTAAGATGATAAAAACGTGAAAGTAGTGGCGGTGCCTGTTTCCGGCTACAGCAATTGCCTGTCCGCGGACACGGCAAGTACCGGTCTGGAGTTGAGTTCATGTTGCCTGTGCTACCACCACCCCTCCGAGCCAACGTCCTCCGCATTGGTCGACTTCATGGCGGATCTCTCCGCCGCAACTCGGCATTCGCGCCGCATCGGAAACCCGAACAGGGAATGCCCCCTCCTCTCAAGGGCATCCGCATCCTGGACTTAACGCGTGTTTTGGCCGGTCCGATGGCGACCATGCTGCTTGCGGACCTCGGCGCAGACGTTGTGAAGGTCGAGGAGACTTCTCGAGGAGATGACACGCGTAAATTTCCTCGTTGTATGCGTTGCTCGTGTGACGAAGGTCGATGAATATAGGCTCTTGGAACCCGCCGTCTGCTCCGACAATTGCCTCGGCTCCTGCAGAAGCAGCCCACTTGCCGTCGGAATCAGCCTACTTTCTCTCCGCTAACCGAAACAAACGCTCCATGACGGTACGTCGTTTCTGAGTGCGAAGACAATAAAGACAAACCATTGCAGGTCAACTTCAAGAAGCCTGAGGGTCTCGAGATCATACGCCGGATGGTGGCTCGGTCGGATGTCTTGGTGGAAAACTTCGTCACCGGCAAATTGGCGAGCATGGGGCTTGGGTACGAGGACTGCAAGAAGATCAACCCACGTATGATTTACGCGTCTATCACCGGTATGTGACTTTGAATGGTCCTGCCAGTTGCGTTTCTACAGTCTCAACGGCTGTCTATCAAGGATACGGACAAACAGGCCCCTACGCCGGGGCAGCTGGCTACGACGTCATTGTCGAGGCTGAAGCCGGTCTGATGCATATGTGAATCATGCCTATGCCCGTACCAGAGGTGACTGCTGACCTTGACAGAACCGGGGAGAAGGGCGGCCAACCCTGCAAAGTCGGAGTAGCTGCGACGGATATTGCGACTGGACTATACGCGCATGGAGCAATCATGGCTGCCCTGCTTTCTCGTCAACAAACAGGGAAAGGCGTGTGGATCGATTGTAATCTCTTCGAGACCCAGGTCGGTCTCTTGAAACATTGCCGCAGTGGATGAATGAATCGAGTCTGGTTCCAGATTGCTGGGCTAGCCAACATCGCGTCGAACTATCTCATCGCCGGCCAAGAAGCTGGGCGGCACGGCACGTCCCACCCGTCGATTGTGCCCTACCAAGTGTTCCCGTGTCGAGATGGGTTTATCATGTTCGGGGCGGGGAACGACCGACAATTCTCCACGCTTTGTACCAAGGTCCTTGGAAAACCTGAACTGGCGGTGGATCCCAAATTCAGTACCAACGCGGCTCGCGTCGAAAACCGCGCTGAATTGATCGGGATCATCGAATCTGTGCTGATGGAGCAAGACCGCGAGCATTGGCTGGGCTTGTTTACTGGCCTCGGGATACCCTTCGGTCCCATCAATAATATCGCACAGACATTTGCTCATCCCCAGGCCCAAGCCAGGGGGATGACGGTCGAGGTCGAGGTATGTCCGGTGCTCTTTTCTCGGAACAATCACTCGAACTGAGGCTTTGCAGCATCCGCGAGCAGGCAAAATCAAGCTGGTTGCGCCAGCAGTCTCTTACAATGGTGAGAAAATGGGCGTGGTGCGTCCACCGCCTTGGTTGTCGCAGCACACCACAGAGGTCAGTTTCATTCTCGCCTGGAGCTTTTCCTTTGATTCAATTTGCTCCAGGTACTGCAAGAGCTGGGCTACACTTCCGACCAAATCCGTGAATTCAAGTCCCAGGGCGTGGTGTGATCTATTTGAATGTATAACATCAGCACAAGATGTCGAACTACCACATATGAACTCATTGTTCCTGAAATTGACAGCGGAACCGGAGTCTACACGTCACCTCTGTTCGAGTGATCCGAGGATGCCGCGGGCACACAAAAATAGACACAAGCAATCCCCTTCCCCGCCTCTGAGATTCAGACTGGAGAAATTTGCGGTAGAATGAGACGAGCACTTCGTTGAACCTGTCGAAATCGAGGTCTAACCTGATTTAGCTTGCCGCTAAGCTCAACGATACGATCACATCGATCTCCGGCTCACTGATTGCCGCCAAATTAGCCCGAAAAGGGAAGCTGTTTCGAAGAACACTGATCGGCTCAATCTACGTCATATGAGAAAGTCGGTCGACTTTTTGCGCACTTGCATCAACTCACGATGACCGGCGATGCACCTCCACCAAAGGCCTCGGCCTCGCCGACGAGGACCTCCACTGATTCCGCCCCATCGGATCCTGCACCACCCGCCGAGTCGGATTCGAAGGATGACGCTGCTTCATTGCCAGTTCCCGAAGTGCATCTCCCAGCCCATCGTCGCTACAACGGCGCTCACATGAGACACGCAGGCAATCGATATGGAAGCGTTCAGTCAGATACTCGAATTGGACGAGGAAGGCTCGCACGACTTTTCGAAGGAGATGGTCACAGCGTATTTCTCCCAGGCAACAACGACATTCGTGGACATGGACAAAGCACTGTGCGTTCATGGTTGAGCCTCTGCATTCGCAGGAAGCTGACGGGATCCAAGTGCCGATGAGAATCTACCAGAGCTATCGTCATTAGGCCACTTTCTCAAAGGTTCCTCCGCTGCTCTGGGGATCCACCATGTGCAGGCATCGTGCGAGAAGATGCAACACTACGGAGAGCTCCGCGATGAAATAGCAGGGATCGATCTCAAGTCCGACGAAGCGCTTGCGCGGATACGGGTGCTCCTACCAGCTACCAAAGCCGAGTACGCGGACGCGCGGCGGTGGCTCAAGAAATGGTACGATGACCAAAGCGATCCCCTGACAGACGTGGATGACGACGACGACGATGACGACAAGGGAAAGCCGGAAACCAAAGCGCCATAAATTACACATCGTCTCGCGCACACCATTCCCTGTGATGGTAGCCGGTGCTCACATGCGCGCTATCTATTGCCCATGTCACGCCAAAAGCCGAGAGATCACTCTGTACTAGCTCACACACACGAAACAAACCTGCAACAACCTGCAGCAAGTGTTGATCCACTGAGTCTCCCTTCTGATGCCTGCTGCACGCCTGCTGGGGCCCTGTAATGGATCTTGTACAATTACAATCAGACCTTCATATCTTCTTATCAGCTATAATGAACTGATGTATCGGTCCGGATGCACTTTCATTGATACAATCAGACTTGGCCTGGGTCACGACTCTCCATCAGCCCCCATGCACTCAAGATCCACGTGTCTTGTTTCTCACAATCTATCCTCGCTGCCCAGTGACTCGAAATCTGGGGTTCAACTGCGATGATTTCCTCGTGGCTGATAGTGGGCACATACCCAATGACTCCCTTCCGTGCGTCAAGCGTCCTCTCTTCAGGGTGATTTTTCAAGGGCGTCAAGATCCACGCGCCTTTTTTCCCACAATAGATCTCCTCTGCGACCCGGTGACTCGAGATCTGGGGGCTCAACTGCAATGATTTCCTCATGGCTGATAGTGTGTACACATGAGATGTCGAAATAGCTGACTTCTCCTTGATGCTGTTCAGTGTTCACGATTTGAGGTCATTCTGCCAAGTACCTTTCTGTCATGAAACCCATTTGCGAGACAGTGAGATGATAAATCTTGGACCAAACTGTAGTCCGAGCTCAAACGTCGAACGTCGAACGCTGAGGTGTGGTCCAGACTCGGATATACGAGTCCATTTTGGTCATCCGGTTGGGGGGCAGAAGAATGTTTCACTTCAGGTTTTAGGTAGATTACCGCCGCGGTCCTAATGAGGAACAGCCGGGGTCTGTACCACATACGTGCGTCACGTGTGCGCTGCGGGTATCCAGCGACCTTCATTCCACTCCTTGACTCTGAGCACCAACCAGGCTCCCAAACTAACATCGACTCGTACGTAGTACAATGTAGTGGCTCCAAATGCGTAAAATACTATAAGCGACCGCGATCTTGATCGACCGTCACGCCTTCGGGCTCCATAAATAACCCTGAGCTGAGAGTTCTCAGCTCCCAGTGTCCCCCGTCCATCGCAGCGATATCCCAAGCCATGGTACGCTTTTCTGCCTCTCGAAAACATCTGCCGAACGCAGCCTACAGGCTGCCTATTCGTCCCCACCACCATCATCTCCGAAGGAGCCATCTGCTACTTCGAGCAACAGCCCCATCGACGACGAGACATTTCAGCAAATTCTGGAGCTCGATGACGACGGGTGTCACACCTACTCCCGGGACATGTTCGCTCTTTACTTTGTGCAGGCTCCGGAGGCTTTTTCTGTGATGAAGACTGCACTGTGCGTCCACTTCTCTTCACCGCCGTTGAACGAAGACGAGCATCTATGCAGAGCAGACAAGGACATGGAACTTGTGGCAGACCGTGCACATTTCATCGCCGGATCGTCTGCAACACTCGGGATCGTTGGTGTCGCCGACGCTTGTACCCGGATCGAGGGGGTAAGCAAGGATTCTTCAAAGGACGACCTTCCACCGGCAACGTTACGCAAGATCGAGGACCTACTCTCGGAGACTCGTCTCTCCTACCTCGACGCTCGCGCTTGGTTGCGCGACTGGTACAAGAAGCACGGGGAGCCGTTCGATGAACCCGAGAGCAATAAAGAGGGCGCCAGTCCAAGCAAGTCAGAAGATCTCGAGGGATCACCGCCCAAGGTCGCTCTGGCAGATGACAGTGGTTCTGAGGACACCCCCCGACCACCTCATTCGACTCCCGCGGTCAATGAAGTAGCGACAGCCAGTACTTGAAGTCGAAACGACGCGAACATCTCCGTGAAACATGTCGGGACGTTGGCACACGACGTCGCGCTCCCACTTGTAGCTCATCGGACTTTTGCCCAAGATGAGAATCTGGAAGGACGTTGGCGCTATGTATCTGAGACCTTCACTGCCTGTATTTTTACAACTACACTCTCCTCTGTATGTAACTAACAGTTCTGCTGCGCCATATGCTTGCTACACGTACACTTCTGCCATCTTGGCGATCAATTCGTCCCAGCGTGGCGCCTCGACAAGCATAACACTGCCTCGTACATCGAGTCCGAATGACTCAGAATCTCGTGGCTCCGGGGGTGCTGCGGAGAAAGGGTAGGACAAGGCGTGAAGTGCATGCTGAGATCCATTTAGTGACTTGGGTCTTGGCAAGCTGACTGGCTTCACCAACCTCGCGAATACAGGCGTCTTCAGGATGGAAAGAGTAGATCCCATCTTCGGGAGCATTTTGCTGAGGAGGCTGGGCAGACCGCTGTTTCTTGGCCTTGGTCGATCTTCGGGACGGTGCTCTATTCGCGAGAGCCTCTTCCTCGTCCTGTGTGAGATGATAATGCCGGGATACAAACAGCAGATGCGTAAAAGCATAAGGCTCGGACTGGATTCTGGTTGAGCGCCCCATGCGGGAAACGGAAGCGAAAACACACGCACATCTGCCAAGGCCCACTTCAATTCATCGGACAGCATGCGATACATCGGCGGCACCGTTTGAACGGGCATATTCATAAGCCGCTCACAGAGCACAAGGCCCACCTGGGCCTGGCTGTTCGCGAACAAGCCCCGCAGTGTAGTCTGGAACGCGGGGTCTGCAGCAGTTTTTTCCAAAAAGTACTCGGCCAAGGACGCGATTGAGGGATGAGTTTGGTGCACGTGCATATTCAGGACGGTCAGCAACGCGTAAGGATCGCTTTCGATCCCATCGGTCTTGATCGTGGTCCCAACAGTTGGTTGAGAGAATATCAGGTCGACGAGGGCAGATGTGGAAAAACGTTCCGCATCGCGCTGGAAGAGTTGATCGAGAAGACGCTTGAGAGCATGGTAGTCAACCTTTGGATTGGGGTCGAAGAATTCGAAGTCGACGTCGACGAAACTGACGTCGTCCGAGTCCGAGTCGGACTCTTGCGCGGTAGAGTCTTGTTTTCGTTTGGCCATGTCACAGAAGAGAATTTGTGACGATGTGTTTTCCCTGATCTCATCACGATGACACGGACTGGCACTGCACTGCCACGGGTACAACTAGCGCATCTGGATTCAATCTGTCTCTCCTCGTGCCGTCCGGTCTACCCGTAGGATTTATCATTCGGATACTGTCAAGTGAGGATCGGCAATGGTTCATTGTGCGCCAATGTAACACACAACATGCTCAGTCTCCCCAGGGTCCCCTCATTGGTTGCAAAGGCTGCATGACTCTCCCATAGTCTGAGCTTTGAAATATCATCTCACCCATGGAAAGGTTTGCTACGTTGGAACCCGTGCGGCTGTACAGCCCGACCACTGCAACTGGCTCCGGTGCACGATTTCTCGGCCGCTCGCAACCGACCAAGACGACCGGAGCTCCTCCGCTCATCGGAAGACTACCGTCGGATCTACATCTTCTGATTCTCTCTTTCCTCCCCGTCCCCGATTTCCCTGCCTATGCTCGATGCACGCATGCCACGGCTAGTCTCAGTCGCTCTGAAAATATTTGGGAGGCTCGATGGAAGGCATTGGGTGTGGACGCGTTCAAGCTCGGGACTGTTTTAGATGACTTGGAGGCAAGGTCGCAGGGAAAGGCTGCCGCTTCTAGAGCAGCCGCTCCTCCCACCATTTCCGTCGATGATGATTTTGGCGATTTTGCGACCGTGGATGTGCTTGCGGCCACGTCTACTGCCGAGATGGGCGATTTCGTAGGGGACTTCATCGTACCTTCCACGCCATTCGCCGCCAGACTCGACCTTCCCACCACTCCAATCAAACCCACATATCGTAAAATGTACATCAGGGCACACTGCCTATTGAAGCCCTTGACCCGCGCCCTGGCCTCCCCGCCGCATGTCATCCTGACAGAATTGTCCTCATCCCTAACGACTCCAACCCTCCGACAAGAAGCCCACGCTCTTCACCTGTTGTCTCTATTTCTCTCGCGGCGAGTTCAGCCATTGCGGAAGTGGGATGCCTCATACGCCTCACTGCGCCTCGCCATGGATCGCTTCGACGCCAATGCATTGGCCGGGTTTGACGCGGCTGACGGCAGGAATGATGAGAAAGGAATGAGGGAGGCGGCTGAGGCTAGCTGGGAAGTCTGGGACGGCGACGGAGACTGGGAAATGGGCAAAGTTTGGGCCGAGAAACGGGAGATATTTTATCAGCAAGGACAGTGGGACCCTCTCAACAACTTCACGGCCGAGGAATCTCTCAATTTCAGTGCGATGGATGACTTCATGGCCTCGGTCCTTGGGGCGATTGCGGAGCACGGATCGCGCGCAGTGCGAGTGTTTCCGCCGGCCTCGGATGTGTTGATCTCATTCTGTGACCGAATCGCGGTGGATGTCGTCTCGGATTACATCACCTCTCTGCTCACTCGAGCGAGAGAAATCTCGAACGCTATATTTCTCAGGGCAACTGCGGCCAGTTTTGGCGAAACCTGGAAGATGGCTGATGTAATCATGGAGGCTGCGTCCCAGCGTTCCGACTCAAATGTAGAGCGAACGCGGGCGGAAGATGTCATGTGCGCAGGCATAGACTCTTCTAGTCCTGGTCTCACTTTTGACAGATTCCGTATGTTCGAAGTCAACATGGACGAATACCTCGACGAGGAAGTGGAGTCGGTTAAGCACGCGTTCGATGTCACTTGTAAAGGTTGGGACAGGCAGGTCAGGGCTTTTCACTTCGATATGGGCCGGTGCTGAATCAAAAAAGATGGCCGAGCGAGCGACATCAGGTTCTACATCGACACGCTTTCTGTCGTCGCAGAACCCAGCACTTGTGAAAAGAAATGTTCTGGCCTCCTTCACTTCTGTGCTCCTTATGCCTGTAACCATCGTACCAAGGGCTGTTGGGGGCGCGCTGATGACCGGTGGGACAGCCGCCGTCCAGGGGATCGCGATGCTGAATCCGAATCGCTGGGGTGCCAGTGCCAATGGGTCAGGCAGTAACAACGGCTATTCAGCCGGCATCGACCTTGAAAAGGCAGATCAGGACGAAGAAAAGAGCCTTTGTCAGTTGACTTGACTCCTTTAGACGAGGAGCTCACGTCTTTGTAGCATCTCCGGCCTCCTCTGTGACCCATTTTGGGATGACGTCTGCCGCCTCCACGCATAGCGCGACATCCGTGGCGGCATCCGTGTCCAGTTCCAACAAATTGGAGCTTCTTTTATCCCTAGATGTGGCGTTGGAGCTTATACATGCCGACCACGAGGCCTTGAAACGAGTTGAAACCTTTATTGGCTATCCAGGACATTATGGCCATCGAGTCCATGACACGATTGAGGAGCTTTTCATTCTTCTGCTGCAAGCGCTGGGAACAAGGCACATTAGTGTCGGATTCGGAATGTGAGTGTTGCCGCTCGAAGCTTTGTGATCTGATTGTTTTGCAGAGCCACTGAGCAAATGACTGAATACAAGCCAGAAGACAGTCAAGACACGACAAGTGTTGCTCCATTACTGCAGTTCTTTGAGTTGGTTCATATCGGAGACACCATCCAGTCGATGGTGCAAGTCTTCTTTGACAAAGAGCTGGTACGCTGATTGCCTGGTTACATTTCCGGACTGACCATGCGTCAGGCGCCGCATATTGATCGTACCGATTTCCTGAACGCTGTTGTGCGTGAGAAGAAGCGATTCGAAAACTCGTTGGACGACTCGGTAGCGGCTGGTTTAAACGCCGGCACTCAGGTCCTAATGAATCAAGTCGAGCACATCATCCTGACGCTGACCGGGGCACGCGAATACTACCCTCCGGAGGACAAGCCTTTAGACTTGGGTCCGACCAAAGGCTGCACGGAAGCCATCAAGTGTCTCCAAGTCCACTGCAATCTGCTTAAAGGCAGCACCAGCAAAGAAGTTTTGGAGGTCTTTTATCAGGAGATAGGCATTCGTTTGATTGCGCAAGTGGTGCCTCACTCAACTGCCCATTCTTATCTGACTCCAAAATCAGAATACTCCAAAAACATATCAAACGACAGATCATCTCGCTGGCCGGTGGCTTCCAGGTCATCGCTGATCTGAACACCTACTATGGCTTCATCTCCTCACTCAAGGTTCCCACTCTGACAGCGGAGTTTTCCCACCTCAAAATGCTTGGTCACGTTTACGTCGTCGATGATGCCAAGGATCTGGCTCAGATTGTTCGCGATGTGTCACGATATGGCGGAGCCTACAGACCCGAGGCACGTCTTTATCTGTGTTGAAGGATTGGCCTGAACTCTCATCCTTTAGGATATCTACGAATTCATCCAAAGACGCTCAGACTGGAAAAAGATTGAAAAAATTGTAGACAAGGCAATGTATAATCTCAGCTTCAAAGAGGACTGTATCATATCGTAGCACCAGCAGCTGTTATCTAATATCACGTGCGCAAGTCACACCGCGTCCGTGACAACCCTTTTCGCGTTGCTTCATCATGGTCGACGCGGAGACCGAGGTGCTATGCCTGCCCACTCCAGGGGAATTCCCCGCCTTTCCATACTCGCCACCCTACCCTATTCAGGTCGAACTCATGCGACATCTCTATACGTCCATCGAGCAGAGCAAGGTGACGATCGTTGAAAGCCCTACTGGGACCGGCAAGACACTCAGTCTGCTCTGCGCCAGTCTCACATGGCTGAGTGATGAGAGGAACCGTGCCAGAAAGGGAATACTGGACTCGTTGGGGACAGAGGCGGAGGGTGCGTCGATGTGTGTGTGGGCAGTTGGATTGTACAACTGACTGCTATGTCCCTCACAGCTCGCACTGACTGGGTCCTCGCACAAACCCGGGAGCGAAGAGCCAGAGACCTCGAAGCGGAAGAGTCTGCGTATATGGAGCGCCTGCAGAACGCGAGGAAGAAGGAAGGACGCATGCGCAGGATGGCGGCAGCGCGAGTACATAAGAAACAGGTGCGGTGGTCGTGCCCTCCGAATTTCACACCATCATCCTCATCTCGAGGTCCACTAGAGATTCGCTGTGTCGTTAGGCAGCGAAGACTCGGACGACATGTATCTCCCCGACTTACAAGACCCCGAGGATAATATATCGCCGGAGGTACGTGCGCTGATGGCTCGGTCAGTGCCCTCTCTATTGCGAGTGAAAAGCCTAATCTCAGCTCGGGAAAGGTTCGAGAAGTCCAGAAATGGACTCGATCGTGATGAAGAGGAGGTGCCGACGTGTACAAAGATCTACTATGCCTCGCGAACGCACTCTCAGCTTACTCAGATTGTCCCGGAACTGCTCCGGCTGAAGCTACAGCCTGTGACAACATCCGCACCAGCATGTCGGACGGAAGTGCCCTCCAAACGGAGGGCCGTCGAATCCATCGAGGATGAGGGAGAACAATCCATCTCGTATACACGGACAGTGTCGCTGGGCTCGAGAAGACAACTATGCGTGAATGAGACTATCCGCGCCAAGTTCGTGGATATCGACGAGGGCTGCCGGGCCCTCATGGAAGGTAGATTTTTCTGACTTGTGGAAAGCGAGGTTCACACCCATAGTCTAGAGAAGGAGGACAAGCGATGTCAGTACTTGTCTAAAGTTGGCGACGAGGGCCGGATGCATGATTTTCGAGACCAGATTCTGGTAGAGTGTTGATGGTATGTTTGTTGATTGCAAGTGACGTTTAAGCACAGGCTTCTCCCAAAGACATCGAAGATCTTGCTTCTGCGGGTCGGCTTGCGCAGACATGTCCGTATTTTGGATCAAGACAGGCCATTCCTCAAGCGGAAGTGCGTATTCACGATGGTATTCAGTGGCGCACACTGAAAGTGGTCAGCTGGTCACATTGCCGTACAACCTGCTGTTGCAGAAATCTGCCAGGGAGGCCCTGGGGATTGACCTAAGCGGCCAGATCGTCATCATTGACGAAGCTCACAGTGCGTGCACAATCCATGTGGAAGCTCATCGCCAACCACGGACTGGTAGACCTGATCCCAACTCTTCTATCACTTTCGACGACAAAGCTAGGCCTGTCCACGCTCAGCAAAGCATTGTTTCAATTGGCGACCTACGTTTCCAAATTCAAGACAAGACTTGGGGCTACACATCTCTTGCATCTCAAACGCCTAGTCACGTTTTTGGAGGCTCTGCAAACGTACCTACTCGCGTGGAAGAATCCTGGGCTCAGCGAAAAGCCGGACCAAACGAAGAGCGAGATCTTGACTGCGACGCAGCTGGTTGATCGGCTCGGTCGCTCCGTCAGCGGCATCAACCTCCTGGAAATTGAGTCGTATCTCAAATCCAGCAAGATTGCGCGCAAGATCTCTGGTTACTCAGACAAGCAAGCGGAGAAGGCAGGCAAGTGGCTCGTTTTACCTTTTTGTTCTCTGGGACGTGCGATGACCTCCGGTGTGCAGATCCTAGTCTACGTCGCAAGCCAGGGGCAGTCCCGCCCCTACATGCGGTGGAGGCCTTTCTCTTGTCATTGACAGGCGCAAGTCAAGATGGGCGCGTCAGTCTTACGCTTGTGCGCGATGAAGTGGAACTCAAGTATCAGCTGCTCAACCCGGCACCGCATTTCATGGAGGTGGTCGAATCTGCCCGCTCGGTGGTGCTGGCGGGAGGAACCATGTCGCCCGTGAGCGCAGCGAAAAACATGTCGTTGATATGGGGCTCACACAATCCCTACAGATCTCAGATGTAATCCACCAACTATTCTACCAGCTTCCCGCCGAAAAAGTAACCAGTTTCTCGTGCGGCCATATAATCCCAGAATCCAATCTCAAGACTATTGTCGTCAGCAAAGGCCCGCGCGGTGGCGAGCTGGAATACAAAGCCGGCAAGCAGAGTAATGAGAGTGTGGTAAGTAACAGATTATCAATTCAGGTGTGCGTATCGTGATATTCGTATGCCAGGTCGACGAACTCGGGCAGATGCTGTTCAACTTTGCCAGCCTGATTCCAAAAGGGATGGTGGTGTTCTTCCCTTCGTACAACTTCCTCAATCTGGCAAAAGCTGCTTGGAGAAAGAGCGGGATACTGACACGGCTGGAAGGGAAGAAACAGGTGAAGCGGACCCGTCATTCACCTGCCAACAATCAGCGCTGACTTCAAAACAGGTGTTCTTCGAGCCAGAGCAGACTATCCAGGTGGATCAAGTGTTGCAGGACTATGCTGATGCTGTTTCCGGGGGCAAGGGTGCTCTGCTCTTTGCAGTGATCGGTGCAAAACTGTCGGAAGGGCTCAACTTCACGGACGATCTCGCTCGGGCGGTGATCATCATCGGGCTTCCTTTCGCCAATCTGGGTTCGATCGAGCTGAAGGAGCGCATGAGGTATGTCCAGGAACTGGAGCGACAGAGGGGTACGAAGCCTGCTCCTGGGCGCAAAGATGCTGGCGCAGAGTTGTACGAGAATCTGTGCATGAATGCGGTAAATCAAAGTATCGGTGGGTTTATTCTCAAATAAACTTGTGTTTCCAGAGTCTGATAGTGGACACAGGTCGGGCGATCAGACATCGAAATGACTGGGCAGCGTTGATTTTGCTGGATAGTCGATACAAGTCGACCTCCATCCGCTCCAAGCTGCCCAAATGGATCGGCGGGAGCTTGACTGCTGCTGAGAGTTTTGGCCCGGTCATTAAAGATCTCGGGGCTTTTTATAGGAGTAAAAGAGGTTGAGCCTTGAGGGGGTCACTTCAAGATTGCATCCGTTATCAGTATTGCAGTCGAAGATCAGTCTTATCTAATCGCGAGTGACTTGAAGACGACGACCATGATCACGGTGGAGATATTCGACGACAAGAATCCCGAGCACCGTGCGCTGGGACCTAGTTTCGTGGAGATCCACATCGCCTGCATCGAGACCGACCACACGATCGCGACATTCCTGCCACCGTTCAAACGCGACGTCATGCTCGAATGGTGGAACGACCGCCTCGCCGATGCAGCGAGCGAGAAGCGGATTATTTTTATGGCGTTCTCGGAAAACGAATTTGCTCAAAGGGTGCTTGCGGGATATGTGATGTTGTCCCGGCCCCTCACGGACACCGGGCCGTTTCGCGGCGGGGTCGAAAAGCTGCTGGTCTCCCCGGACTTCCGAAGACAGTGAGGATTGTGCTCATGTACTTAATTCTGCGGATTCTCAGAGCACGACAGGGGCATCGCTAGGAGGCTCATGGCGAAGCTGGAGGAGGTGGCTCTCATGCGCGGTCAAACTCTGTTGGTAGGTGCCGTCCTGTTCAGATGGCAGTAACACACTGATAGAGCCCTGCAAGACATTAGACACGGAAACAGGCAGTCCAGCCGAATCGATCTATCCGCGACTAGGGTATACACAGGTGAGCAGGATGTTACACAATTCTCCGTGGTAAGAACTGCCAAGTGATGCTATTGTCATCTGCCAGCTGGGTATCATCCCCAACTTCTGCATCAGTCCGGTCGATGGCTCTCTGATCGCTGGCACGTTTTTCTGGAAACAGCTGTAGTTCAGAGCTTGGCGCGGATCTGGTCCGCTAGCGCCGACGCGTCGTCGTCTAATTCGCTCCTGCCTGCGAACTCGAGTCGATGCATCTGTCGCTGAGTCAAAGGCTGGGTCGTAGACGAGTAGCTCAGCGGGTCGTCGAATTTGGGGGCGGGGATGACGTGGTAGTGCACCTGAACATAGGGATTGAGACCGGACGCGTTTGTCTGTTTGCTCGTTTGAGAAACTCACATGGGGAACGGCTTGGGCATACTCTTGATTGCACACGACATTCAAACCGGTGTGATCCAGAGCTAGATGCATACGGCCTCAGACTAGGACGGGGGCGGTATCTTGTATGCGACACACACCGACAGTGAGCGCGTGAGCGACCTTGGTGACGGCTTCCCCTATAGCTGAAGCGAATTCGGGAGGTAGTTCGGATAGACGGGAATAGTGAGCCTTAGGCACGACCAGAGTGTGTCCTCGTCTAAGTGGAAGGATGTCTTGGGTATCTCAACTTCGGGGAGAAGCTGGAGAGCCTCGCAGACGGACCGAGGAAAGCAATGACCAGGTCGTTCTCGTAGACTACTGTTGCGGGGGATTCCCCTTTGAGTATCTGGCAGAAGGCACAATCTGGTGAGCTGCTCCATGTTGATGGAGGTCGGGTTTCATGCGTTTTGATAAGGAAAGAAGTCATGGGAGAGGACGGAGCGTTGAGGGCGGGAACAACCTGCACCAAGTCCGATCACGACCCCGTGTCGGTCATAATATTATCACGTGTGTATGCTCATAGTGTAGGCTTACATCTGACGGTCTCTTAATAAAGACTCTTATGGCACCCCGAATCGATACAAGACCCAGAAACCTATTCAGATGAGCATTCAAATCATCCGAATGGTCCAATCTAGGTGATTGGTCGGATAAACATCATATCCCCTCCATCAAACCCGCAGGAACAAGGCCAGCAATACGGGGCTCTTGGACAATCTTCGACTATCGTTTAGTGATGATGCGGACTCACTGAGACCCCGCGTTGTTCAACTTGTTGATTGAATTGCGCTACAAAGAACAGTAATTTGATGCGATAGACAAATGTTCTAAGTCAGGACCTCATTATGGCGCGATGGCCGAGTGGTTAAGGCGACAGATTAGAATACTCTAGTATCTGTTTCGGTTTCCGAGCGCAGGTTCAAGTCCTGCTCGCGTCGTAGTTTTTTGCCTCTGCTTCATTCGAAGCAAGGTCCCCGTCTGCTTGACATAACAACCGTCCTTCTGCCCGTTTGGCTCACTTTTGTATTTGCCACAATTATGGGGAAGAAAATTCTCGATACAAGCTACGAGCTAGTTTGGAAGCTAATTTGAAGAAGCGGACTCGATCGACCAGTTTGAGCCATTGCTTGATCAAGGCACACGATTCAAACTCGGTGGTGCCAGAGATCATTTGTAGGACTAGTGATTTCCTCTTGCCGTCGGTATCGCTTTTGAGATACCGGGGCTCTCCTAACGCCGCGCACCGCGCGTGAGGATCGACTTCGGGGTCAGGGAAGGCTCTAGCTCTATATTCTGGTTACAAAGGAGTGCATGTGACCGGTCACAGTGGAGCCTCTTTCTTCCGACCTAATTACATACCCACCGTTGTCGCTGGACACGATGTCGACGCCCAACGAGGACCCCAGCCTCTCGTCGACGCCTACCCCGTCCAGTCATATGCACAGGTCATTCAGCCAAGATAGCAGTCACCGACTGCAGGGGTCGTCTGGCTACTTCCCCCCCTCCCACCCGTCCACGCGTCCGACGCCCATTCTCGTGCGCAGCTCGTCCGCGCACTCGGCCCGTCGTGCACCGCGCAGCACCAGCGTCAGCAGCTCCCATGTCACCTCCCGAGGCTTCCGCGACGACGCGCTGCTGAGTGAGGCCGACGAGGACGAATACGACGACCTCGATGCGGACGAGGACGATGCGGACACCGGCGCTGGCGTCCTCCGCCGCGGCACTCGTCACGGAAAACAGGCCGCGACCGACCCCCCTGAGCTCGACACACCACCGGACGCTGACCTAGACGAGGACGATCCCATCACGCTGCGCGATCGGCAATCCCTCATCAATGTTGAGCATCCCTTCGGACTGCCCATTTGGAAACCCGCGCTGTACAAAAAGAGTCGGTCGGTCACCCGCTATGCTGATGCTGCGCTGCACTCGGTGCCCTCGGCACAGGCAGAGCGCCATCTCTACCCGGGCAATATCTTCTGGGTGATTTGTTTCGGATGGTGGCTTGCTGCGGTGTGCATGATTGTATCCGGCTTGTTGTATCTGGTCCCGGATGGCGGCAAGCGCTATTCCACTTTGGTCTATGGACTGGGTTGGTATCTCGCCTGGCCTTTCGGCAAATATGTCGAAGGCGAAGCCGATTCCGACGATGAAGGAGATGGCGAAGATGACGACGGAGATTATCACGCTGATGAGGAGGCGACTGCTGGCCGACGGGAAACTGACTCCAGTGCCGACGAGGGAACGATCCGTGGTGTGCCATTATCGGCCGCCTCGACCATCATGCCGCAACATGTTCAAACGCTGTCCTGGAGCCCGGTTGTTGAGCGAGCCACTCCCTCGAACGAGGGTTCTTCTCTTCTGCACCGGGTGCCTCCTCCGTCTCGCTCGTATGGTGCCACAATGTCTACTACATCGTCGACCGATAGCTCCATTGGGGCTGCCAAAGCTGCCACCTCGCCGAACGCTGACACATTGGGACGAATCTGCTTCTGGCTTTCCTTTGTGGCTGTCATTGCACCCTTGATGCTTATCGTGTGCCTTCTCTGCTGGGCTCTGGTTGTGACCATACCGATGGCCAAGCTCAATTGGGCGCTCATCAAATACATCTTCGCGCAAGCGCACACTATCCGCTTCTGTGCTGCTCCGCCTGCTGTCGTCGTTGCATCTCCCCCGGCTGATGGCGCGGAAGCTGATGACGAAGAAGGCGGGCCGTCGCAGTTCTCCGTCAAGCATCCACGTCTTGCAGAGGGCAATCGGGCTCCAGGCAACACAGCATCTAAAGTGCTGCTCTGTGTCTATCGTGCGACGGGATCCCAATTCTACAAATACACTATTGGCGGTGTGAACATCATCTTCGTCAATCTTGTCCCGCTCGTCTTCCTCGTGATCTTTGATGGATTCGTGCTCCTCCCACTCGTCGAGAAGCGGGAGAAACATGGACATCATGTGCCGGCTTTGCTTGCCCTGCTGGCGGGCCGCGAATTCTTGTTTGTGCTGTCGCTGCTCAGTGTCATTCCGTTGAGTTATTTCATCGGCATGGCTGTGGCGAGTATCTCTGCGCAGAGCAGCATTGGCATGGGCGCTGTGATCAACGCAACATTCGGTTCAATCATTGAAATTATCCTTTACGGACTGATGCTCAAAGAGAACAAGGGCCATCTCGTGGAAGGTTCCATTGTCGGCAGTCTGCTCGCTGGAGTGTTGTTGATGCCCGGAATGAGTATGTGCAGTGGCGCATTCCGGCGCAAGGAACAGCGGTTCAACGCAAAGAGTGCTGGTGTTACCAGTATGATGTTGATTATGGCCATCATCGGCACGCTCGCCCCGACGCTGTTTTATCAAACCTATGGCAATGTGAGTGAATTGCTTCCAGCAGGAGACTTGTGCTGATCACCTCTCCCTATAAAAGTTCCGGCTGATTTGCACCGGCTGTCCTTCCGGACACACTCGTCGGATATGCCTTGGGTCTGCGACTCTTGCTACTACAAGCACCCCGATCCTGTCGACGATCCATTCTATCAATCCACCGTTAAAAGCCTGATGTACTTTTGTGCGGCGATCCTGCTTTTCGTGCGTTGCCTTGATCCTTCCCCCGCTGCAAGCTCTAACATACTTGCAGTCTTATCTGATCGGTCTATGGTTCTCGCTGAGGACGCACGCTACCCAAATCTGGCAAAACCCACAGCAACTTCTGCAGCCTTTGGAGCTCCCTTTGCATCATGGCCAACGTCCGCTTTCTCTCTATCACCGAACGCGATTGCAGCACAAGGCCAGCACACGAAGCGAGCGATCGCAGACGCCCCTCGGAGCCCAACAACCGCAGCCCCCCGCCAGCCCCAATCTGGCCCGCCGAGTTTCCTATGCTCCGGCCGGTTTCTCTCCCGTCTTGGAAAGTGTCGACCATGTGGTTAAGGGTGTTCAGCCTCTGAGCCTTCCGGAGCCGTTATCCACTGACGAGTTCACCCGCGCTGTGGCTGTGGCGACTGTGAGCGCGCTCCGCCATCAACAAGCGCAAACACTGCCTCATTCGCCTGCTCGGACTCGGGCTGCTGGTGGAGAGGAGCATGCTGCTGCTGCTGGAGGCGGGCACGGTGGGCACGAAGCGCCCAGCTGGAGCCGCATGACCAGTGCGAGTGTGTTGCTGATTTGCACAGCTCTCTACGCTGCCATCGCTGAGATCCTCGTTGACGTGGTTGATGTTATCTTAGAAGGGTCTGGGCTGCAGGAGAAATTCCTCGGCGTGACTCTCTTTGCCCTGGTGCCGAACACGACTGAGTTTATGAATGCCATGTCGTTTGCGCTCAATGGCAACATCGCTCTGAGGTGTGCTCTGTTCTTCTTGGCTCATCCTTTTACTCATTGCATTGGCAGCATGGAAATCGGGTCCGCTTATGCTCTGCAGGTGTGTCTGTTGCAGATCCCAGCCATGGTTGCCTTTTCTGCATGGTATGCTCCCGAGAAAATGGGGGAGGTCGCGTCGACATTCACGCTCATCTTCCCTCGCTGGGACGTCGTGGTCATCATCCTGTCCATGTTCCTTATGACGTACACCTACATCGAGGCCAAGAGCAACTATCACCGAGGCAGCATCCTTATTCTTAGGTGCGTGTGCTTGGCTCTGTTCCGTCGCTTCTATTATTCACTCTTTCTTAGTTACCTGGTCCTCACTGCCGGCTTCTATTTCGCGCCGTCTGACGAGGAGGACACGAATGACCTCACTAGTTCTCGGCACGAAATCCCTGCGTTGACCCTCTTCCAGACTGCGCGCTGGTACCTTTCCCGGATGTGGTGAATGTCAAAAAATGTTGCCGCATATCATTATGCATGTTTTGTCTGGACAGTTCTTCCCGTAGATATTGTATCTCTCATCCCAAGTTTCCTCTCAAGCGCATTCAACCACCATTAGTCAACAAATAAATACCTCACGACCCTGTTACGACCCGTTACGACCACTTTAGTGTACATCCATTCGTCTAATACGATACTCTGGTGGAGCACTTGCATTTTAGGCATCGGGAGGTGCAGAAGCTGTGCATCAAGAGGACGAATACCTTTTAGAGTCTAAAAATTTGCGTGCTTGCCATTTGAACTCCTGACGCGATCCATCCATGCACCGATCTGCATTCTCATGTACTGAACGTCAAGACACTTTCTCGTATCCTGAGCCGGACACTGCGATCCGACGGCCACTCAAAGCGAACAGCATCGAGACTTTCTGCAACGTCCATATTGCCTGCCTCTCCTACCGCGAAGGAGAGCGTCTTGAACGGCTCGGAGCCCGCGTGGCCCTGTCTCGGGGGCGCCCCCGGATTGAAGAAGCTCGCGAAACTCGTCCCGACTTTCCACACGAGGACCACGCTCTCCTCGAGCGAGAGCGTGACGAGCCGCCGGCCGTCAGGCGAGAAGCTGCACGCGGTGACGCGCTTTTTGTGGCCCTCGAGGATGTACAGCCTGATCGCAGTCTTGAGATCGTACATGACCAGCGCGCCTTCGCTAGTGCCCACGGCCAGGCGCTGGCTCCCCATGTGGAAGTCCACCGACCGGAACGTTTTCACCACATGCCCGATGATTTCCGTGGCGGCGTCGAGAACGGCGTCCCGGTTCGTAGTCGAGTTGGGGTCCAGCGACTTGACGACCGCTTCCATCAGTCGCGGCAGATTGGCATACAGGACGAGCGGGCGCTGGTTGCGTCAGCCGACGACATAGCCGGCGACAAGGACGTAAACGCACCTTGCGGATCAGGAACGCGACGATCTGCATGACCGATCTCCTGTGATCCAGATCGACGGGGTTCAGGATGTCCAGGGACAGCGTCGTCATGAAAAGAGCGGTCTCGTTTGATGCGATGTGCAGCACAGCCAAACGTGCCTGCGGCCCCGCATTCTGGGCTGTGATGGCCTCCTTGCGCGAGTTGGTGGCCAGCATGAACAACGCCCGTAGCATTTCCATCGCATCGATGTAGTGCTGCCAGATGTGGAAGCCCCGCGAGCACAGCTCAATGGCCAGCACTCGATACAGAGATTGCTCGTCGTGTAAATACAGTGCGATTGATTTGGAAATGTCCGTCAGAGCACTGTAATCCGTCCGTCAGTATCCAGCAGCAGCAGTAGCAGCCTGGACGAGGCCGGAGACTACCTGACAGCGATCAGACTGTACTTGTCCGAGGCGATGAAACCACAAAGAAACAGAGCGAGTGCGGCAGCCAGCGTCTCACGATCTGCAGCTGGCTGCAAGCACGGGACTGATTTATCAAAGCATGAGCACGAGATAGGATGCAGCCAATCAGTTGACTTGCGGTAGTGTTGCCAGTGGTCAACGATCGAACTCGCTTCGTCATCACCCAGTCGAGCAATCGACGCATCTAAAAGCAAGCGGGCGGCCTGTCGTAACTCGTCTACCGAACATCAGCTATGATGAAAGGCAAGAGGAAGCGGCAACCTACTCGAGGAGTCGAACCAGCGACGGGCGAGATACACGAGACTAGGAGCTTTGTAGTGCGGTCCGACAACACCACTCAAGGAGGTCATGTAGAACGCCATGACGGTCGACGCCGAATCGGCCAGCTCTGGTCTGATTGGTAAACCGAAGTAACGCAAACTCGTCACATACCATCGAATAGAGCCAAAGTTCTCAGCAGAACAACGATTGATAGAGCGCGGGCAGCCGAGATTTCCCCGGAGACAACCCAAGCCTGGCTGCCATTGAATAAACAGTTCGTGCCGTTGCTAGTCTGAATGTCAGAATAACGTCGATACAATCACAACCCTGAAGCGACCGACCTCGAGAAGCCGGCGTGCGCGTGCGAGAGCGGTATGCCAAGTCTGTCTTTACACAAGACATCGATGTCGTTGTTGAGCCTCAGCGTCAGTAAAGTCGACAACAGCAGTTTGACTTGCGCCAAAGCAACGTATACCGCGCGAGTCTGATCTCGACCGGAGCTGATCAGCCGTGCTGTGGTGCTGGCCACCCCTACGAATTGCTCCAAATCAACCAGCAGCGTGGAACCTGGACAAGATCAGTCAGCTGATACCGGACGCAGGGATAGTGAGCTCGCACCGCAAATGGCAGCATCTCCTGCAAGAGAGCGAAGAATAGGGCCAGATGGTCTATCCTTCAAAGATCTGGCCTTCAGTGAGAGACGGAAGAGATGCAGGGGCAAAGCAAACATACAATTCAGTCCATCCACCCTGAGAGGTCATCTCTACAGCCTTTTCCGAGCTCATCGATCTCCAAAACTCCTTCGTCTTGACATCCCATAGCCTCACCCGACGATCGGTGTATGTAAGAGCACATTGTCTTCGCCAACACATACCTGATCCAGGGCAAAAGGCGAGCCAGGAATCAAGTACAAGCTGAACACACATCAGTTCACCGAAAAAATCCAACGGCGTACGGACTTACTAGTGGAAGCCGTCGACTGCAATGACAGCTATCGTTCCGTCACGTGAGATGCACAAGATACATCCACGCAGGGGACCTTGCTCTTCAGCAGGGACTGGAATGATGCAGGCGAGTGGCGCTGTGAATATGACCCAATAGGCACAAAGAACCAGCCCTCTAGGTCGGATCAAAAGTCATCCGAAGCATAGTGCAAACGACGTACTGGGATGTCCAGATTGCAACTGAACCGTCATCTCCGCCGCCCACAACGAACTGCTCCCTAGTGCGCACGTTCTGAACCATATGTAGTTTAACGACGGATGCGGGGATCTGTGGCGAGGATACGTTTTGTGGAACGGGCACAGACTCGCCGCACAAGGCAGCGAGGGTGAATCGCTTCAAGTGGCCATCGCCTTTTCATCGATCAGATAAGATAAGACGGAGAACAAAACACACCGTATCCGAGCAGCACACAGTCGAAATCCAGAGGCATGATGCAAGTGCACCGGGCTGCGGACTGTTGTGCATACGGCCGTGCTCTCCACATGACGGACGCAGCTTCTGGCTTGAAGGCTTGCAATAATCGGCTTCTATTCTGCACTGTCGTAGCATAGACGTCGTGCAATGAGGCAATATGCACTGCTTCATAATCTCCAGCGAGGACCTGCTTTGATTCTGGTCTGACGAGGTGTATCAAGAGCACGATAACAGCGCAAACGCAGCACATACTGGATGCTGCCCTTCGTGAGGCTGTACGTTTCAATACGATCCTATACGATTTAAGTGATGAAAGAGAAAGCTGGGTAGATGACAAAAACCTTGCAAACAACGACAAGGCTATCTTCAGAAAGCAGTCGTGCCTTCCTGATGTTAGGAAGAGCCGCGTGGGAGATAACACCAAAGTCCGTTCCGGTCCCACTGTATTCAAACACCTGCTCCAGATGAATCGATAGAGAGCTCGGAGAACAAAAGCACTCACCGTCAAGCCCTGGTCAGTCCACACGACACTCCGGAACCGTCCGCCGGTGATACAGCAGGTCATGCCAGCAAAAACCTCGTCCTTCAACACCTGACCTATCAACAACGGTTCACCGATGACCATCCGACCCGCGACAGTATGTACGGGCTCCTGCTTCGCGGACTCTGCGTCCAACGGCAGCTGCTCTGCCGAGCGGACCTTGAGATTTATCGCCTTGAAGACAGCAGCGAGGTTAGTTGCCCCATTGGACTGGCCGTGCTTGGGTAGATCTGAGGAGGGTGTGTCCGGTCGAATGTCGAGTGTTTGTAGAGAAAAGCTGCCGCCTGGGGTGATCAAGTACAAAATGTCTATAATGCCCGTTGTCAGTAGAGCACGGCATGCAAAGAACCTCGCTGACTTTCCGAGTGATGGCGATATATGCCGGCGCTGTCAGCAAACCCGTCGAAAGACCAAGCACCCAGCAGCTCAAAAGCTACTTCGTATGGCCCACGATGGCTGCCAGCTCGGAACTGTATCACGGCAACGCGAGATTTCTCCTGTACTCCGTTGTCGGTCGGATCGAGTGCCGAAGTCGGACAAGCAGGATCTATGGACGCAGTCAAGAGCAGTACCGCGGTCTGTTTTGCAGAGTCAGTCTCCCCCGTCACCAAGCACAAATATTTAACCTGCGAGATGAACGCTAATTCAAGCTGGCGCCAGATCCACACATCGTGTCGAAGAGAGCCAGACTCTGCACCATCACGGGTGCTTACGCTCTCAACTTCCAAGGAGGTCATGCATGATCCATCCGCCGTTGAGTACACTGCCAGTTGGCTGGAAGGAAAGCATTAGCGCAGCCGACAAACCCATCACAATTCAACGCACCCAGACCGATGAAGGACTGCAAAGAGCGTCTCATCCTCAAGCAGCAGTATCGACACCACCGGACTCGGAGGCGTCGAAGGAACAATATGGTAGAGCAGTTCCCAATCGTGAACATGCTCATGGAAGACAGAAGGGACCGTGGGTGAGGTCGGGCGTGATAATGACCGGGGACTCTGAGACGGCGAATTCGTCGCAGAGAGCAGGGATCGCGGCGCTAGAGGGTCGGAGCGTTTGCTCTGATGGCGGGGAGAGGCGGGCACAGACGAGGAATCACTTGATAGCGGAGGGGAGCGCCGTTCCTTGTCTTTGTCCTTGTAAGTACGGCCTTTCAGTATGCCCTTTAGCTTCTCCGGTTCATCATCGTAGTCGACGTAGTTCTTCGGGGCCTCGACTTGCGCCGGTGTGATGCCGGAGACGATGCGCGACCTGGATGACACGTTGAAAGGGACTCGACCCGATGTCGTGGGGGAGGCCGAACGTGAGGACTGGGTCGCCGCGGGAGAGAGACGGGTTGGCAATGTCGGTGGGTCTGTGTTTGGATGGGTTATGGGATCGGTCGCATACGCAGGTGAGTTTCGGAATGCATAGACTGTGCCGTCATCACAGCCGAGTATGGCACACACACGCGGCTGATACTCGTCGTCTGTATTGTGCTGCAGCGAGATCAACACTGTCGATCTGGAATTCGAGCAGCTCCACTCGAGATCATGGCCCGACCCCAAGGACGCGAAAGTCAGCGGGAGAGTGTATGAGGGAGAAAGGGGATTCATCCGTGGCCTTAGAGTAGCCAGCGTTGCCGAGATTATGAATTATTCCGCATCAACGCGTCGAGTTCATAGGAAGGGGCGCGGTCACGTCTGTCACGTAGTTTTCGGATCATTTGATGCGTGCGAGTAGAAATAGATAAGATAATGTCTGGCTCTCTTCTTATCATTCAATGCCCTTGGATGTTGACTGGTAATTTTCTTCGTTGACTTTGAATTAGGAGAGAGATCTGCATGCTTATACTACGTCGTACATCAATTCTCCATAAACTTGCAGATGAAAGCACTCACGGGGTCGCCATCTCCGAGTTGCCAGCCAGGGTCTGGCGCGACAAGTCTTCTGAGTAAATTACGTACGAAATGTGCATCCAGATCATAGTATATATTATGTGGCTCTGAATTATTGGATGAGACTCGGTTCAAACTACTATGGAGGGCGGAAGCGAGCCTACATAGTCTAACATTTGCCTCGCTGAAACCGTCACGCCCTCACGTGATCTCAACGCGTTCAGTCACAAACCTCACTTCTGCCTCCATCCCGTCTGCATGGACGTAGACGACGCGCCACAGGTCACCGAACCTTCTCAGCCGGCGACCGAAGACACAGGGCCTGATCCGGATCTTGTCGCTGATGAATCCGCCCTGCTCACGGCCCCCGTTGCCCCCGCGAAGAAGAAGCGTGAACGCAAGGATCCTATCAAAGTCGAGCGCCTACCGGGGAAGACTTTGTTGCCCATATCGAAAGTCCAAACCATTATAAAAGCAGACAAAGTGCATATATCTCCGCAAACCGCCGCCGCTCTGCTCATTTGTGACAAGGACATTCCCATCGTCGCGAGGGAGGCCACGTTTCTCATCGCTTGCGCCACGGAGGAATTCATTAAACGGCTAAGCGAGGCGGCAATGGCACTAGCGGAGAGGGAACGGAGGTCGACGCTGCAGTACAAAGACATGGGCGAGTGCATCCCATTTCCATTCTGACAAACGATTTTGACGTCAACTCGCTGGCACTCTAGCCACAGTAGTCCGCAAAGCCGATGAGTTCATCTTTCTCGAGGGTCTGTTGCTCCCTTGCCAATGCACACGAACTGAACAACGCTCTGCAGAGATTTTGCCTTGGACATTGCCAGAAGCACCGGGCAGAAGGAAACAGAAAGCTTCAGAGATTCTTTCCGGTGCTCCCACAGTCCTAGACCAATTCATGCTCAAACAGCCTGAGGCTGCGGAAAAGCCGAACGATGAGGGAATGGAGGACTCAGATTCCGAGGATGATCAGGCTTGAGTGCACTCAATTCGTCGTGTGCTTGCGTCCATCCATATCTTGTACATTAACAATAAACGGCCCTATCTTTGTAGAATCTTGTAATCATGCTTCGAACTAATGCCTGCCAGTCGGCGTGGAAATGTTCTTCCGAGCGGTCCGAGCCTCCGCGACATGTAGAACTACAGGGACGAAAGCAGAGAAGAAGTCTGACGTCATCAATCTGACGGCTTTGCTCGGACTATCTCACTTGTCGTGCGCGTCGACGGCAGAAACACTTGAGTCAGAGTCCCGACCCACGCGGCCATGAAGATCGTCTCAACGTTCCACCGTCCGTCCTCGGTCGTCAGCTCTCTGAAGTGCAGTCTCACTGCCGGGGTCGAGCACCTCGTGGTCGCCAAACTCGATGGACTGGATGTATACTCGCTCCAACCAGAAGGCCTGAGGCATGAATGCAGATGGGACATACTTGGGAATGTTCTGACCGTGAAAGCTCTTCCCGTATCGGTGCGCCTCCGTCACTTCCCAGCTCTCGCAGCGAGCTGATATCAAGTAGGAGACTGGACCGTGCTGCTCAAACTTGATCGTCATGCTCGACCATCCAGAGGCCGAGCTCATCTTCCTTGAATTCAAGCGATCCCAGGACTCGCGCTACTCCCTCGTCATCAGTAAACGCGTTGAGCTTGTGCAACGGAATGTCAATCAGCGGCCGGCGGAGTTCTTCAACGATCTCATCGTCCACCCACACGGCAGAATAGCCATCGCCAGCTGCTTCTCGGGAAAAATCAAGGTAGTTCGGCTCAATGGCGGACACTATCTCTCGGATATGGATGTTTCGTGAGTGGTCTACCTGGCTCCTTATCCTGGATAACATAACCGATGTCTCTCCAGCATCGAAGAGCACACGATCCTCTCCATCGAATTTCTCCCATCTCCAGACGAGTATCTTCTCGGGTTCATGTACATCGATCACTCCCGTGCAGTACGACTAGATGCGCGAACGTACACTGAGACGGACGACTTTGAGCCCTCGACGGCCCTGCGCTCCACAACCATCTCATCCAAAATCGTCCCTTACCCCGATGTCTCTCATCCTTGGCTGGTTGCTGTTCCATCTCCAAGCAACGCCGACTCCGATGACCAGGACCTCTCCGAGCCGTTTGTCGGAGGCGTCCTGGTGTTGAATGGCACGCAGATCCTGCTCTTCGAGCTGGCCTCGGAGTCGGATCAACGTGTGCAGAGCAACAAGCGGCGGAAACTGAATAAGCAGGTTGAGCTCGGCTCGCCGGAGGAGGCGGAAGAAGCCGTCCAGCGGCAGAGGAAGCGAGAAAAGAAGAAGCAGCGTTCCCGGGCGTTCGTTGAATGGCCCTTCAGCTCGATCGCCTCGTAAGTCTGATGTCCTGGTACCCAGCGGTGCTCATCGGATGTGCTCAGATGTTGTCCACTGGAGGGTGAGCCGTTGCGGTATCTGCTAGGAGATGTATCCGGTCGACTTGCGATGCTTTCGCTCCACGATGTACCCTCAGCCGGCCTGGTCCTGATACCTCTTGGGCTTGTGAGTGTCACTCACGTTTCTCAGCACCAACTGAACAGGGCATAGACATCCCCTCCGACGACGTTAACGTACTTGAACGATCAGATGCTATTCGTCGGATCGCATGCAGGAGACTCTCAGTTGGTCCAAATCCATAGCTCGCCGGTCTCTTCATTGAGCCTTCCGACGTTGCCTATCCCACCCGAAATCGCTTCTGTTCCTGCAGCACGGCTGACGCCTGCCTCGAGCAAAGGCAAAGGGCGCGAGAATCCTCCAAAAAACTGTGTGCTAGAGTCGCAAGGATCGTATCTTCGAGTCGTTGAATCGTTCAAGAACATTGCACCCATTCTCGATGCCGTGTTGGTGGACACTGAAAAGAGTGGCCACGTGCGTCGATTTCCTTCCACTTTCTACCGCTTCTGATGGACAATTCCAGCACAAAATCGTCACATGCTCTGGCGGGTACAGCACTGGATCAATCAATGTCGTGCGGAAGGGAGCGGAGTTGCAACAGCTCGCGACGATCGAGGGGATAGAAAATGTCGTGGGGATGTTTCCTCTCCGACGGTCGTACGATAACAAGTGGGTGGCCTCTCAAAGGGCTATAAAATCATCTCCTAAGAAATCGCAGATACGACGAATACGTGCTCGTTTCCACATTCCATGAGACGTTTGCTTCGAGGTGGAGAACGATGGCTCCTGGACACGGATCGAAGACGGCATTGGGGGATTTTCGAATGAGCGCACGCTTTGCGCCGGGGACGTCAAGTGCACTGTGGTCAAAGGCCGGACGGAGGTCGAGTACCAGCCGAGGTCGCTGGTGGTCCAAGTGCTTGATTCCCGTGCCCTACTCTTCGAGACGGACATGGTCTCCGTGACCGAGTGCTCGTCCTTCTCTGTCCCGGGCAGCAAGATCACTGCTGCAGCGATGAATGCCAGCCAGATCTACATTGCATCGGACACGGGGACTCTGGTGTGCCTAGAAGCCAACTACGGCAACAAGCTCGAGCCCAAGTACACGTCTGCACCTGGGTTGCTTGGCTGGGGCCAGGTCTCGGCGATCTCGTGTTCGCCTCCGCTCGCAGGCGCCGACGCGTCCGAGTATGTTATCATAGCATACTGGGGGGATAACAAAATACAAGTCCTGCGGCAGAAGGGCAAAGGCTTCGAAGTCGTGCACACTACCGAGACACTTCGCGCAGTCGTGCGCAATCTGGCCCTCTGCGACTTCGGTTCCGTAGAGGAACCGCGCCCCTATCTGCTCGCGGGTCTCGGCGATGGCACGCTTTTGACCTTCACATGGAGCGAAGGCAGGCTGCTCGACCAGCAGGCCGCTAATATGGGCGATCTCCCAGTCTTCCTCTCGCCCTGCAACGTCCAGGGCAAGAACGCGTTGTTGGCTGCGGGTAGTCGCACAGCTGTGCTATCTTGGCAGACCGATCGAATCCACCATTCACCTGTAGTGCTCAACAATCTCTCAGCTGTCGCCCCGTTTTCGAATCAAAGTTATCCAGGGGCTCTGATTCTGGCCAACGAGTCGGGCCTGATCATTGGAGAAGTCAAGTCGGTCGAACAGATGGATATACAATCGGTGCAGTGATTTAGCCTCGCCAATGTTGTCTCTCTACTGAACGGTCGTAGATTCCATTTGGCCCAGATGTGCCCCAGAAGATCGTCTATGAGCCCTCACTCAAAGCATTCGGAGTCGCCTTCTCCAAAACAGAACCAGTTCGAGTCGGCTCGGAGGAATTGTCTATCACAAGCACATTCCGTATCCTCGACGACGTCAACTTTGAGACTCTGGGCGAATACACCTGTCCCGTTGACGAGGAGATCACGTGCATCACTTCCATTCAAGACTCGCGCTCTGCGTTCTTTTGTGCTGGGACGGACAAAGACTCGGATGGGGGACGAGTGCTTGTGTTTGCTCTGCGGGACATGAACCCTTCACTGGCTGCGTGTGTCGACGTCCCCGGATGCGTCTACTGCATCACGCGCATCAACGACCTCATCGCAGTGGGCGTGGATTCTGCGGTGATCATATTTCGGATCGAGTCCGCGGAAGACTGCTCCCTTGTTGAGGTTTCGCGGATCAACATCAACTACTTCGTGACTAGTCTCGCTGCCGTCGGAAATCGGCTCATCCTGGGAGATCAAATATGCTCGATCACTGTGCTGGAGCTCGACGAGGATCTGCGTCTAAAGACCCTCGGTCGGGATATGAGTCCGCTGGGTCCCGTGGCTGTCCAGGCGCTCAGCTCAGGCCAGGATTTCATCGCGGCCAACGACAGACTGAACCTCATCTCCTTCACTCTGGAGCAGACCGACCAAAGCAGCAAACTCTCTCGCGACGGATTCTTCTACCAGGGGGATCTGATCAGCAAGATAGTCCCTGGCTCGATGGCAGACTCGAACACGCCTGCATTGCGGCCGATACAGATGTTCTTCACATCGTCCGGCCGCATCGGGGTTATCGTTGACATCACAGACGACCCGCTGGCCCTCGAGTTGACTGCACTCCACCGCAACATCGTGGGTGCACTTCCAGAAGGTCATCTGCACACGCAGTAAGTCTGTTTTCGACCCCCAGAGTTTTACTCAATCGTCCCATCCAGGTACCGCGCGCCGAAGCACACGGCCCGGAAACGGACCGTGGAAACTGCATATGGCTTTTTGGATGGAGATTTCATGGAGCAGATGCTCACGATGTCACCGGCGGCCCTCGATCGCGTTGTGACAGGCTCCAACGATGCAGAGCGACTGCAGCGACCTTTGGACGACTTCCGCGAGCTGCTCAAGAGCTTACAGGCTCTTCATTGATTACACATGTTGCACGGAGGTTATGTACATTATGCCAGTTATCAGAATCGCAACACCTACTTGGCAAAGAGGTCGGTCTTTGAGCTGACGAGCACGATTGAATCCTACCCATAAGGAAAGTGATTGTATCACGTGATCGAGAGCTCCCCTTCTCCCACTCGGGCCGCCGCTCTGTGCAATGGCTTCTACTTTCACGACGCCGTCTGGTGTGCAGACTCTAGTGCTACCACAAAATCATATATAAATTTCATCTGATACAGGCTACCTCCTCCCTTCGATCCACTCGCAACCTGCCTTCTTCACGTCCGTGCAACGAACCCACGGACTGCTGAATCATTCTGATCCCCCTCTCCTCGATTAGACAACAGCCCCACCCAGGTTCCAACGCGACCGCGACCGAGAACTGGACTCGGCTCATTCTCACGTACGCCAAACACCGGCGGCTGTTCGCCCTCCGCGTCGAGGATGCCGATGCAGCGGATAGCGAGTGGAGCGAGGTGCTGAGGAACGAGCGGATCAATCGTGCGTCCCAGGCCCCCCGGCCCCCCTCGTGCGCGCTGCTGAACCGACGCCTCACGCCACAGGGAGACTGCTCCCGCACTACCTGTCTGCGATCCTCGCGTCCATGGTGTCCAAGAACGAGGCCTCGTACGACCCGGCCGGCCAGACGCGCTCGGTCCTGCTGCACTGGAAGCTGCCTGAAGAATGGGGCGAGGCCCTGCACGCCTGGGTCAGTCCCCTCGCTGCTTCTTTCTCGGCTCTGTGCTAAGGATCCGCAGGCCATCTCGACGGGGCAGCTGAACTCAATACTGACGTTCTACGAGATCGTCGATCCGCCGGTCCCCTCGCCGCTCTCAGATCTGCCCATCAGCATGCTCCGCAAGGCGATCTCGTCACTCGCCAAGACGAATCGGGCCCAGCTGATATCCGTAGCGGACGGCGAGGGCGTGCGGCTATTGCAGGGTAATGGCCGATAGATGATGATTGACAGGGCGCTAGTATCTGGACATTGTTGTTATAGACTGTAGTCACTGTACTGATAGCATCTTCATCCCAACATCTTCCTGAAGTCATCTTGGCCTTTACCCCCGGTAGGACGCGGTTCCGAGGGACCTGCTGATGCACCGGTGGCAGCGACCGGTACTGCGGCTGATGATCGGGGGTTGGCTTTGCGATGTCCCAGCCCAGCCCGCGGCTTTGCTGCCCTCGGGACAAACACACCCTCGCTTTTCAGCGCCGCAGCATCGGAACCTTCTTCAGTAAGCTTGAGTTCGTTGCCGTTGAAGACCACCGGCTCAGTACGAAGCAGCAATTTACCAACGTCCTGCGAAACGTCAGTCCGAGATGCAGCAGCCACGGAAAGCAATGGACTGACCGCTGAGCTGTTCAACTCGACCACAGCTTCATTCAGATCGACAAACACCTCCACTCGTTTCACAGCTGTGATCTTCTCGAGCGCTTGCTGCAAAAGACCGTCCTCGGTGCCGGGCGGCAGATTTCGGACCCGGATCGAGCGGTTACGAGTATCGGCCTTCTTGCCCAGTCCGCTATCTGGCTCGGGCTTGTTCTTGGAACGGACACGAGAATCGGCCAACGTCACTGCGATACGTCGCTTCTTGAGCTCATGATTGTTGGCGTCCAAGGCCGCCTGTGCAGTTGCCGTGTCTTCAAATTCGACGAAGGCGTATCCTTTCGAGTGACCGTTCGGGTCAGTGGCCATTCGCACGTCTTTGACCGTGCCATACTAAACGCGCTGAGCGATGAAAGACAAGGATGAGAGATCGCTTACTGTTTGGAAGACCTTTTGCAGATCTTCCTTGGTCGTGAATTTACTCAGACCGGCGATATACAGCTCTCGCTCGTTCGCATCCTGGTCTGTACGGTCCTTCTTCCGCTCCGGATTGGAAATCAACACATTGAGTGTAAACCCGGGGTGCAACTCTCGCCCATGCAACTCGAGAGCAGCTTGCGCCGATGACGGCGTCGTGAACTGCACATAACAGAATCGCCGGGTGTTTTTGAACTTTTTGCTTGGCCAACGAACATCGAAGAGTGTGCCATACTGGATGGATCAAGCGTCAAATTAAGTCCCTTTCTTCTTTTGGAAAAGGGCCTCGCCTTTCCGAAGAGATCACGGATAGAAGCATCGTCCGCACTCTCAGCAAAGTTGGTGACATAAAGAGTCGAGCTCCAAGCCATGTGAACGGCGACCTCTTGTCCGTGTAATCGCTTCTTATCTTTCGTCAGCGCAGCAGGAACACTGTCCTGTCGCACGAAGCTATCAATACCGTGTCAGATCTGCGAACCCCGGACTCACTCGCTCGAAGAATTCGACAGTAGCCACCGGAGAATGGGCTAGTTCAGTAATTTTGATCTCACGCAGTTTTCCGCACTTCCTCGCTAGTCAGCAGAGACCTGAAATACTGGGAAAAAACGCACATCCTTGAACAGAGCCTCCAAATCTTGTTCTGTAACCCCAATCGGAAGCTCAGCCACAAATACAGTCGAATTCTCACGATCCCTAATCGATTCAGAAGGCAGCCAAGGGACGATCTGCGAAAATCGCACACCTCTTGAGATTCGCTGGCTTTGGTTCTAGACATCAAGTGTCAGATGTGTCACAGACACAAGTGTTTCAAGAAGATTACCTAGCTTCGCTTTTTTATGACCATCTTCACTCGTTGCATCCTCTGCAGCTCGCTTAACTCCGCGAGGACCAGAATCAACATCCATGGGTTCAGAAGATCGTGTCTCCTGGGTTGAGACGGTCTGCTGTTGCTCTACCACTGTAGCAGCATACTCGGCAGCCTGCTTCTCTGCAGCCTGTCCAGAAGACGTTCGCCCTCAAATCGACCAAAGAGGAGAGCCTGCATCAACACATACCTTGGCTCGTTTGGTGTTGACGAAGATCTGGGCCTTTTCGATCTTGTCTCCGCATTCATCGATCTGTTCAACAGTACCATGCAGATGCTCGAACGACAACCAGGCTTCCCACACAGCCTCTGGCCAGTCGAGATTCTTAGAATGAACGTCGATGAATGCCTTTCGCGCTTCATCGAACCGATTGTGCTTGCTGAGGAATGTTTTAGGCAATACACCAGCTGAGTTGAGTACAACGCACATCAATGTGTCGGTATACAGGATCCATGCATTGTAGCTGCTTTTGTACTTCTTGGTCGCTGCCTCCCAGACCTGAATGGCGCTGTCCTCCATGCTGCTGCTGCTGTACTAGTTGGAACAATAAACCTCTGTACGCTGATCAGTTCCCACGATGCGCTCACCAAAGACGACAGAAACTTCTCCACCCGATACCGAGGGTCACCTGTCGGACCAGCTGCATTGGATCAGCGCGCGTGAAACCTTTGAAGGCAAAGACAGACCACCATGAACGAGACCAATTCCAGTCTCGAGCCCCGCTATCAACGTGACAAATCGTTCCTCATCTGGAAGCGAGAGATAAGCGTAACAGGGACACCAGATCTTCGGACACAGTACCTCCATTACTAGCCTCAAACTGCCTTCTGTCGTAACCTGCTCGCGCGAGTAGTAGGGGGACTAGTTGCTCCACGTCAGATTGCAGAAGATTCGTGGCAAGGGCCTTGTCGAAGACGTCTGTCAGCGGAGTAAGTTTCTCTGCCTGAGACACACGAGAACAAGGCAACTTACCAGACACAGTCTGCGACAACTCCTCCCCAGCTCTTTCCTGGGGACCAATTAGCGATGAGACTCAATTCGGAGCATGGAGATGTCACAAGACTACGGATGTATCGAGCCCACACATTCCCGGACCCAGGGACGCTCCGCACAGCTCGCTGTAAGATCTCCAGTTCAACTTCAACACCAGCCCTCAAGATACGCTGTCGTTCTCTCAGCATGTGATCGACACGTCTCGTAGAAGCACATACAGCAGTGTCCAGATACCCAGTCCACAAAGTCTGCAGAACATCTTCAAGACCGGCTACGGGAGGATCAGAAAGTCTGTCCTTGGCTGCTTGTGCAAGCGCTCTTTCGTAGATTCCACTCAAAATGTGGTAATGCGGGGTCTTCGCACGCCGCTCAGCCGTGATGTATTGTGAATAGGTCTCAAGACTCGGAGATTGCGCCTAGTCATGGTCGGCAGTTGTATCAGAGAATGGCAAAGAATGGTCTTACCAAAGAGGTCTCCCATGAGTCTCGTCGCTGGAAAACTTTTGCGGTCGAGCCGCGTAGTTTCGAAGCCCTGACGAGTAGGGACTCGTATTCGTCGGATGACTTGTATTTTGTTGTAAAGCTCGAATACATCTGGAAAGTGTCTTCCAGATCTGAAAGTCCCCATGAGCTTACAAGGGACGATGAGACACGAACGCTGCATACTGGCATGTGGGTGCTTCAATCGCGTCAAGATCAGGTCTTCGATTCGGGAAACTTCAGACGACCTGAAGAGAAGATGAGCAGAGAAAAGGAGAAGTCTGTGATGTAGAAAGGTACATACCTGCTCGAACCAGTTGACTGTTCCAGCACTTGCAACTCCCATTCACAAAGCATGTTCCAAAGCCGATGGCTCTGTCCGGATCGTTAGAGGACAGGCAAGATAGAGTGATTGGCTGCACTAGCCTGGCTGAGGTGCCATTGGCCCTTCTCCACCACTGCAGTGAGTGCGGCTCTCGTCCATTCAACTGAGAAGCAATCCCCCAACTCGGCAGATTTGGGATTTTCAACGTAGTGTTCGTATTTGGAGACCAGGAGCTCGGCATGACGGTAAAGAATCGAGATAGCTAGTATGCAGTCAGACGCATATCGTCTGAAGAGTCGAATGCACCGACACAGATAATCATTCTCAGCGCGCTCATATAACGCCAACAATTCTTCCACATTCTCCCTCACGTCCATGCTCATCGAGTTCTCCTTTGCAGAGATGAGGGCCATCCAAATATCCTCACTAACCGCGAAGAACGAGCTCAGCAACTCCATCGCAGCCAGAGCGTCTTCTCCCATACCCTCGGAGGACGTGGTGAGCTGTATGTGTCGGACATGTAGAGACAGGTCGAACGGGCTCGTCTCAATTTGGGAGAGAATAGTTGCCAGCGCGTCCATTCGCGCAACTTCGGGGTCCTTATTTGGTGCCATGGATCCGGAGGTGAGCCTGGAGAGGGAAGAACGCGTCCACACAGCCACGAACACCTGTGCAAACATCGCGCTCCATGCGTCACGCGTCACGTCTCGGTCCGGACGACTAATCACCACTATGTACTACACAAACTCATCCGCGGTCTCATCAACGCGGTGCCCGACTTCGACTCTAGTACGTGCCGGAACGATCTATAGCCGGACACCGCAGTCTTCTCTTGCCTCGTTTTGTTGTCTTTTTTGTATACCTCGTCGCAAAAAAACCGCTCTGGCGTGCAGTTTTCCGCTCCTCGCACGAAGTCTAAGATCGCGTGCGCTTCGCCCTTGACCGGCGCTCTGCTGAAGCAATAAAGACGCTGCTTGCTAGTGATCTCGGCACGCGTTCTGGCCTTGTACCTGATTCTGGAGGTGTTCAATATGGAGGTAGAGGTCGCTAAAGATTAATTGCGTCAGGTCCTTGCGATGCACGGGCACATGAACCCTTGACAGGCAGGGCGGCGTCGCACGGCTTTCGCAATGACCGTTATCCCTGCCGGCTCGCTTCCGCGGTGAGGGGAATCATTTTCATGCATGGATATTTGACCCTATCGGCCAGACTCGGGACTCAGCACTCGCCACGCTACTGAAGCAGCCATCCACGAAAATTGGTCGCTTTTGGCCACTTGTGCCCACTTCCCTGGCTTTACAGCAATTAATGTCGGTCATCTCACATGGAGAGATCGAGACGCCCACATCTTGATCATGAAGAAGCACAAGGCGTCATCCACTAAATCTGACGACTGTGCCGCTTAGAAAGTCCTTGGTCTAGACTCTCCTCAGGATTCGTACCAAAAATATTTCCTTCTGCGCCTTTCCGGTGAAGTTCGGAACACATGTCTGGACATCTTGTCCGATCAGGTATGAGCCTTTAAAAGCGCTATGCAGTCTCATTGTAAGACAGTCTGCAATGGCTGCTTCCCTCTTCCGAATGCTTGTTATCACAGCGCTGCTCTCTCTTCTCAATGTCGTCTCCTCGACAGAGATTATGCACAGGCCGCAGAATGTGTCTGCGCAGATAGCGGAGAGCAAGCTGCAAGCTGTCTCGGCTCCTACCGTGCACCAGCCTCAGAAGCGTGCGGCGGGAAAGGTCAACATGGGTGAGCCTCCAAGCTCATTGTAGGCGATCTTGCACTAATTCATGTTCCAGCCTACTTCACGAATTGGGGGATCTATGAAGCGAACTTCCGTATGTATTCACTTCAAGCAATGATTCTGGCCCTCTGAATCGTTCGCAATCCTCAGAGCCGACTGACATTGTGGCTGCGAACCTTACTCGTGCGTTTGCGAGAATAGACGTGACGACTGAAAATGACTGTTCGCAGACATACTCTACGCTTTCGCCGACATCGACCCCTCGACGGGAAATATCTCGCTCACTGACTCTTACGCGGACACTCAGGTATGTCAGGCATCGTATGCCGCATTTCAGATGCTATAAATCGGCAGAAACTATTCCCCGGCGACTCGTCGAGTGAATCCGGCAACAACATCTACGGGTGTCTCAAGCAAATCTACCTGCTGAAGCTGGCGAACAGAAATCTCAAAGTTCTGCTTTCCATTGGTGGATGGACTTACTCGCAGAGCGGTACGACTTTTATGTTTTTCTCTCTCGTTCCGTCTAACAAGCGCTAGGCCACTTCAGTTTTGTCACCAGCAATGCCACTCGGGCTCAGTTTGTCAGCAGCGCCCAGCAGATGATCGAAGATTACGGATTCGACGGGATGTAAGTTCCGGGATTGATTCTTCTTTGTCTATCACCACCTGATTGACTGTTTGCCCCAGTGACATCAACTTCGACTACCCGGCCACGGCAGCTCAAGGTCAGGGCTTCGCTGATCTGTTCACCGAGCTGCGGACGGCGTTCGATGCTTTGGCCGTGAAGAAAGGAGATGCAACCCCTTATGAGTTGACGGCCGCCGTTGCGGCTGGTTATGCCAATTACCAACATCTTGTCATTCCCCAGATGGATGCAGGTGATGTAGCCGGTTTCAAGTGATCAAGCTGCAGGGCTGACGTACAATCCAGCACTCTCCTACTGGAACCTGATGGTCAGAGCGTCCATCTCATTACTCCTGCTTTTATAAACGACTTCCTAGGCATACGACTATTCCGGAACTTGGTTCACATTCGCCGACAACTTGGCCAATGTCTACGGAGGTGCTCGCACCAATGCAAGCACTGATGTTGCAATCAAGTATTATGTTGCTTCCGGAGCATCTGCGTCCAAGATCAACATGGGAATCCCTCTCTATGGACAAGCTTTCGAGAACACCAAAGGACTCGGCCAATCTTACAACGGGGTCAGTGCAATCTACAGAAATAATTGGATCTGCGGTTGAACGGAGCTCTGCAGACCGGTCCGGGAACACTCGCGGCAGGGATCTATTCCTACAAGACACTCCCTTGTTTGTACATTCCTCTGTCCAGCTATGGATTAAACTGAAGTATCTGACAGTGGCCGGCGCCCAAGTTGTCGAGAACACCACAGACATCAGCTCTTACAGCTACGATTCGGCCACTGAGGTGAGCTCTCCTTGTGTCGACCGGGTCAATGGGTCTGACTCCGGCAAAGGAACTTGTCAGCTACGACACCCCCAACATTGTCAAACTGAAAGCCCAGTACAGCGTCACCAAAGGATTGGCTGGCTCCATGTTCTGGGAACTCTCTACTGACAAAGTGGGCTCCGAATCGCTGGTCGGCACGAGCGCCAGCGTCTTTGGTCAGCTCGACCAGACCCAGAACCACATTAGGTATGATCGCATGCTGCCTCTTTGCGCGTCGCTGAACATGGCGCTCCCAGTTATCCCTCGAGCTCCTGGGACAACATTCGATCCAACATGGGGCAATCGGCCTGATGCAGTCGGCCCCTGCGCAGGAACAGCGGTCGCAAGCCGGTTCATTCGCTTGTACCTCAGTTACGAAATAAGTTGATACGGAAGACCCCGAAATTGTGCTACAGATACTATGTAGATTCTCTCTCGACTCACTATGAAATTCAAACAAAGAATCTGTAACAAATCGCTCCTGGCAATTCATCCTGCCTGTCAGTTGTCGTCTGCGGATGGATGCAGCTCATTTACCACCACCACCATCATACAACGAGTTTTCAGGAATGCAGCGTGATCTCCCTATGTGGATCCAAACTCCACTGGGAAGGAGTAGGTAGGGGCACGGACTTTGATGTGGTGAGGTAAGCGGTACCAGTGTATCAAGAATCACGACAAACTAGCACAGAATGTCATGTTCAAGTTGGCACAAGTCCGATAAGAGCAGGGATTGCATAGAACAAGAAACAATGAGAACAACACACAAGTACAAGAACAGTACAAAAACATGTGGACACAGACCATTACAACAGAGCGAGTCCGAAAGCAGAAGCAGTTGTTGGTACAATCACAGAATCAATCACACCCCAGGACGATCGCGAGGTGCTCAAACGAGTCCACAACAAGGTCGAATTCCCCGCCCTCGAGTTTGCTCGCAATCTCGGCGTGCACGACATGCGGATCCTCAGACGCTCGACGGACGTACACGGTCTTCAGGCCCGCAGAATTCGCAATGCGCAGCTCCTCCGCGCGGGCGGAGACAATAGCACAATTGGGCGCAGCGATGCCCACGTGGCGCGCTGCCTCGGTGTACGCATCAGCGCTCCTGGAGACAGGTCAGATACATTTGCAAACGATAGAGGAATGGACTGCGTCACGGTTTGAAACAGCTCAACAGGGAAGCGGATATACACGTGTCCCAAACGAGGCCAGCGTGTTTGTTCTATCAGGCAATCATACATCTCTGTCGCAAAGACAAATCAAAAGTGCAGACCATTTGCATTTGGGTGCGTAGGGGTAAGTTAGAGAGCGTTGCAACAGTCTTCATCCCTCGTATTGATTTCAAAGATGCTTGAACGTCAGGCCAGGCTGAGTATTGGCGCGATGAGCCAAGTCGAATGCTAAGCAAATCAAGACATACATACCAGCGATACGTTCCCAAACTTGCACGAGCTGGGCCCTCACAGCCGGCGACCATCGTGACGAAAGCTCCTTGGCCTCTTTACTCAAGAGCTTTTCCAGCGTCTGACCAATTGTGAGCCAACAAACAGAGGGACATACAGAAGCGCTGGACTGACCGAGTAATACACCGTTCGTGGGGCCAGCGAGTCTCCGTTCGTTGCCAGGTCGCGACTGAGACGAGTGAGTTGCAGATCCAGTCAACATGCAGCGTGACATACATGGCAGAGAGATATGCTTCTCGCCACTTGGTCGCAAACGCCTCCCAATCAATCGGTTTGACTGACAAAAGCACACATCAAGGCCCGCTTGCCAACACAACGCGCCGAGCACACACGCACCAAAGTTCTTCGTTCCGAGCCGCTTCAGCTCATCCGCCACGGTGCCTCGCCAGTTCATGACCGTCCCATCGAGGTCGAAAAACAGCACTTCGACCTTGGACAGATTCGAGTCATAGTCGAACCGCGAGTCCTGCTCGTTCAACGGGAATCGGCCGAACATGGCCGACGGCGGGGCCATCGACGCGTTGGAGCTTCGTCGCGCAGACGGGGGCGGATTCGACTTGCGGGTGGCTTGTGAGGCCTGCGTATAGCGCGTGCCGTTGATCCCTGCGAAGCCCAAATGAGAATAACCATAGAACATGCCAAACCACACGGAAATGCACCCTTGGCATCCTGATGCGCGGCAAAGAGATTGGCTTGACTCGAACGATGCTGTTGCTCGGCGAATGCTGCGAGGCGGGCTGAATCGATGGGTGATGAAGACGGATAACTGCTCTTGGGACTTGGACGCGCGCCGTTCATCAACCCATTGCGAGACGTGTCTTCCGTCCCTCAGATCTGGGTGCAACCCCATCAAACAGCCTGCACGACTCACCGGCAGAGGTCCCCGTGAGAATCCGCATCTGGTCTTCGCTGAACGACTTGGATGGCGTGTCCGTCCGTGTTATCTCTAAGCAATCGGTAGCCATAAACATGATCGGCGGAGTGGACATACCCGGAGAATGTGCCCTGTTCAATCGGGCCTGTTCATCTGCGAATCTCCGCTGTGCTTCATTACGTGGGATTTCGACTGGAGCAAGTCAATGTATGCTAGCATCGTACCGTCCGACACGCACCTGGAGTCTGCACTCGATGCAAGCGAGCTTGCTCTTCCGCAAATTTGCGATACGCCTGGTCGCTTGGTGTGGCTGGTGCATGCGCTTTAGTTACTATGTACCATCCACACAGAACCGATCCTCACCCGGTGTGTTCCCTCGATCCATGCGCGCCTGCTCGTCAGCGAATTTGCGCATCATCGCCTCATCCATGCCAGTGTTCTTGGCTGTCGAGTGGAGCAGACTGTCTTGCAGCGGCCCGGTTCTGTTCCGGATCCAGATCAGCGATAGATAGTGTGCGGAGATGCAGGCTCACGGGCGAGCAGCGGCGCTAGAGGGACCTCACGATGTCAGATGTGGGGAATCAGGAGAGGAGAGTGACGCACGAGGCTGGGCGGACACCATTCACGCTATATGCGGTCGGGCCTCCTCTTGATGCAGGCCGGGTCCCACTTAGCAGAGACGTGGTCGGGACGCCGGCATCTCATCGGATGTCAGATATAAGTTAAAACGGATATCCGTCCGCACACGCACCAAAGGACGCTTTACGGGCGTGTCCTGCAGCGGAACTGGCCCGCTGACCATCGCCCTGATACCCCCAGTCCGAAAAGTCCGCCGCGTGCCCGTTGCTCCAGTCCCCGAACCCGCCCATCCTCGACTGCGCCCGGTCTGCAGCAGCGCTATCGCCCCAGCCCGCCTCGCCGCCCCGGCGCTGCCGCTCGCGCGCGACGGCGTCCTTGAGGCGCTCGATCCCCCTGTTATCGACCTCCATGATCCTGTCGTTGAATTCGTCGGTGAGCTGCTGCAGCCGCGCGCGGTCGCTCCCCGCGGCTTTGCGCTTCAGTGCGAACTCGCGCTTGACTGTCTCGACGGTCGGCGCGAGCTCCGCCTTGATCTCGGCGTGCATGCGATGCTTGAAAGCGCGCAGGTCTTCATCACGGTGATCTGGCCCAGGCATCGCAAGATGTAGAGAGCTTAGGGGGTGGAGGACCTACGCGGTCGGGTGAAAGGATGTTCGCTTCGCTTCGCATGCCATGGCAGGCATGGCACGCATGATGATGATGGTGATGCGCGCCTCGAGGCCGCTGCCTGGCTCGTCCGGATGGAAACTTACCCGAAGAAAACGCGATCACTGCACATCAGAAACACGTTCAGTCACATTGTCACATTAGCCTACACCCTCTCGGTTCATGTAGTACTACGGAACCCCCAAGAAATCCGTGTTACACCATCCCGAGATCTCACACGTTGAAAAACTGTCCGGACAACTCATCTGCATCAGAAACAAATCAAAGACAAGATAGAGTAATTAGAGTAATTTATGTAACCACTCAACTATCCGAAGCATCGCGGGACATTGCGAGGCGGACAAGACCTCCAGGGGCACCCAGGGCTCAGACCCAATTTACCCTGTAGTCCAGACCTCCGATTGCGGGCGGATAGTGGACATAGGGCAGGTTTTCTAGAAGAGTGTCGATTTCCTAGCAACAGGGCGGCCGCGCGGTTCATATAGGAAGACGGATGCATAGACGTGCTTATTTCCGTCCATACAGGACACGTCTAGCCCATTGTTGATTTGGGCGATAGACATCTTGCTTGATAGCACTTGCCTATGAATCTGATAATGGGCATCACTTTGAGCCAGCAGACCGCCATTTTGCCGTGGCTTCGGCAGCAGTGTGAGCATCCCGCAAAAATATCCTCTGCTAATTTCACAGCCTGTAGCGCCGAATTTTTCATGAAGTGCCTGGATATGGTCGCCTCAAAGATCTCAAACGTGTCGGTTTGCGGTTGACTGTGAGAGGAAAGATCGAAGAACAATCGTCTTCCGAGACAGAGGACGTTTGGCACATCATTCAGAATCCATAAATCAACATCTGTGGTATCTCGAGAACATTGAAGTTGTGTCGGTGGGGAGGGCGCATCATGACAAAAACAAGTGCGTTATCGATAACAGATCTTGATGCCATCAGACAGGCTTCAGGCGAACCTTGTCCAGTTTTTCGATGCCTCGCGCGTTGCGTCCCAGGAAATCTCAGCCTAATTACGCGGCACTTTTGGATCTCGGAGAAGATGAAACGGAAGCGGGGCCGTCCCGTCGAGCCGTGGTCGAAGATGTGGACAGCGGCAGCGATTTCGCCCCCGAGAACGCTCCTACTGGAGACGACCCTGGCGGAGCGGAGGAGGCATACGACTCTGCCGATGACGAGCCTATGGACGCGGACGAAGAAGAAGCGGAACTCGAGGAGCTCGGCGACGCGTCGTCCAAGGTGAAGTCCCGCGCGAGAATTCAAGCGACCCAGACAGCCCGGACAAAACGCGACTCGGTCAATCAACCCCGCGTGGGTGCCGGGAAGGGCGTGCTCCTCCCATCTCTGGGGGGTGGCTCGGGAATTGCGCGGACTTCGAAACGCCAGATCTTCGCCGTGCCGACGCCCACCGTGAACCAGAGACACCGCGCGGTCCCACTGTTCTCGCGCATCGGACGCGTTGAACGACTTACTCAGAAGCCAGATCTGTTCGGCCCGTCGCATACGACCTCCACGAACAACTTCACGCAGAGCGCTGCTGTGACGAAGCGCATCCACAAAGGCCTCGCGCTGAACGTCGGGGCGGGTCCCATCTGGCAGTTGATCGAAGACCGCGGGTGGTACAAAGAAGAGGTGATCGGAGACGGCGAGTTTCAAGTGGATGCTCAACGTAGGCCCGTGATGCACCGGGACATACGCGTGAAAACTGGGCTCAGCATTCTCACTCGAGAGTACGTCGCTTGCCTTCTCTCCTCAGTGGCTACATCGTTTTCAGAGAAGTGGAACTGTTCCTGCCAACGGACACTGTGACTACGGTCGACGGGAAACTAAAACCACCACCACCCATTTCTTGTCTCATGGGGCCTTTCGGGAAGCAAGTTCCGGTCCAGATTGACATGTTTCAGAGTCGCAATAATTGTCAGTGCGGTTTGCGTGCTCCTCGACGCAACAGCTGATTGTCTTTTCCAGCTGAGTGGTTTCCGGAAAGCAAATCTCACATCTTCAATCCCGGAGCTCCAGCATGGGGGCTCGACTGGTGTCCAATACACTCAGATGACCGGGCTGCTCGTGACTACACCCAATATCTCGCCGTCGCACCGTTTCCTACGCGTCTACACTCACCCGACATCGGAGTCAAAGCAGTACATCCAAGCCCAGCTTGCATCCAGATCTGGACACTCAGTCCCACGCACCCAGACCGGCCAACGTCTGAGGATGCGGGCGAGCTGCGTTGTGCAATGGTGCTGTGTGTTGACTGCGGACCGGCACACGAACTCAAATGGTGTCCTCTTCCATCGCATGATTCTGTAAGCTATCTGCGCGCCCCCTATGTGATCTGTGCCTGAGCAATTGACCGAAGGCTCTCGACAAAGATCAAGCCACACCGCGCAAACTAGGTCTTTTAGGCGGGACATTTGAAGATGGCTCCTTCTGTGTTTTTGTCGTGCCTGACCCGGCAGATGTGACACCGGTAGGACACGATCTGTCGGCACCTGTGTTCGTCAGACTACCGGAGCCCATCATCCGTATCGACCTCGAGGAGACGTCTTGCTTCACTTTCGACTGGGCCAATTCCGAATTGATTGCAATCGGGACCACTCATGGTTGGTCTCGTCGGCTACTGAAATCCTTCCACTTAGCTTTCTCGCAGGCACGCTAGCAGTGTTCCATCTGGGGCAGGTGCTCAAGAACTGTGCTGGCTCGAGTACGACATTCCAGCGGTCGAATTTATGCACATGCTCACATCATTTCAGACCCTGCTTTGGCTCAGCGGGTGCTCCCTTCACATTACCTGACGATACACCAGTCTGCGATCCGGGCACTCACCTGGATCCGGGCGCCACCAAGTCTTGCTACCGGGGAGCCTCGCACCGACGGTGACCCGACGGTCATTGCCACGGGCGGATACGATGGGCTGGAGTGCCTGACGGACATCCGGGATGGCCACGGCTCGATCATGAATCGCACAAGAGGTCTGTGAGATCATCGGACATAAGCAACCCTAGCTCAACCTGCGGAAGACGTCGTGAACTGCATGACTTACTCTGCTTTTGCCTCTGGCCCTATCACAATCGATCACGAAAATATCATCAAAGCGTATTCCGTGTCGCCCAGTTTGCTTGGACGTGGGCATACGCTCATTGAGCCAGAAGGGCCGGTCTGGGTACTGAATTGATCGCAACGCTGCTTCTCCACCCACTCATACCCGCCCCAGAGCGTTCATGCTTCCGACTTCCATCCTCAGCTGGCCATTGGCTCGGCGGACGGTGTCTGCAGCACAACAAATATGCTGAGATCGAACAGGCGCAGTGGCTCTGTGGTAGATCCATTTTATCCCTCCATCCATCACATGGCCAACCCAAACGCAGCCCTTTTTTGTGCACAAGATCTACCAGTTAGACTACAACCGGAAGACCGAAGAGTTCAGAATGCTCGAGCACTTCCTCCCATTGGTATGCCTTCAGAAGCTGTGGTTTGGAATTCCATATATTTTCTCTGCAGGAAGCGCAAGACAGACCGACTCAGACCAAAATGAAGACAGAGAAGGCCGCCGCCAAGCAGAACAACCTAATCACGCCCGTGGGCACAGGGGTGTGGCCCAGAGAAGTTGGTGTCCACAAAGTGGTGTGGAATTCTGGAAACGGGCTGGGCTCTGCTCCCCTCCTTGCCTCCGCCACTGGGTGCGGCCTCTGTCGGATAGATGTCGTGTGGGGACGGTGGCTCAACGACAACACTCCCTATTACTCTGTTGCCGATCTCAGGCTGGACGGGAACCGGGCGGCCATGGATGCTGATTCGGACGATTCGGAGTAGCCAGTAATTTGTGTTGTAGATCATGCAAGAAATATTCAGCAAGTTGTACACCGGTATAATACATTCGAAGTTGTACACATGTACGGTAGATGCCAATCAAAACCTCGAGCCTCCTCCACTCCACTGCTCTCGCAGTCGCCGTCAATGTAGCCCTAGAGTGTATAAGCGGAGAGCGGTGCACGCAGGCCGCAACAACCTACCTCGTCATTCCATGCAACCATCGCATCCCTTGTCCGCTTCAGCAGACCTTGACTCATCTCGTCGGCATCACCAAACCCAGTCTGTTCACTGAGCAAACAGCAGCTCCTGTCCAGATCATTCTCCATCCTCTCCATAGACGCAGCGAGGCACTCGGGATCCATGCAATCCGCCCGGTAGCGCTGCAGCGCGCGCACCATCACAATATCGTATCGGTTTAACCGCGCCTCGGCGCTGATGACCGCCGCGTCGGAGCGACCGTCCGTCGAGGAATCGTTGGCTTCTTGCACGAACGACATGACCCACGAATAGCGGTCTTTCGACGACCACCCGTCTTGCTGCGCGTCGACAGCGGTGACGTAGAGCTCGAACAAATGGTACAGAATCATGAACAGCGTCTTTCCGATGGCAGTTTGCACCGGAGCGCGTAGGATGTTCTACGACCAGATGAGAACGGGCAGTATAGGCAGTGCAGAAAGGACGCGTACCACGACAGCTTTCAAGACGAAGTCACATTCTCGTAACCATTCGTCGAAGAGCTCGCACTCCAGGAGCTTCTTTTGGTCCCGAAGACCTTGAAACTTGTGTTCCACGCGTCTCTTGGCACGGTTGACGATGGCCTGTACCATCGTGGCACACTCGCGTTCTGGAGGATGCGATCAGTCGGCTGTCAACAAATAAAAGTGTGACGAAACGGATTTACCTGTCGCGAGGCCCCTCAACGCCCGTACCGTCAGGTAGTTCACCGGGACTTTCTCGTCTGAGAGACGCTCCAGCATCTTTTCGAAGTTGACGGCTAGCGCAGGGAACTTGGGGTAGGCGTCCTCTGAAGCAGTGATGAGTCGGTGTCGTGGCAGGGATCAAGAAGTGGTGCACGCTTACTGCATTGCTTTTTACGGGGTGATTCGAGGTCGCTCTCGTCTGAAGAGCTGCGAGACCGTTTGAGGGTGCTCTTGCGCTTTATACGTGCGGCAGGCATATCGAAGAAGAGGTGAGGTAGGGTAAGAGTTGAGCTGATGGTCGAAAGCAAGCGCCAATCACATCCCGGCCGCATGTGTGATCATATAAACGGGACCCGGGCCAAACAAACGCGTCAACACGCGTCAATATGCAGGTCACGCTGCCGTGTTTTACCTGCACGTGCAGAATCCATCCATGTCCGTGACACCTACGGGTCCTGAGCGTGATGGCCAGGCCAAGTCGCCCAACGCAGTTCCGGAGGGGCCCACCGCGTTCGAACGATGGCGACGAAAGGCCATGCTAGCCACCGGCCTCGGCGTCACCGACGACGAGCGCCTAGACTTCCTGATGGAGAAAACACGCGCCGCCTGCGAGAAGAAAAAGCTGCAACTCATGGAGCGAAGTACGTCTTCGTCAACATAATATGTGCGCTAGTGTTTGAAACTGGCGCAGGTCCATCGGTGATCTTCATGATGCAGCATCTGAAGGCTGCCGGCTGCACACTACCACCGACGAACATCATCTGCGCACCCTGCAACAGGTACTCCGCTGGCGGCTACAACTCCGACCAGGGCGCCATCGTCCTCTGCCAGGGTGTATTCTACAACGACGCGCACATGGAGAACGCCCTGGTGCATGAGATGATCCACATGTTCGATCAGTGCCGCTTCAAAGTCGATTGGTCCAACCTGCGTCACCACGCCTGCAGCGAGGTACGCCGTACCCCATTTCCTCCCCCGATCTAGTCCGGCCCAGTCCAACACGGCCCACCAGATCCGTGCAAACAGCCTCAGTGGCGATTGCAGATATACTCGGGAACTGCGCATTGGGTCTCTAGCTTTCACGAAGCATCATCAAGACTGCGTCCGCAGACGTGCGATTACCTCCGTATCCCAGAACGTGATGTGCCCGAACCCCGAGACAGCAGAACGCGTCGTCAATGAAGTATTTGAGAGCTGTTTCAAGGACACTAGACCCTTTGACGAGGTGTGTGGCTCTCCTCTCCGCCTGCTGTCGCATGTCGCTCATGGCCATCAGATATATTAGTCTTCCCCATCTGGCCATTATGTCTATGGATATCCTGCTATAATTGTATCCCTCCTCTCCCACGATGTACTTAATCCAACGGTATCAGCCGTCTCTCTGCGCTCATAGTTTGGCCTGAAGCCGTGCTGCGACTTGTTCCTTCAATACACGCCGCAGAATCTTACCGCTAGGGTTCTTCGGTATGAAATCTGCAAACTCAATACCCCCATCTAGATGCTTGTATCTGACTTTGTTGTCGGCGACGAGCTGTTGCCGACGATTATCGCACGGAATGTTGCTGAGCACAGTCACTGACCTTCTGAATGGAAGTCTTGATTTCACCGGCTTGCTCTGGACTGGATTTGGATCTCTGGAGAGCGCCCTCTGTCAAAACGACAAACGCCATCGGAACTTCGCCGCCTGCGAAATGACTGCATCAGCACCGTCCTTGCAAACGAAAGACGCAAAGACCGACTCTTGTCGTCCGGAAGGGGAACTACGCATGCGTCCGACACGTCAGGGTGTTTCCTGGGGTCGGATTCAGCACGGACTCGCGGGCACGAACAAACGCACGAACAGGAGCAGGCCTTCCAACTCTGCCGGTGACACCTGGAAGCCCCGAACTTTGATCAATTCCTGTACGAGGTCCCGTCAATAGGTGCCGAGATCCAGGACGGAACCGACCGACTTTGAGTCTGTCCGTTATCCACACATCGCCGTTTCTGCTTATCTTGGCTTCGTCGCCTGTCCGGAACCATCTAACCACCGGTGAGCAATGCTTGCCGTGATGACGCGTCGGGACCGACCCTTCGTTGAAAGATTCATCGGTACTATGCTGAACATCAGAAGATGCATTTCTCGGGGCAAGATGTTGCTTGACTTACGCTTTGGCGTTCTTGTGATAACACATCGCGAGGGAAGGTGTTTTGACCACAAGCTCGCCTGGCTCGTCGTACCCGGCTTGCGTGCCATCGGCTTTGACCAACTTGACACGAACTCCGGGGATCAGTCTCCCGATACCTGCATTCATCAGCAAGCGCACGCTCTGGCCCGATGATGCACTCACTGCCTGAGGTGCCGTCTTCGTAGAACGGAACCATCGACACAATGGTGCTCGTCTCGGTCAATCCGTACGCTTGGCCAGTCTTCGCCGGATATATGCGCTGCAGCTCGTCTTCCACTTCGCTTGTCAAGGGTGCTGCCCCGCTCTATGGCTCGTTCAGCGCCATTCTTTGCCTTTTCTGGATGCACAGTACCCCGATGAACTTGACGTGGGTCAGGTCATATCCCCGCGCTGCCGGATGCTGCGGGGTGTTCGATGACCGGCTACCACGGGACCGAGGCTTACCTTGCATAGGGCAACGGCGATCGGAGGAACCAAACTGGGGACGTCAGCTAGATCCGATTTCCCTGCTGGTGTGCACTGACATGAGATGCTGGATGCGATGCCGGACAACGCTGTCCAACATGCTCACGAAATCGAACTTAGGAACGACTACCAGAGTCATCTGCGCAACGATCAGCCCGGTTTGTCGGGATCGAAATGTCACAGACCCCGCAGAATAAGACCCAATGCAGCTATCATCATCAAGTCAGCACCAAGATCGATAGCAGGTATTTGGGTGAAGGAACTTGCGGTGAACACCAACCCGGCGATGTGAAATAGAGGCAAGATGCCGAGCACAACATCGCCGGGAGACCAGGTTGCGTTGGGTTTCGGAGGATTGAAGGAGCTGAGTTGCACCTTTCCCCCAAGTTTGAGCAGTGAGTTGTCAGTGGCTGTGAACGGCACTGACGAGATTGGCGATGACAGCGGCGTGGCTTATTGCAACAGCCTAAGGGAACAGATCATACCGCGTCCAGAAGGCTCGGCAGCGGGCAGCGAACCTTGGGCTTGCCGGTCGTCCCCGAAGACATGCAGAGGCACGCGATCTTGGTGGTACCTTCTCCCGGAGCCAATTTCAGGGCTGAGGACGCGAGATCGCGTCCGCCGTATTCTCTTTCTAGATCTTCGATCGAGTCTGCTTGAATGCCGGACACGGGTTTAGGAAGAATGACGCGGTCCAAAGGGATCCCGGCCAACCGGGCGGCCTTGACTACTGTGTGATACGTCGAGGGATGCGCGACGATCATCGTTGCTTCTGTTATCTGGAGCTGATAAAGCAGCTCGTCGGCAGTCGACCCTGGATTCGCGCCTCTGCGAAAGCATCGGCGTCGAGAATGACGGACAGGGAGACACAGGCGAACGAACGTGTAGATTCCTCCGTTGTATTGGACTGCCCACATAGCGACGGGGAAATCTGGACAAACATCTAGTGGCAAGTCCTTGACTGCAAGAATGACCCTTTACCAATGTCATTGGGCATGCATAGGAGAACTAGGCGATAGGTTGTTGTTGCCACACTGAACAGGGAGATGGAAACCTGAGCATACCTACATCCTCATTTCCTGGGAAGGAAGCTAGCAGTGAGCGGCAAGTCGCGTGCCAAAGATGTGCTTGATTACACATACCGATGCCATACTTTTCCCGCAGAGCATAAGCTAAGAGACGCGTGCGTGTGCGAAGCTACGGTGTGGTGAGGATGCATGGCTGACCACGCGACCGGCTGATTAGGGACGTTTAGTATGTACACACCTCGGGCAATGTAACGCGACGTCCTGTCTCGTCTTCGATCAGACACGGAATTGATCCTTGATCTGGCCGGAGGGGGTGATGAGTTTCAAGCATGAATTGGGGGATGGTCAGGTCGTCAGGGACGCGCTGGGCTAGCGGCGGGCCAGCAAATTCCAGTCCAGCCATGTCGAGCGCAAGCAGGCAATCGCGTCGCGCAACAGCGAGCGCCAACGATAAATAGCGCGGTGTCTGGACCCGCTGAAAACGGTGGACGAGCTTGTCTACCGACTTGCTCGGCAGAGGGAATGGGCGCAAAAGTGCACACGGATGGCCAGCTATATAAAAGAAAACAACCGAGCAAGTGTGAGCGGACTATCATGATACAATGATGACTGCACGTGGTCTAATCCTAAAGATGAGGCCTCGATAGATTCGACCACCACCGCAGGCACAGGTCCTTCTCGGCATCTCCGACAGCCTGGGTGATTTCTTCAAACACCGCATTCAGTAGTCCGCCGCGTCTCTCGTCCTGAATCTCCTTATCCTCCAGCACCAGCTGGATCTCAGCCAACGCCCGGGGAAGCAGGTCCAGCGGAAGCGAGGGCAAGATGGACACAAGTGCCAAGCGCTGTCTGTCGCGGAGAGTTTCGTCCCCGATATCAGGTGATCGGACCGAATCCAGAAGGAGCTGAACACAATACCACGTGAGAGCAAGATCGTCAGACGTTCCTGCTCCTTGAACAAGCGAAGAGTAGGCCAGCCTCAGCTGCGATGTGCTCAGCTGGTCTTGATTCGAGTTCTGGGAGGCTGTGTCAGACGAGCACCGCAACTGTGTGATCGAGATCCACCTTAATCAAGCAGTCCGCATAGAAAGGAACAAGCTGTGCAATCAAGCCAGGGTCCAGTCTCTTTTCGGCATTTGAAGCGAAAATTGCCAGGATGACAGAGTGACTGGACTCGTAAGCCTCCCGGTGCTCGATATCGGAGAGATACCTGCAGGAACGTAAGCGGTGCAATCCGCTCGAAGACGTTACTCACGGAAGTAAAATTGGCAAAGCATCTTCCTTGATACATTCACCGCTGAGAACGGCCACGAGTTGCTCGATGCAAGTTAATGCAAATGCAGTTTTCGCCATCACATCTAGTTGAACCACTGTTCACTTTCCAATTCGCGCTACTCGAGGGCGGAACTCACCCGCACCGATGCCTCCGCGTACAGACACACATAACTCTCTTACAAACCGGTCGCTTTCCGGTGCGTTCTTGGACAGGATGTCAAGCGCGAGGTAAAACGTCTTCTTCAACTCAGTGAATCCCGGAGAAGCTGTGGTTGTCACGCCGCCAAACTCTGAAATCACAAACGATAGGTTAACAATGTGCGAAGCACCGTCAGGGAAAGATCCGACGGTTCGCAGCGAGCAGCTTGGTAAGCAGATGGAGGAACGAAGACGGCAGCGGATAAAGCAGCGTCCGCGATCATGATGTTGGCAAACAACAAGGTTTTCAACGTCTTCCAGACCAGAGCCCCGGCGCTCTCAGAATCTGAATGTCGTTAGACAGTAGACAGGTGGCGATGACGATGTTACCTGGCCGCTGGCTTCGCATTTTGTCTGCAATCTGACTTGCTGTCCAATCGCTTTCCACAGTCTTCGAGATGGGTCGCAGGTTTGTTAGCGTCGCATAGGATGATGCGAGACCCTCGGCCGGATGGGCTTCGCATAAGATTCCGATGGTAAGTGACAGCAATTTGGACAACGACGCGATGGAATGCATCAGTGGAGACTCGTTGACTCGAGAAAGTAGACCAGAGGGCTTTTGAGGTATGTTAACGATAGTGATATACGTCAGAGAGGACACACCGACTTTCGACTCTTCAGAGTGCGAAGAAGATGCAGAGGATAGGAATGCCCCAGGCGAGAATGCAGCCCCCACCGCAAAGGTCAACAGCTCCGCAAGTGAAGCGAGCGGCAACGCTTTCAGCTTGTTGGGGGTCACCAAAACGAGGCATTGCGAGGCCAAGATAAGGGCCAGAGTCATTGTGTCGACTATCTTGGAAGCTGAGGGACGAGTCCAAATTGCACTCATTTAACACTCACCATCGCCAGCAGGCCGGAACTCGCTTTCCCACTCCGCACCAGTGCTCCCGTAGAGGTCCATAGCCTCTGCGAGCGCTACAACGACCTCATCTTCAAGATTGGAAGATCGGAGGTACAAGTGCTCCGCAGTCTTGAGGTCTTCGAGCCCCGCAAGTAGCCCTCCGCAACAAGCCAGCTTCAAGATTGGCTGTCCACCCTTGACACCGCTGACCACCCCATCGCTCCATTGTCGCATGCGGGATCTGACACTCCGCGCGAAAGGAAGGCTGGCAAAGCTCTGCGTTTCCTCAGAGGCTATGCATTGGCGGTATTTAAGATGCGTGGCATGCCGAAGAGCCGTGAATAGGCTTTGTTGTGTAGAATACGAGATGGGATGGACATTGAAATAAGGCGAAGATATTATAGACGCAACGAGAGTAGTCGGTACAGGATTTTGCTTGGAGAGATAGTGCGCAAGTGCCGGCTGGAGGGTAGCGAGAGGAAGGGGAGCGGCAGAGTTGTGTAGATGACCAAGAAGGTTGGCGTAGCCTGGAATCGACATATTCGCTCGACGCTCGAGCTCGCCACTGGAAGTCTTCGGTCACTGTAGCCGCGGGTGGGTAAGAATGCACGTGCAAGAATCACGTTAGTGTCAACGTCAATGTCAAACGCTAATGATCAGGCTCGGTGATTGGAGAAATGATGGGACATTGGTCTGTCCGTCACGGACTGTCACCGCATCGCCTTATCGCCGACCTGATGCCTCCTGATGCTTTGTGCACTTCGCTCCCAGCCGGCGGCGGCGGATGCAATGTCGATGGCCGGAATTTTCTTGTACACGACTCGTCCAAGTTTAGACGAACTGTTTCAGACGACAATTCATAATTCAAATCCGGCCCCGAACAACAGCTTGAAATTCCAACGCTGCCGCCGCCTTGACAAGTCGCTGATATCCAGCCACGGGAACGTTTCACGCCCGTCAGCATCACGCATGTCTTGCCATAACCGCGAAACAACGTGTATGGGATGTAATCGACTGTCGGATGGATGGACCTGACGCAACCAGGCGTAGGAGGCGAGTCTAGAACATGAAGACATTTCCAACGTGAATTTAGCTCCACCACAATGAAATCATCGTTGCCCATGCTTTCATTTCCTCAGGCGTGTATGTAGCTTGAGAATAGAGACTTGGGGACCTCTAGCGTCGCATTCGTTGGGCACGATGAAAGAGTGACTGAACCGAGATAGACAGCCCAGAAAATAAGGAGGAAATGAGAAATGATGTCGATGCAGTCAAAAAAGGCAGGGACCCGTTCCCTGTTTGTGCAGGCTTGCCCCTTGGTGTTGTCCTCTGCCTGTATCGTCAGTGTGCCTCGCAGTCGCTCCTCCTAGCACTGCTCTGTCGTGCCCTACCTTCATCTCCACGGGCTTGGATAATGAGATATAGGCTCCATACTCCTCCCGCCTAATACAATCACATCTGTCAACCCGATTCTTCCTCTCCCCTACTACATGGTCGCAACCCCTTCAGAAAACAGTCCCTGGTCTCACCCCACCTCTCTACCCGACACGTCCTCTTCCCGGCTGGCAAAACGCAGGCGAATGGATCACTCTTCGCCCCGCGGTAGCACCTCAAAAATGGCCAGGCAGATCGTTGCCGACGAATCCGAAATCGGTGAAACTCGGTCTCGTCCTCTACCCAGCTGCTTTTTTGCTGAACAGCGCTTCTATTTTCAGATACCGCTAAGACAAATTGCCAGGTCTTCTCTGGTAACGAAGTCGTTTCTTGCTTTCCCAAGTCCAACACGGTGATACCCCAACACCAATGGGCCACATTCGTCTGTACGTGCGGTCGTCCTCCGTGCGATACCAACCTTCACCGGATCTTACCCAAACCTTCTTAGGGAACTCAAACCTTCCGGACTTCACTCAGACGGATCGCGTCAACATATACCTTTTCCACGGCGATTCCCAGCAGCAAATTCTCTCATTTCCCAACGTTGTCAACCCCAAGGGCCAGGCGGGTTCCATAACTGCTCAGGTCAACGACTCATGGTGGGGCAACAGAGGGACTGATTGGAATGGGTCGAACATCTCCTACCCTTTCTTTTGGATCATGTCGCGTAGTGACCAATCGTTGAGTGACGGCACGCAGATACCCCAGGCTACATTCTCAGCAGTCCGTGCGTGGTTTTCCAATGTCTTTTCTGCTTCCGAGCTGACAGTTGCTGTTTAGAGACAACCTTTGCCGATTCGGTTCTTGCAGCGATGGCCACTCAGTCCACAGCAACGAACTCTGGCTCCATCTCAGCAACTGCTACAGCTGTTCCTGCAGGCCCATCGACCACCGGATCTTCATTGTCTCTCCGCTCCTCCACGAGCTCAGGCTCGCCTACAGGCACAGGCAGTGTCCAGTCCGGAACTTCGGGCTCAGGCTTCCCTCATTGGGCGATCGCCGTTATCGTCGTACTTGGATTCCTCGCGATGGCCACGACCTGCATACTCGCCTTTTTCATCATTCGTCGGATAAGGCGCCGAAATGCCCTCGACTCAAACCGTAACTCTATGGGCTCCAACTCGCCGATGATGGCTCACGTGGGCAACTCTCCGGCTTCTCCCTTGCTCGCAGGAGCAGCTCTGGCTGGTGTCGGCGCGGGAACAGCTGCATCCCATGGGCAGGGCGATCACAGTGTGGTCTCACCTGACGGTGCATCCACAATATCCAGAGCAGGTAGTGCGGGCGACTCTGGACCTTTTTCGGGAGCAGATGCTGCGATCATGGCCGATGCATTCCGCAAGGCACTGCGGAAGCCGGACTTTGCAGGCAGCCCTGTGGAGGAAGGCGAAAGCCCGAACGCCGAAACCGCGCAAGCCAATGAAGAGGAGCTCCTCAGCAGGGAATTGGCCGACGAAGGACGAGATATCCGCAGTGTGGGATCCTCACGAGGGGTCAAGGTAGAGACGCTCAACGGCGACAGTACAGATACTGCCCATTAAGCGTTTCACTCCCTGCTGCGGTATTTTCCATCCCATTGACATTATATAGTTCCTTGTTTACTTATTTCTCATTTTCGCCACCATGGACCGTTCGACGCAATTTACTCGTATTGGCTTCCCGGTGTCCTTTGCAAGCTCCGTAGCTAGCGTCCACTCGTTCTCTGCCTCACTCTCTAGTCTCTACTCCCAACGACCAATGATTACTTCCCGTCCAACTCGAGGGTCAGTGCGCACCTCGTACATTCCCTTCTCTATCACTAGCAGTTTCTTTTGGTTCAGGGCTTGACCACGGGCAGCGTGGCTCTGCCCTATGTGTAATACAATAAACCCTTCGACGATCATTTGCATAAGCAGCCGGATAATTAGTACAATACAATCTAGTAGGATGCATATCACGGTGTCCGATAGAGATGACGCATCAGCACCTCGTATCTACGGAGATGAGCACAGCGCGGAATGACAGAGAAAAAAGGACGAACGTGAGCATTGTGACTGCGCTGTTGGGCACAGTACGGATGAGATTGACGGATAGTCCCTTGTACAGGCTCTTCCATCCTTCTGTCTTTATCAACTTTCGCGTCGTATGCACCACTCCTCCCTGGTCCATCCGATTCAGAAGCCCGTCAGATGACTCTGCCAGCGGCCGTCGTTGCGTTTGTAATCGCGTTCGCACCACCTCGTGCGGATATGTTGCAATCGATGCGGTCATCTTTGCGATCGCGGAGCAGAGGAGGATGGATTGATTCGATGGCGGCGCAGGAGAGCCTGCCTCTGCTCATCGGTTCAGCGCACCAGTGCAAAAGTCGGGAGGAATCCACTCACGAGCCCACACTTTGAGTTGCTCGTACAGTGGAAATTGAACGGCAACGTGGGTTATTCCCATCAAGCTCGGAAGGAGACCACGATAAAATGCACTGATGCCCTCAGTTCGGTAGATCGTCATTGCCGCATCTATTGTGTGCTTGTATCTGGTTTCTGTTCTGGATTGGGTCTAGATAGAGACAGCTCACGTTAGATAAGGTATATCTTGGACAGAATGGCACGCACCATGAATCGCGTTTTTATAACCCATAGTGGATTTGTACAGATAGTGCTTGCTGCGCCAGCAGTCATAGCGGAAAGAATGTGAAGCGACCACGGGTGTTCACGCATGACAGGTTGGTAGCCCTTCACTTGGGCGGCGGGATACAGCTTCTCTTGCGAAACTCCCAACGGCGGTTCGCCGAACGCAGTCTTGATCCCGTCATACACAGAAAAGTATATGCCCCATGTCGGGAGGTAGCCAAGCATGGTTGGGCCGAGACCGCGATAGAAACCTCGGAGGCCGTCGTGCTTCACGATGGACCTGACGATTTCTACAAGATATCGAGAGCGCTCACGAACGCCGATGAGTCAGGAAGTGTGGAGTGCGCACCCAGTATGCCCTCATACTCGTGATGCCCGCGAATGGCCCGCTGCGCCTGCAGCCTCGTCTTAATAACGTCCAGTGGACATGTTGCAATGCTAGCAATGAGGCCCCCTCCAGCGCCAGCTGCAAAGCAGGGTCAAATTTTGCGGACAAAGTCGGAGTGGTGCTGGCCTGCCTATCATGCTTCGGGCAGACCATTTGGTACGTGGCTGCTGCATAAAACTCCACCCCGTCGGATGGGGAGCTGACGTTTGGGCTTGCTATCGTCGTTGGGATCGTATAACGTAGAGATCAAGGTGCGCTAAGGCCATCGAAGATTTTCCAAGCGTGCCGGCTTTCCGAATCGTCATCACGTCATCAACTAAATCGATGTATTTGCAAAATGGAATCGACAAAAAGAATCAGAATAGCAAGAGGACGACTTCTGTGTCGTGCAGTGTGATGTTGGAGGGATGAGTCGTCTCTACAACTACTGCCCCACTTGCTTTTCCGTCTGGGGTATCGAAGCTCTGACCTGCCCATCTGAGGCCGGTTGTTGCGTCGGCTGATCTGAGGCTCAGTCAGTGGCCCGACTATTACCCGAAGAGTTGAATGAAATCACGGGATGGAGAGACGCTTGACTCGCACGCTCGCTCCCGGGGATGTCATCGAGTTTGCAAAGGAAATGTCCACCTGCTTGCTTCCCCGAGGGAGCGAGCTGCTGGAAAGGTACACAGTGTGGCTCATCAGGAGTGCTCGTTTCAGGACGCCTTGCTCGTAGAATGCGTAACCGGAAACATCGGCGTCATCGATCGAGAGCTCAATCCCAGCACAATGTCCACTGGGACCAATGGCTTCGGCTGCTACGAGCGCAGCGTGGTATGCAGGCTGGACGTGGGGCAGAAGGGGCGTGCTCAGTGCGGTACCATCAATCGTTGACCTGGTCAACGTAGCAGGTTGGATCTGACGAGAGTTAGGCGTAATGCGTGGAAAGTGGGTCAACGTACTGCATTGTACTTGTAGCCGATACCTTGATGGAAGAACAGTCGCGATACTCCTGCTTGGGCAGCATTGAATAGGTAGTCCGTGGTCCAGACTGCGATCCCTCCAACGTTGCTGGTGTTGACGGCACCGTGGCCGAAGCAGGAGTTTGTCTCGCTGCACAATAGTCACGCTCAGGACCCCGACATGCAGAAAAAATCTCACCCCAGCACATAATCCAAGCCGTGGGCCTTGGCGACTGCGATGCCTGGGGCAAGAATGCTGACGTTACTCCGAATGTTATCCTTCACTAGTAAGTCGACTAAATTCTCTCCAGCTCCACCTGTCGGTGATCAGCATCAATCTATTGAAGGCTCGAAAAACTCACATGAATAGTGGTGCTGGGAATATCTTCAAAATATCAGTTCCAGTGTCTCAAGCGGAGAAGCTGCAACCAACGTCGTAAGAAGCGATCCAGCCCCGTTCAGTATTCCGGCGCTGATGACACCTTTGGGCGAGAATCCCGTGTCGTCGTCAAACACACTGGCGAACGACGGCCCGAACAGCTTCGGGCCGTTTTTGCCCACGAAATTCGATTCGGAAAGGTTGGTGGCAAATGCGCTCCAGCTAGCCAGAGTCAGATGGACAGGAAACTGATCCGGAAAGCGACTCAACTTGCTGACATATTGCGTGTAGTTCCAGCCAGGTGTCGGGTACCGGTCGGGTTCGTTCCCGATTTCAATAAACTCCAAGGTCAGGCCGGCTTTCTTCATCGCCTCGGAGGTGAATGCCTTGTGAATCGCTGAGGCTTCGAGGAAGAAGGCGGTGGCGTTGAGATGTCGAAGATTCACTCCCCAGACAACATGTGTCCCTAGCAATCATGAGACCTTCCATCCTGAGGCAGCGCAAGGGCGGTAGCAAACCAGATGGCAGGTGATCTGCGATTTGATAGAACTGGTCGCCGACGATAACTTCAGAGGCCTGTGGGGGATTTCGCTCAGTGAAATTCAAAGGAAATAAATGAAAAATGAAGACCTCTGGGTAAGGAGTAGCTACACTCGGTCGACTTGAAACCGTCTGCGAATACTGCAAAGCGATTGAGCATGTGTCATTCATTATGGACGCGAAATGACGCACCTGGACTGCCGGATTGAAGTCCGTCCTGTCTTCGCTGTCGGCCCCGATCCGGAACCACGGACCGTCACCGGCCCTCTCGATGATATTGTCGAGCACATTGACGAGAAAGGTGTTGGTCGTGTTGGTACCTGCCCACAGGGTCCAGCCGTCCTACAGCATCGCACATGAGGCCCAGAAGCGCTTTTATGACGCCAGACTAGACCAGACCTGTTCGATGGAGAACGAAAACAGCGACGGGCTGAGCGTAATTGCCGCAGGTGGGGCTGAGCTTGGGATAGTCACAGATAGACTTTGAGCAGAGGCGGATGCAGCGAAGAAGCAGAAAGAAAGGGTAAAAAGACGCATGGTTCAGTGCTCTCACTCTCTCTCAGCATGAGACGGATCGTTGACTTTTAAATCAGCGATGAAATGGACCAGCTGACACAGAAGACGGCGTTCCCATCGGAGAGCCTCATCTCGAAGAACGCGGGTGGGGTAGCACGTTGCCTTCTCCGCGTGGTCGCGTTATAAGAATGCTTGGAACGCGAGAACGACCCGTTTAAACGCGAAGTACTCGCGAGCAGCGCCAGAACGGAGTGGGTTTGTTTTGCCATATTTCTAGCTCATCAAATCACCGGTCTTCAAGCGGGCGCAGGCTGCCTTCTTATGGTCATTGCCGTGGGGCAGAGGGCACTGGAGCATATGTTTCAAGACGGAGGGGAGTCTTTACCGGTCTGGTCTTGCTTTCTGCTGTACCTCGTCGGGCCGTCCCGCAATCGGCCGCTTGGCGGCCAGTAAGTTAGTTTATCTCTGGTTCTGCAGCCCCCGCCGCACTCAACCATCGCTTCGGATCTTTCCTGCCTTGTCTTTTTGTTCTCGATGCTGTCCTTGTCGTTTCTTCGCCTGTCCGGCGTTACCCAATAAAGCAACCTCTCCATTCTGATTCCATTGTCTTTTCCATATAAGCCGGAATACAGAATGAGATCCGGCTAGGGAATGCCTTTGACCTTACGACGTGCGTTTGCTCAGATTTCTAGGGCTGTAACCGGTTGGAGAGGTCTCGCTTGGTGAGTTTTCCAGAAAGAGAAGCGGAATTTAACTCACTGTCTCACAACTGACATTCTACGGCAGTGTTACCAGCAATTATTCCACCGCGACATGGCTTTCGCTTGCTCCCCACTCCATCCATGACCTCCCGTTTGAGATCCTGGCTCTCATCTTTGTTGCCGGTGCAGACACCGACTGCATGTTTCCGACGACCGTTTCGCACGTCTGTCGGACTTGGCGGGCCATAGCCCATCGAACACCTTCTCTCTGGTGTCATATCACATCAGACATGTCTGCGGAAATCCGCCGTCTCCATTTCGATCGTGTGAAAGCATGCCCGCTCCATGTTCAGCTGGCTCCGCTGAAACCTCGGCCAGGAGCTGTGGGCCGGCAGCGCCTCGATGTCCAGAATTTCATGCATATGGTCGTTCCCACCATCCGCCGGTGGCGTAGCTTGAAAGTTCTTCTGACTGATTATGAGCCTTTCCTGGCCAATGCTGCCCTTTCTGGGCTGTCTGTGGCGGGGAAGCAGTCCCAGGCAACGCTTCTTCGTGATTTGACGCTGATCTATCCCGCAAACGACGACTCGAAGGAGTTTTGCCTGTTCTCAGGATATGCCCCTCAATTGAGGCACCTGGTCTTGAACGGACTGCGTCTAATGTGGATGCCTTCACTCTTCCGCAATCTCACTTTTCTGGATTACACGCATCATGGGTTCTCACTGGGCGAGGAAGCCGTTTATGAAATGCTTGTGATGCTTAGGGTGTGCCCTCTGCTGCAGGAGCTGCGTTTGTTGTTTCCTGCGCCCAAACCGACTGCGCTGGCACGACTGCTTGCACTGCCTCTGGACCTGAAACTACCCAGCAGGTCTCGCCCGGTCCCTCTGCCCCATCTTCTCTCGATGCATCTGCGTGTTTCGACGAAGGACATCCCCTACGAGATGACGCAGCTCGTGGCCCGTATATCCACCCCGAAACTCGTTTCATTACATCTTGTCGACCTCGGTCACCGGCGCCGCCCATTTCCGAATCTGCACGCATTTATGCTGGGCTATCCCCGGCTGCCATCTTTGGAGATTGTATATGTCGATCATGGATGGCACGGTGATTTCAGGCCGCGCAGGAAACCTGCGAGACGCTGAGCGTCATGTTAATAATAGATCTGATCCGAGATGATACCATCATATGGGCACGTGGCACTCTGTATCTCCAATTTCAGCTCAGGAAATTCAACTCCCGAGTAAAGCATTGAGAGCATAGCAGTACTCCTTCTCCGTTTGCCCCCGAGCCCGATACGGCTTGTGCAAAACGTAAGAAAGCCAAGTGAGCGGGTAGGGGCAAGATTGGCGAGGTTCTGATCAGAATTGTGTTCCCATACGTCATGATGTTTTGAGGCCGTGCCAAGTGTTACCCTGTGTTACCCTCTCCCATCCCATGAACCGCACGCAAGCGCCAGGGTACACACCCGTGCCCAGCAACTCCAATCTGGCTACACCGTCCAGCGAGAGTGCCCCCGCGTCCCCACGTAGTTCGACCTTGAACGGAGTGCAAGCAGGCGCTATCGGCGGAGGGTTTGGCCCCTACTCAGTATGTCACGCATCTTTTTCATTATACCAAACCTTGACTATGAGCGCAGTATCCTCTCCCGGTTACCCGAGACAGCGTACACTCGAATTCGCGGTTCAGCCATGCGGCATCCCTGGCTCCTTTGAGTCCGTTGTTGCGTGTGAACACCGCTTCTATATCGCCTCAGTACTGGGAGGGCGACCCGGACTTGGACGATGCTCTGCACAATCCTAAACGACCAGACCCTTCGCGCAGTTTCACATTGCTCTCCCTGCGTGGGTGGGTCAATGCGACTGCGTTGTTGGTGTTGGTGTTCGGACTTTTGGCGTTGTTCATTGGTTACCCTGTGGTATCGGCTGTGCAGGGCAAATTGCAAACTAAAGGGACTTTCAATATCGCGATCAACGGAACCGGACAAGTCCCCGTATTGCCCGGTATGCCGACGCTCATCGACGCCGATACGCCCGAGAGTGCCTACTCAAGGACTGGAATAACGGATGGAAAGAAGTACAATCTCGTCTTCAGTGACGAGTTCAATCGGGACGGGAGAACATTTTTCCCTGGCGATGATCCTTACTGGTGCGTTTAATCGCCTCTCCTTCTTACTGCCTGCCGATATATCACTAGGGAAGCGGTTGATCTGCACTACTGGCCGAGTACGTGGGCTGTGCGTGATGCATGATCAATCTGACATTTCCGCAGCCGGTGACCTTGAGTGGTATGACCCGTCGACAATAACCACCGCGAATGGCAATCTTGTTATCACGATGTCAGAAGTGTGGAATCATGACTTGAATTTCATGAGTGGAATGTTGCAATCTTGGAACAAGCTCTGCTTTACTACGGGCGAGACTGCTTTCTCGGTCCATTGCTCCTGCCATTAACGCCACCTTCCAGGCTACTTGGAGGTCCGGCTCAGCTTGCCTGGGTCCGTAAATACGCCTGGTTTCTGGCCAGGCGCATGGACCATGGGGAACTTGGGCCGCGCTGGTTACGGTGCTACCACCGAGGGTAATTGGCCGTACTCGGTGAGCTTGGTTTACTTTTTCTGTGTTAATCGGCACTCAACGTGTTCAAGTACGATTCGTGTGATGTTGGAACCTTGGCCAACCAGACACGCCCAGACGGGACCCCTACTATCGTGAAAACAGGAGGCAGCGGGAATGTACTCAGCGAACTTCCTGGACAGCGGTTGTCGGCTTGCACATGTCCTGGCGAGGACCATCCAGGCCCTGATGTCACTGTTGGACGGTCTTCGCCCGAAATCGATATGATCGAAGCTCAGATCGACACCACCATTCCTCGGGGCCAGGTCTCTCAAAGTTTCCAAGTCGCGCCTTTCAACTTGAACTGGGACTTTGACAACGCGACCATGAAGATTGTTGACACCAATCTCACGAAACTGAACGGATATCGAGGCAGTCAGACACAGCAAGCCGTCTCCGCGTTGACCTATATTCCGGACGATCTGTACTCCGCCCAAAACTTTGGTGTCTTTGGACTGGAGTGGTGGTCGAATCCGAGTAATCGCGGAGAAGGTTTCATCACGTGGTCCAGTAATGGAGTAGAGAGCTGGAGTATCGACAGCGCCGTCGTCGGAGCCGATAACAATGTGCAGATCAGTCAGCGCCTAATTCCCGAAGAGCCCATGGTGATGTCACACGATGTACTTGCAGGTGCCGGTCTGACGCTTTCCCAGTATTTGATCCTCAATTTGGGAATGTCTCCGGGTTTCCAGCATTCCAACTTCGATGCCATGCCTTTCCCGAGTCAATAGTGAGTCAACGAATGATCTCCCCCGGCGAGTTGTATTCTAATTTCCTCGATAGCCTCGTGGACTATGTCCGCTTCTATCAGCGTGAAGGCGTCGTCGACGGTGTAACTTGTGATCCTCCGCACCATCCGACGCAGGATTACATTAACAGGCATGCCAACGCTTACACGAACCCAAATTACACGATCTGGGCGGATGCTGGATACACATTCCCAAAGAACTCGATCCTGGGATGCTGAATGCCATTGTACGACCTGCCTATATATCCGCGAACATTCGCTCTCATACTCACTTATTCTACGGACGGACCTAGTAATGACGCATTAGATGTACTCTCATACTTCATTCGCATGTTTCTCGTGTATCATCGAGACAAAGCCGAGAACGCTCATTGACCATTGCATGCGACAGAATCTGAGAGAGGGATCTACTGTGGCAGTGGCTGCGGATCTAATCTGATTCAGCAGTCTACTACGTACGTCCTCTCACTCTGACCTCGATGTCGTCTGCCGAGGACGCACAAGTGAGGGTCTCCTTATCGACCACATCTTGCGGGTGCATTTATCCGGCATTTATCCAGTCCATCCACGCCAAGGCCGTCAAGACTGAATTTGCTCAAGATTATGATGCCGCGTTCAGATTATACATCAAAGCTGCCGAGTCGTTTCTGCACCTGAGCCGCGCAGCTGCGCGGGAGGAAGACAAAGTCAAATGGAAGGGGAGCGCGAAGAAAGCTCTGGAGAGGGCGGAGAGGATCAAGGCTGTCATCGAGCACCGCAAGACCGGCGGCACAAGCTCGAGTGATGCCAGGTTGACCCCCGTCGGGGTGGATTATTTCTCGCAGGGTCAGACCGCATTAGTTGGAGATGCGATGTACAGCTGATTCTGAATTGTTTGCGCAGAGGAGCAGTTCTACGCGTTGAAGAAGGGCGGGGTGGTCAATGGCCGAGTGTTTCCTGCGTGGGACGAGCCGGTGGCCCCGGACAGCGGGAACGTGTCAGTGTGAGTCCATGCCATGATGTTCCCCTTCCACTAGGTATGCTCAGATCCTCAGCAGTCTTGGCGGGGACGTCGAGCTCTCCGCTGAACAACTGAAAGTCTCCCCGATCTGGCAGAAGAAGGGCCCCCTCAACGAGAATATCGTGTTGCGGCCCCAGGACATATTGCAGCAGATCATCACCGACTGTTCCCTGTCAGCCTCGCTCTCAGTCTGTTTAGAGTATGCCTCGCGATCAGGCATCCCTGTGAGTCGCATTCAGATTTTGGCTTGGCACTAAACGAGTCGATGACATGCACAGTTCAGACCTTGCGATGCCGGAGGAGAGACGTTTCGCTGTCCGCTACATAAGGTGGCCGAATGCGACGACAGGTATGACTTGCGTGTGTTGTTCAACGGGGCTTGGCGCAGGGTATGTCCTCCATCCCTATACCCTCACCTGTCCCTGAATACTTGGGGCAGATCAGGATAGACGATAGACTCCCTTGTGACCCAGCGACCGGAGCCTTGGTCTGCATGGCGACCTCCGGCAATACTGTCGCATTCCCAAGTTTTGTGGAGAAGGCTGTGGGTTGTCGCAAGCCCTGCCCAGGGAGTTTTGCTGACTGCTGGTGCAGTACATGAAGCTGATGGGAGGATACGACTTCCCAGGATCGTGAGTGTCTCGCTTGACAGCCGAACCGCACTCCAATCAGACGGTAGAAACTCGAGCATTGACTTGCAGTGGGTCAGGTACTTCTAAGCACAGATTGTGTCTCATGGAACGAGATCAGTGCTCTTCTAGGCTGGATACCAGAGCACATCGCGATCAAGAGGCCCGCAAGGTCATTTTCCCATTCATTCTCCCATCCTGACACAGTCTCCAGTTCGAATTTCGAGCGTGAAACCACGTGGCAGCGATTGTTGAATGGTTTTGCCTCCAGTACGTTTCTGTTTGTGGGCACGAATCGGTCGCTCAGCTTCCTAGATCAATGTATGGTGACTTTGGGAACGGGGAACGAGTCCCATATTCGCTGGCGCGGCGTCAGTCTGCTAAATGCGCATAGCTACGCGGTCATTGGTTCATTCTTTTCTACACATTCCCAAGTCATTCGTCTAATCAAGGATCCCAGCCGTGAGTGAAGATGAAAACGGACGACGTTTGACGATTCTGGACTCTTGGACGGGCGAAGCTTCACAAGCAGCGTCATCTCTGGAGATGTCTTGGACAGACAGCCTGGATGTATTTGACAGCATCTATCTCAGTTGGGATCCACACACATGGCCAAATACGGCATCCTTGCACGGGTAAGCAGCGGCGTGAGAACTGAGCAGTCTCTTGACTTTGGGTAGGACTTGGAGGAAGCAACCGTCGGCTGGGGTATCGCGTGCGTTAATTTTCTTTTCTTCGTCAACCAACCGACGCATCGACAGATGTCACTCGCACTCACCGACTCGCTTTCGAAAGCGTTCCCGATGAGAGGGAAGTGTGGGTCTTGTTGACCCGCCACGTGGCAGATTCGCGAAGCACGACAGATTTTGTCTCTCTGCGGGTGCATCGTGAAGAGTCGGCAGCAGAATATTGTGCTCTGGCTATGAAAGTAAGATTCTGTTGTTCACTGTGGGAATGTTTCAGTGCTTAATGACATGCAGAGCAAATATAGTAATAGTCCACACGTCCTGACCAGGACTTCGATTCCGGCCCATACCGCGGGCAACTTGCTGGTTGTCGCTTGTTACGACGGCGACGCCGCTCAAATTGGCTTCACTCTCGCAGTATACGGGGCAGACATCAGCTGGGATCGACAAGTCCTTCCGCCTCCGATTTCCATCAAGGTGCGCTACTTTCCTTCAGGCTTGTCTGCACTCAACAGAACGACAATCGGATGAAGGTTAACGGCGTGTTCACAAGCAAGAATGCTGGCGGAAACAGCTCCCATCCGACGTTTATGAACAACCCGCAATATCACCTGCGCATACATGCACCAAAGAACCCAGCTTTGGGGCGCAAAACAGAGCTAGTATTGACTAGCCAGACACGACGAGAGGTTCCGAGCAATATCGCAGTGGTGTGGTCTCAGGGCGAGCGTTGTTCCGAGTGCGTTATCTGCCTCAGATTTTGTAATCGACAACTTAGCATGTTGGGCAGATTGGCACAGAATGATGTGGTTGCATCCTCCGGTTCATACGGTTACGGCTCCACACGACTCGCTGCGACTTTGCAAGGTTCGTGTCGGTCGGAGGGCATGGGCGTCGCTCTGATCTCGGATGTTTCCAGCGGGAGACTACACTGTCATCCTATCTACGTTCGAGCCAGGACAACTGGGATCCTTCTCTCTGGAAGCAGAAAGCAGCACGCTTAAATTCGATCTCAAGCCGATCGCACATGAAGGCGCGGGCATGTATAGCAAACAAGTCCGAGGAGAATGGTTCGTCGTCCCAACAGATGGAACTACAATGCTCATTATCTACACAGGACCGCGGAAACGGCTATGGGAGGACCCACTTTCAAACAGTACATGCAAAACCCCAGACTCGAACTCAAAACGGAGGTTCCCAACGATATCATGTCAGCGCCCTTACCCTGCTAATACAAATGGAAGCTGACGATAAGCAGGATACGTATTCAGCTTGTCCAACGGCCCCAGGTCACTCCAGTGAACGTTACCGTCTTCCCAGCGTCGCTTTCGCTCGGACAGCACGTGATGACATCCGGGCCCTACAGTGATTCCCTTGCTGGCGCGATTACGCCGAAGGTCAGGTTGGCGGCCGGCCAGTACTGGATCCTTCCGTCAACATACTCCCCGGGCGTTGTAGGGTCATTCCACATTCTGATATACAGCAGCTCGCCAGTCGAGGTCATCGACAGGTCAGCAGGAATTCGTTGACGCGTTTAAGCGTGACACGAGCGGGATTGGCTTCGGGTCGGCTGGCGACGATCCATTCCAGTCTCGTTCGGATGGTTTGTTTATTTGCGGGTCCTGGACTGCCATTCAGTTCAGATGACGTGGGGGGGATGGATATGATCGCACTGGGTTCCGCCGTGAAATCACCCTGGTCGTCAAAGAACGACTGTAACACAGCCAGTGCGACTCCAGGACTCGTGTCCACTCCGTCTCGACATGCAATACACAGTCGCAGTCCACTGGAGAGATTTTTCTTGGCGAACGCGATGGCTTGGGGAAGCACTTGTTGAAGGAGATGCAGCTGTCCTTTCTTCCCGGGGGCAAGGGCAACTGGAGTGTCACTGCAGACGTAGACACAGCTTTCTCGTAAATGATGATATACGCCGTGTCCGCTTCCCACAGCGTCAGATCTGAGATGGCGGCGATGCTGATCCGACCCTGCACCCGCTCAATGCGGCTGAGCTTGCAGAGACTCCCAGCATCCTGTACACGATTGGCGACCAATGTCTGCACGAGCTGGGGGAGTTCGAGCCTCGACGCGTTCAAAAGTTCAGATTGATGCCGCCAAAAGATGTCTGGATCGAGACCCTGGAGCCGATTTTGCGAAGTGTGAGGCAAAATACTCGCGCCCAACGCAACAGCACGACGCACCATGCCCCATAGCTCGTGATCGTCCCCTGAGCCCTGGACGTATGCGTACCCTCCGGTCCTCCGGTCGAGGGCAGCCTGACGCGATGCAGACACACAGATGACGGGGATACACTCGGATGGCGGGGACGGAAACGCCCCCGAGGCGGGGGTGATCCACAGCGGACGAAGTGGCCGCGGTAGATCCGGGAGGGTGTAGGACGACGCCTGTGAGAAACGACATACGAAGCGCACGCGATCCGCCAGGTGCAGACGTACCGCCAGCCCGACGGCCCACGACTCCACGCGCGCAGCGATCTGATCGTGCTCCTGCGCGCTGACGGCCCCGGGGGGAGTGTACAGCCCCGTTGTCGTTTTCCACGTCCGCGCTTCCTCTTCCTCAGGAAAGCGGAGGGCTACGGCGCGGTTGACAACGGCGCACCAGATCGGCACGGTCTTGGACAAAGCGTCAGGGATCCGTTTTCCTGCTCGCGTCGAATCGACTAGGATGAGTCTGCGGAACTTGGTCAGATGTGATCTAAGGTCCAGAAGAGAAGGAAACGCGCCCTGTGCCGTTATTTGCGGCTGCGAGGGGCACCAGGTGGAGGTTCGGTCGGCGGAGGTTGAAGTTCCAGTTGGAAAAATGGCCGTCAGTGGATTTGAAGTACGCCGGACAGGACGTGCTTATCGCCGGATCGGTATACCATGCCCCACAACGCAGGTTGGCTGGTAGAAATTGAGAGCAGCGTTCGATAAACAGCTGCGACTGAACTTCGTACACGCACGCAGTAGTGGGATACTAGGATACGCATTGTGAACCTGGTTCACGAAGAGGACATCCTCCACAATTGAGTGAATGCGATTGTATATGTCCAGAGACTCGCGCCGCAAGACTTGCAACGGATTTTCCGTCAATAATTCGTTCGAGTCATCGTCGTCCATGAGAAGGACTGAATTTGAAGATGTGAAAGTGGCTGTACCGATGCACTCGCTGATCTAATCGATAATGCTTGTTCTACATAATATCCTCCTATATATTTACACCCGGTACAAATTGTGAACATCACGGTATGAATATCCTCGAATAGCCCTCCACACTGCAGTGCATTTCAGCAAGAACTCACAAGGACTAGAGAAAACATACGTTTGGCGGCAGCAGGGACACCGGTGCTTGTGAGCGGCTGACCTGGCCGAGAGGCTCTCGCGACAAGCGTCACACATTGACAGGCACCGGCATGGCCAGCAAACAATCTCCCGATTCTCGACGGTGCAAATGACACAGTTCCGTCGGCTCTCGGTCGCTGGGTCGGTGTCGGGGACAACAGCGGCTATGAGGTCGTTCTGAGTTTGTGGAGATTATCGACATATGTTCACTTACGTGTTGGTGACGCTGCTCGTGGTTGTTCTTTCGAGCTCCCGTAACGCTGTCTGGTCAGTGGAGAGTCTGTAGAGCTCATGTGGGCGAGAAGCAAGGGAGCAGAAGAGAGATCTGAGAACAGATCAGCAGCCTCCATCCCTACGTTCGCATCCTCTGCTTCATCTTCAGAGATATCTCCAGTGTCGTTTTCCTCAGCAGACTCGTCGTCGTCGCTGATGGGATCCTGCCGGAGAAAACGTTGATACATGGCGTCTCCATCGTCCAGTTCAGCTTCGACGTCCTGCTCATCAGTTTCATGGCCGGGAGCCACGTCCCCTGCTTTCTCGCCAGCCCGCTTCCACATCTTGGTCCTGCCCCCGGATACTACGAACCGCCAGGATCCAACCAGCAGGTTCCGTCCAGAGGACCAGGCGACGAAGAGAAAGCGGATGGCGGCTTTGATCCAACGGACATGGACGAAGCGTGTCACAAACGACCAAGGGCGGGCACTCGCCACGTTCACATCGCGCACTTCGTTTGTCAGCCCCCGGCGCGGATGGCGTTGTCCGAGAGCTACCGGACCAAACCCAGAGGAGACGATCACAGCCCCGTTGCCCGCCAGCTTGGCTTGGCCGTACTCGGGGAACTCGGCAGCGCGTGGACCGACAAAGATCCCGGGCAGCTCGTTTCCCCAGCCGCGGAGACCAGTAGCCTCGAGCGAGGCTGTGCCAATTCGCAGAAGCACGACACCCCAATCCTCCTCGTACGGGAGAGTCCAGTCTGCACCAGAGGGAATGCCCAGCCCGATCAGCGGTCGTGACACACGGCCCGTCACTGCGAGCTGTGTGACGGCATTCAGGACAACGGTCATCGCGATGGTGCACAGTAGGAGAGTCTCAAAAATGTTCGGATAGCTGAGCAGCGGGTAGACCGAGGCCTCCACAGGTCGGAAGTATATCGACATGGGGTCGCTCGCGAGCGCTGGGGGAGCCGTTGGCCGCGCGAACTCTCCGGAAACAGTCGTAGTGGGAGGCATCAACTCAGACGTAGCTTTCCCGAGGTCCTCTCTGAACATATTCTGAACACTGTGGAGTTGGGAGTAGACTGTCGAATGGAAGTGAGCCAGGGACAGGAGAGAGGTCAGGGCAGTCGGAAACAAGCGATGCCTCGACCATCGTTGTCGAACGGCCAAGATGTGGAAGATCGTGAGCTGTAGAAAATGTCAGATGTTATTCAGCAATCGGGATGAGATTTACTTGTATTAGTGGGATAGTCATCACCGCGATCACATGCTCGTCCGGGCGCGAGGGTAAGGACGCAGGCCGATAGATGTGGGTCACCCGCGACGAATAAATGTGCAGGAGAAACGCGTAGCCAATCTAGACTGCTTGAGCGATCATCCAGGCTGCGTGCCTCAAGTTTCTCACCAAGTTGAACGGTGACGTGTTCGGATTCATCTGCAACAGACCCAGTCCGCTTCCATCCAGACTGCGGATGAACGCTTCCACAGAGAATGTCGCGCATATCGAACAGAAAGTCCACCAGCACACATTCGACACCTCCAGGCCCTGGACCCACTGACCCAACGAGTAGACATAGCCAGATTCCCACGACGGATAATAACGTGAAGTCTGCAGCAGCATGACCACCCATATCACGAGCGTCCGGCTCATATAGTAAAGCGTCGGCAGCTGGAGCGCAAGTCGGGTTGTGGAGTTCGTGAGATCAAGAGGGAGAATATGTGCGTACAACCGCCGGAAGGCGCCATGTCTCGACAACGGCCGCGTTCTGCGAAAGAGCGATGTGCGAGATGGCAGAACGATGTTTTGGATACGATGCAGAAGGATAGCCTGCCAACCCCCTGTAAGCACTTCAATTAGAATGCAGCCCGAGAGCTCACCAAGAGAATCAACCCCAGCATATACCCTGAGAGGAAGAACCCATACGGCCCCGGAAACATGGGACCGGCTGGGGCCTTGGTAGAAACGGACGCCAGGGGAGGAGGAACATTGACACTCTCGGGGTCGTAGAGCACCGATGGTGGAGACAGAAGGTCGTCCGCCTGACGCAGTCGCGCCAGAAGTCTGGACGGTAGCATGATGATCGAGCTCAGGTTTAACGACATGTTGTATGCAGAGCCGATAGCTGAGGGCGGCTCCAAGGCTGCAAATTTCTGGCCCGTGATCGACTTCCACAGTGCCATGGGTGGATCTGTGTACCTCGGCGATGGGCAATCCCGGAATGAGAGAGAGAGGGACGCCACCCAGTCACCAGCAGTAGTAGTCGGGTGCTGATCGGGGATGCATCACGTCATTGATGGTCTTAGTCGTCGCCCAGCTTAGGCCCGCATTCGGCCCGCATTGGGGTAAGCTCGAAGCACGCTTACTTATGAACTCATCGGATGATAAGATAAGAAACAGAACACATGGCCGAGCGTGATCTGTACACAGTACACTTGTTCGAATTTTACAGTGAGTTGGAAGATGGTCTGTATATAATATCCGTTGTGTTGCGTAACTGTGAGTCCTTTCGTGGCGATGGATTATTGCGTAACCGAGGTGGAAGCGAATCAACTGGTGCAGCGCCTTCGAGGTTGCAGTTCGGATCCATATTTGGCTGCAGATCCACATGTAAAAGACAGGACCGTGTTGGATCTCCAAGGGACCTTGGGTGCCCAAGCAACACTCCACATATCACATTGCTCCGCTAAGTACGTGTCTAAGAGGATTTCCCGCAGTGCATGCAGTGGACTGTTACGCTGATCGCCGCGCAGATACGAAAGATTTAATTGCACATGCAACGCAGAATAGTATAGAGATTAATTATAGACATTAGGGAGTTACTATTGTAGGGTTTTTGTAGTAGACCGCTGTCCGCCGGATCTAACGCACTCAAATAGGTGAAATAATCGGTCCAAACACCGATCGAATTACACCGATTGCCCCATGTTGGAGCGAATGTTGTCCCAGGAGCTCGAGGGATACCTGAAAGCGCAATGTTCAGCGACGGAAAGGCGCAGTATGCAACCATACCTGATGTGGTTCTGGGTCTCGTCGAGGTGACCGAACACGTTGGCGCTGATGCCGACCAGCGATTCGGAGCCCACTTTGTCAGTGGACAGTTCCCAGAACATGGAGCCAGCCAATCCTTTGCTGACGCTGTACTGGGCCTTCATTTTGACGATGTCCGGAGTATCGTAGCTAATAAGTTCCTTTGCCGGAGTCAGACCCATCGACCCGATCGACCCAAGGAGAGCCTACCTCAGTGACCGAATCGTAGCTGTAAGAGCTGATGTCTGTGGTGTTCTCGAAAACATGGGCGCCGGCCACTGTCAGATACTTGAGTTTTCTCCGTCGCTGGGCAGAGGAATGTACAAACAAGGGAGTGCCTTGTAGGAATAGATCCCGGCTTGCAGTGTTCCCGGACCGCTCTGCAAGGCTCTGTTCAATCGCAGATGTGAACATTTCTGCGGATCGCACTGACCCCATTGTAAGATTGGCCGAGTCCTTTGGTGTTCTCGAAACCATGACCATAGAGAGGGATTCCCATGTTGATCTTGGACGCGGATGCTCCGGAAGCAATATAATACTTGATTGCAGCATCAGTGCTCGCGTTGGTGCGCACACCTCCGTAGACGTTGGCCTGGTTGTCTGCGAACGTGAGCCAAGATCCGGAGTAGTCATACGCCTGGAAAGTCGTTTATAAAAGCGGAAGCAGTGAGACGGACGCTCTGACCATCAGGTTCCAGTAGGAGAGTGCTGGATTGTATGTCAGCCCTCCAGGTCGAACACGTAAAACCGACTAAATCACCTGAATTCATCTGAGGAACGACAAGATGTTGGTAATTGTCATAACCAGCGGAGACGGCAGCCGTCAATTCGTAGGGAGTTTTATCTCCTTTGATGGCAGCCAAAGCGTCGAATGCGATTCGCAGCTCGGTGTACAGATCGGCGAAGCCCTGACCTTCAGCTGGCGTGGCCGGGTATTCGAAGTCGATGTCACTGGGGTCGACGGTCAGACAAGTGACAAAAAAAATCGAGTCGTGCACTTACATCCCGTCGAATCCGTAATTTTCGATCATCTGCACGGCGCTGATGACAAATTTAGCTCGAATGACCGGGTCGGTGACAAAGCTGAAGTGGCCTGGAGCTTGTTAGATAGAACAGGGAAGAACAAATGGGTTGTACCGCTCTGGGAGTAAGTCCATCCACCGATGGAGAGCAGGACCTTGAGTCTTCGGTTCGCCAGCTTGAGGAGGTACATCTGTTTGAGACACCCGTAGATGTTGTTGCCGGGCTCGCTCGACGAGTCGCCGGGGTATTGTTTCTGCCGATATATAACAGCTGAACTGCGGGATGCGATGCTTGCCATACCTGAATGTCCGCGTAAGAGTCAGTGAGCGAGATGTTTCCTGTCGAAGGGTCGACATCGGCGAAAGAGTAAAGAATGTCTACGAGCGGTCATTTTTCAGTCGTCACGTCCATTCTCGTAAACGCACGAGTAAGTGTGTCAGGCACAATATCCGTCGGCTCTGGGAATTCCGAAAGGTTCAGAAGGCCAGAATTGCTGCCTCAAGTGCATACATACGGAAGTTGGCTCCGTAGATTCCCCAGTTTGTGAAGTACGCTAGAGCTTTAGTCAGGGCAAGATAATCTATCATGGACTTCGAGGCTCACCCATGTTAGCCTTTCCCCTAGTACGCTTTTGAACCTGGTGCACAATGGGATTCAAGGCAGGTTGCAGCTGGCTCTGCGGAATCTGGGCGGATACATTCTCCGGCCTGTGCATGATCCATGTGGAAGAGACAACATTGAAAAGAGAGAGCAGCGCTGCGAGAGCAAGCATTCGTGAGAAGGAAGCAGCCATCGCAAACTGTCTTGCAATGAGACTGCATAGCGCTTTTAAAGTCTCTCGCACCTGATCGGACACGATCTTCTGCCATGTGTACCAAATTTCACCGGACAGGCATAAAAGGAGATATTGTTGATGCAAATCCTGAGGACAGCCTAGCGAAACAGCGTTCAGAACGGCACATATCGTGATGTTTAGTAACGCCGCACACATGGACCATACTGCAGAAGTTGAAATTGGGGATCGCCGCACCTAGGAAACATATCGCTGAAACGCATGTGGATGCACCCACTGCTTCGACGGATGTGGACGTCTCTCCAAGAGATGACCACTGTGTTGGCTTCAAGAAGAGGAATAACAGACGGATAGGTGGCTAACGGTAGCCAATTAGCTCACGGATAGCTCCTCCAGCGATTGAAGGGCTGGAGGCACTAGGTCCCAGCTCTGGGATCAATGCCGTATGAAACTGATCTCCTTCACCACCGAAGCGAGCTGGCAGGCGTCAGGGTCACGGCGGAGGCCACGCGATGCCGCCCTACCTGTCAATGGTTGATGTGCCCGCACATCGCAAAGCCTCGACGCGATCAGTCCTTAGCGACCACAAGCTCCGTACTATCGAGCACCTCCAGAATCCGACATACGGCTAGAGCACGCGCCGAGACCCCGAGCAAACAGCGTCCGTATTCCTTCTGCAGAGCGATGGTAGAGGGCGGAGTGCACAATCTCAGACTACGTGCAAGGAGCGGAGAACTGGCACGCTAGAGCCAGTTTTTTTTTTACGCGAGGTACAAAAAAGACGACACCCTGCGAGACAACAAGACCGCGATGTCCGGCCACAGACCGTTCTGGCACCGCGTTGTCGAGTCCGGATGAGTTTGTGTATCGTACAGTGATGACGAACGGCGATTAGTCATCCGGACCGGATGTGACGCATGGTGCTCGCTCAGTTATTCGCAGCTGTGTGGACGCGTTCGAGTCCTGACCGCCATGACAACAAATAGAGATCTCGAAGCTGCGCGAATGGACACCCTAGCAAGTTAGCAGTGGAGTTTCGGTGGACGAAACTGCACCAAAAACGGGTTGCTTGATTGCGATCACGTGAGGAGTCGGAACAGATCGAAGGCAACTCAGGCAAGCTGCGCTGCCGCAGCAATCACATCCACCGGCTTTTCAGTATTTGAAAACGTCAAACGCTCTTATGTAAGCCCATGCGCAAAGAAAGTGAAATACATCACATGACCCCAAGCTATCATAGCTGAGAAGAAATTCGCACAGAGAGAGAAAGGTGTCAATGAAACCCGCTCTCTGATTAATCACTATTACTCATCCACACTCTATTTGAAAACAATACAGCGCACAACTGGCAACTGCCAGTAGATTTGGAATTGGATGGATAATTGGGGGTGTTACTACAGCTACACTGGGAGCGCTAATTATACTGCGGCTACAAACTTACTATATCGAGTGGTCACAACAATCAATAATAATCCTGGGTACCATATCCTTCCCAACGCCCGGTGCCGCTTCTCCCAGCCGTCCATGATTCAACGAGGATGCGGAGAGCGTGAGACAAAGCGCACTCACGAAGAAACAAAGTTGACGGGCGCCGACATCCACAAGGACATATACTCGTCGTCCAGACTCATGTCCACCGGCACTTCGGCGTGGAGAGGAATAATCGGACCAGTCAGCGGGCCCTCATCGGGCCGCTGTTGATCCACCGCTTCCTGGGGGTAGAACCCGGGACTAGGTCGGTACGCGGTGTCGTCCCAGGCCGCGTTCACAAGCGAGAGTAGCAGCTGATGCAGTCGTAAGATCGACTGGGACCTGAGTGGATCGCGGTCAGCATGAGATGGTTGTGCTCCACCGTCCTTGCCTATGCTTCCCGATCTCCAGTAAGCGAGAGGCGATGTCAAGATAAGCCAGATCCTTGGCTATAGACTGACCGGCCCGCCGTTGGCCGTACATTCGCAGAACTAGAACCGTCGCAGCGATGAAAACACTGCTCTGAGAAAACAGTAAGAAAGTTGTGGACGTTCCCAAGTAGGAGGCGTACGTTGAGCTTTAGGGAAGGGATGTTCATGTACTTCCTTTTGATCCAAATATCTGCAATATTGAGCATAGAGTGTGCAGCATTCACACAGATTGACAACGACGGTGCCGCCAGCACATTGTCCTTCTGTATGAACGGTCGGTGGATCTACAAAAGGTCACATGTGTCAACCGCAGGGTACGGTCCACTGACCATGATCTGCACATAGTGGTAGTGCGCATTCAACACTGCAGCTTGAACGAAGAGGCTATGGCTTTCCGGCGGATTTTGGGAATCCCATCGTACTGCGGCTCGTCAGAATCGAGTGACACACATAGCAATGGTCCACTCACAGAATGAGGGGAGGGAGGCCAACCAACCGTTGATCTGCGAGTCGAGTTCTGCCACCACCTTTTGTTCCCACTCTGCACTTTTCCATCCGAGAAGGATCTTAGCCTTCTTGGACGCGTATAAACGACGCAGAGTGTCGCCAAGTATCTGTTGCGAAACGTCGATAGAACATCTGGACAATGATCGGATCCACAGACCGCTGTCAGACGGACGGAATGCACAAGAAACGATAGCAACGAAGGCTTCTCTACGGGCTGAGTGAAGCCCTGATCCCAGTATTCGTCATCGACTTCCAGCGGCGGATCGACATCGAAGCTATAATAGTATGAGGTGATAGGTCAAACACACATTATGGGGATACCTTTCCGGATGGAGACCTATGGGTCTACCGATGAAGGCCGAGACAAGATTATCAAGCCAAAAGAATGCCCTGACTGCGCGTCAGAAAACAGCGAGAGCGACAATGATGAAGTACAACCAAAACGTCCTGTTCCATGACTCGAATTCCGCGTTCAAGTTATCAGGGTCGCGCTTCTGAAAATGATTGCCACGCTGCTGTAGAAGACGGATACCGAGGCCCTGGGGGAGTATTAATCTGTGCGGATCGCTAGCAGTGAGACTCCCACAAGATAGCCCCAGCTCGAGTGGGATGCAGACGACCCCACGCAGAACAGCACGATCAACTGCCACGAAATGAGTCGGCACACAGCAGAGCCAGACTAAACCGCTTACCGCATAGCTTTGTACTTCAAAGAGAGTCGCACTGAACGACCGATCGACTTGAAGTTGTGCGATGTAATTCCAGCCAACCGTTACCTCCGCTTGACAGTTATCCATGACACGTGGATCGGACGAATACTGAGAAGCGTTAGAATAGGGGACACTCCCAAACTGACAGCGACGCACCTGGGCCGCGAGCGCCAGCACTGAGAGTAGTAATGCCCCAAATTTGTCATCGGAGAGGTAAAGACCGTCGGCGACATGTGCGTCGAATGTCGGGCGATGTAGCATGGGAAATGTAGGGTGTATGTGTGTCCAGTATATCTCGACTAGGTTGTATATGAGATCGGCAGAGGGATAGACGTAACGTGGTTGGTGATGAAAGTATGCTTCGTGTTCCCACTGCAGCGCATCAGATCGTGCTCTGGGGCGCAGAAAAGAGGGACTGACCAAATGGAAGTTCCACAGCATCATTAGGGATGGGGAGTCAGGCTGTGACGCATTTCCGAGCAGCTTTTCCTTCACCTGGAGACGAACATAGAATCAAATGAGAGTATCGGGGGATCCGACGCACAAGCATGGCATTACGCGCAAACGCGAAAGTGCTCGAGGGCCCAAAATACAACTGGAACCGTGGCAGCTTGAGGGAAAACTGGCGAAATTGGCTGATGAGCTCGGTCTCTGTGATCCCATCCTCAGTCGTGGGCTGTTCCTGCACTTCATCGCCATCATCTCGGGATGATGTATCGCCCGGGGAGTCGTACTTCTCGATGTTCAACGGCTGAGAGCACAGAGCGCAGACGGAAAGGGATCGTAGTTTCGCCTCCAATGCGTCGATCCTTCCCTGCAGACTTTCGACATCCTCGCTGATAGCGGATTTTCAGTCGTCCAACAGGTCTTCCAGAAAACGCGAGCAAACCTCTTCTGGCGCTTGGGACCGCGCTTCCTAACAGGTATGTCATACTGCCATTCCTCATCAGACGAAGGGAGTGGCGGGTGACTGGGCACCAACGTACCGAGCAGACCGATCCAAACGCGATACAATTCGAGCAATTATCTCCTGGTCGCTGGGGCCCGTCGCCTATTCGTCCCGCTGAGCTCATGTCCCGGCATGTCGAACGACAACCTTACATCTCACTTTTGAGGCTGCGTGTGAGCCCCAATTGCGGAAGTACGATCGACAACTGACTTTTTCTTTTGCGACAAAAGTCGCAACTTCTCGTGGATCGCCGTATCTTCTGCGCCTCTGTGGAAGGCATAGCGAGCCAAACGGTGGAAGGTGGAAGCAATCAAGTAGGAGCAATTCAGCAAGTAACGAGGTTTAGTAAGCGCAGCCAAACAAGAATCCACATGGTACAGTATATTGTACATATTTACGCTAAGACCGACTCTGGCTAGACGCGCCAATGGCCTTGGGCATCTTCTTGTCCCCGGAAGCTAGCTGTTCCAAGTCCGCAGGTTTGAAGTAATGAGGGGCAACTGCCGGGATAGATAAGTCACATGAGATACGCATGACATGACGTCACTCGCCTTCCATCAACCATGCTGGCTTGATCTCCATAACTTGTCTGATCGCAAGGTCGATAAAGCACGAACGATCTGGTGGCAGAAACTCACCTCATGTAAGACTTTGATGTCATCACGAGTTCGTAGTACAGCATCGTCTTCACCGGGGGCTGGAATTGGAACAAGCTCGACGACGGGTGGATGTAGACAGTGTGATTCGTCTTGAGAGTCCGATACGAGTCACCGCTCTTTTGCAACTGAGCCTGGAATGAGATGAGCTTTTGAAGTCACACAATAGGCGAGCGATCGCACCGTGTTATAGAAATAGCCTGCCGTCAGTGCTTTCTGGACGGGCGTGATGTCGTTCGAGTTCGGATTGGACTGGACGACGACTTCTACTCGCTCACAGAGACCGGCAAGCTGATCCCGGATATCACGGGCACGGCTCAGACTCTTGAACTGCAGGAACTGTTCATAGCAGAATTGCTGAGAATAGTTGGTCTCTGCCCACTGCTCCCAGACGTTGAGAAGCGTGAAGTGGTCACCGCCTGGTCGGACAAAGTTCTGTCTGGCCTGGTCGGCGTGAAGTTTCTTGTCTTTCGGTCTGTAGAACAGAGATCCGGATTCGGAAAGCATCGAGATGATTGTGAGGACCTGCAGATCTGATCAGCCATCCGTATCTTCAGTGACCAAAAGAGACCAACTTCATCGGTGCAGACGTATTGCTCGCTCGCGATGATAGCTTTGGATAGCATCGGATCAACGGGAAATTCGGCCATTCTCCGGCCGAGTTTGGTAAGTTCTCCCCGATCATTCAATGCACCTAGGGCATACAACAGCTCCAAAGCTCTCATGAGTGTTTCGCCAGGTGGCGGATCCAGAAACTCGAAGCCAATCAAGTCGTTGATTCCGAGCGACTTGAGCATGAGAACGGTCATGCCCAGGTTTGTTCGCTGGATCTCAGGAACTGTATTCTCTTCCAGCTCGTTCTTGAAAGCCCATTTCGTGAATAAGCGGAAAGCCTTGCCCGGTCCAACCCGACCAGCCCTCCCCGCTCGCTGATTGGCAGAGGCACGCGAGCACTGAGATCGAATCAGTTTTCGATCGGTGAGTATGATAGTGGAGACTCACTGGCACCACCACAAGTGACGACATGCCCGTCCTTGGATTATAAGAATTCTGTTTGACGAATCCGGGATCGATAACGAACACAACTCCGTCAATCGTGATCGAAGTCTCGGCAATGTTAGTGGCCAAGACGACTTTCCTTGCTCCCTCTGGAGTGGGCTCAAAGATTTTAGCCTGCATCTCGCTGGGAAGATTGGCGTAAATGGGACATATGATCAGTTCCGGGATTTTGTTCCCCAGTGCTCGACACGTTTCTTCTAAATTCTCGTGGCATGCTTCGATCTCCTCTTGCCCGGTCAAGAAGACGAGGATATCCCCTTTGGGTTGAGTCGTATGAATTTGAAATACAGTTGTGATTGCAGCGTGGAGATAGTTGGCTTCAGGTTGGGGAGTGTAGTGGATGTCGACCGGGAATTGTCGACCAGGAACTATGAAACGTGAGAAAGTCAATCAAGATCGACGAGGAAGGGTCTACTGTAGAAAGTCGGAGCATTATCGAAGTATTCGCTGAACTTCTCCGCGTCAAGTGTCGCACTTGAGATCAACAACCGCAGCTCAGGTCGAAATCGAGCGATGTCCTAGAGCACAATCAGAAGGACAACATCACAATCACTCAAACGAACCTTGACAAGGGCGAACAAGATATCCGTGCTGAGAGTTCTTTCGTGAGCTTCGTCGATGACAAGTGCTGAGTAACCGGCAAGATCTGGCTCCGTGAGAAACTCTCGTAGTAACATTCCGTCGGTCATATACTTGAGGACCGTTTTATCGCTCGTACAGTCCTCGAATCGAATCGAATATCCGACTTCGTAGCCGACCTTGGTGCCCATCTCTTCAGCCACTCGAGCAGCCACAGACATGGCCGCAACACGCCGAGGCTGGGTGCAACCAATCTTCTGGCCATTGGCCGTGAATCCAGCTTCGTGCAGGTACTGCGGCAATTGTGTTGTTTTGCCAGACCCAGTCTCGGCGACAACAATCAGAACCTGGTTGTCCCGAACAGCCTGGATGAGTTCCTCCTTGTACTGGTAGACTGGTAGATTTTTACGTGTCTCCTCAATTGTTTTGGCTGCAAGACGCGTTCAGTACAATTCATCGTTAGAACCCATGTCGTACCTCGTTTGTCGGCAGCATCGATCTGATCTTGTAACAGCTTCTCTGCAGCAGTCATACGCTTGTTACCGGGCAGAGCAGAGTCCATGACGAATTTAATCGTCTGACTTTCGTCGAAAACGTAATCGTACGTGTCCTGGATCTCAACTTTGTCCATTGCCCCGGACTTGAAGGTGCTATGTTGTGTTTGACTGGCCTCCCACTGGTCTACATCCGTCACGAATTGATCGTCCTTTGGCTTTGCGTCTTCGTAACGCTGATACAAAGCACTTTCCTTCTTCTTCTTGTCGATCTTTCCCTGTTCTGTGAGATAGTCTTCAGGAAGTTGATACCCCTCCCACTTGTCGTTGATTCGGAGTTTTTCTTCGACCAACTTGAGAAGCTCCTTCTTGTGATCCAGCTCCCTCCTCTCCCGCTTCGAAATTTTCATGCCACTGAAAAGGGCTTCGTCGTCCGCAATCTCCTTCCGAAGCAATTCGATTTGCTGAATTTCTCGCTTCGTTAGATACTCTTGCCGAGAGTGCTGCCGGAGAGAGGGCATGGCCAGGATACGTGCTTCGGTGTCATCTGCGAGAGCACGTCGCTGTGCTGCCTCGGCCGCAGCACCCTTGTCCTTCGATGAACGATCCTCGACCACCTTCTTCGTCTTTTCACGATCTCTGTCTCGTACACGCTCTGCGAACGCATCGCGGTCTCGGAGATCTTCCATTCGTTCACGCTCCTTGCGTGTCACCTCGTCCTCCCCCAAATCCACATCCTCTTCCTGCTCGTAAGCCCGACTCTCGTCCTCATCCGTTCGCATGCGTTTCCGCGCCTTCTCATCTTCATCGCTCTCCCACTCCTTGTCATCATGCTCCCGTTTGCGCGTATGCCTGTCCTTCCTGTCCTTCCCAGAAGACCGGTCCTTTTTCTCCTTCTTCAGCGGCACGACATCATTGGAACCACCATCGTCCTCGAGCAAGAATCCAAATTTCTGCGAGCTAATGACCTTGTTGTCTTTCTCGGCCTGTCTGCGAGCACTGTCCGCTGCCGAGCGCTTATGCTTATGTTTGCGCGGTGCTCGCTGGTACAGTTCATTGATAAAAGCGTGAGCGTCTGGTGTATCTGGCAATCCAGCGGCGCTAAGAGAGGACAGCAGAGCTTCAGGAGACTTGGCGGAAGAAGCTGGGTAGGTTCGAGTTAGTACCGAGTCAGACAACATGTTCGACGACAGACACACCTGCAGCCAACACATAGTCGATGATACTACGATCTGAGAGGCCGAACAACTAATATTTGGCGTCAGTTGGCGTCACTGAGGTTCAGAAACATAAAGAACCTGGAGAGAGTTGTCGCTGATATACCTCTCAAGCTCGGAGGACATGCGAGGGGAGAGTAATGGATGATTGACGTGCACAGCCACATGCCTGATGATGACTTCACACTGAGTTGACGCGACGCGGCTTTCCCTTTACCATCATCGATGCAAGTACCACGGACACCCCTTCGACGCGTCTCTCAGAACTCTTTGTTCGGGAAATCGACTGTAGATCCTGATTCTCAAGTTTCTGGCTTGGCCTTCCTCGATGCCGCTTTCTCGGAACTAGCGGATGAAACGGACCATATGCACAGCGTCACCGAGGGCATGAGACAATTGAGCGAGTCGCTTGCCAAGTTCAACGAATCTTTCGCAAGCTGGCTCTATGTCATGGATATGAACTCTCTGACGATAGATTGGCCTCAGGTGCGCGCGTTCGATCACCTATCATTGGCGGTTCATTCAGCCTGCATAGGCTCCATCTGAAGCCTCGTTCATGCTCGCCAAGCGCCGCGCTGGTATACACTCACTCCAACCTTGGTATCATCGCTCAAAAGACTGCAGAACGTGACGCAAAAGCAGCGATGGAAGCGATCGAACAAGCAAACCGTGCGGCTGCCATTGAAGCGGAACGAAGGGAAGCTGCCGCACGCGAAGCATCCGCACGAGAAGCGGAGGCGTTCGAACAAACATACACGGATACAACATTTGCTGTAGGAAACACCACTTCAGCACTTTTGTCTAGGCCAGGTGTCAAGAAAAAGGCCGGGAAACCCAAATTGACTGCCAAAGAGAAGAAAGAGCGCAGTGTACGTCTCCTGACTTGTAGCCTTGTTTTACTTGCTGAACTTTCTAGATTGAGGTGGAGAAGGTGATCGCATGCTTGCCGTTGGAGTTCCGTGGAAGCGATCCTGTGAGTACTACAGCAATCTTGCAGCCGTGCCTCATGTACCATACCCTCAGAATCTGCGTCGGAACATGGAATCCGTTATCGAGGGCCTCCTCGATGCATCTAATCGAGTTGTCAAACGTAATTTTACAGATTGCTCTCGAAGGAACTACTAACTAAGGTGCACAGTGACCGATCTCATATCACCTCCCGATCTCAACCAGGCGCGGGTCAACAAATGCCTAATTGCACTAGTGAATCGAAAAGTTGTCCAAAAAAGCAACAGCACGGCAAGTGAATGTATGGCGGCTGGATCACACGCTCATGAGCAAATATACAGGGCACTGTGTTGTATTATTGGCAAGGCATCTAAGACAACTTCAGAAGTAGGAGCCTGCTCCAGCATAGCTGGCTGAGGCTGGGCCGTCGTCCACTTCCAGTTCTCCTGTCTGACGACGTATCCCGTCTATTGAACCTGGGCCAAAAGCGGGTTGCGGTGCCTGGAAAGGCTTGGGAGAAAGCACCAATCGACCTGCGGGTATCCGGACTTGGAGCTCTGATTGTGTTGGCACGGGCTGGAAATGTAGCTTGGATGCGCTTGAGCGGATGGAGGTCATCAGGGGCGGATGGCTTACAGAATCGTTGACCTTCTTGTAATGCTTTAGGAACACATTCACGCCTGCCAACTCTTCAATTACTCGGTCCTTCCTGCGACTCTTGAGCTCTTCTAGGTCCTTCTTCGCCCAAGCCAAGAGTGCCACAGCTTCTCCACCACGGTCTGTTCCTCCATTCTCTCCAGCGTCAATCCCAAGCCATTTGTGAGCCATCGCGTTGTGAAAGGCAGCCTCGTCTGTGAGATAACGTCGCAAATCAGACGACACCTCGTCGGATGGCTTGAATCTGCTTTTGCTCGTGCTACCCAAGGTTTTGGATAATGTCAGAGCAGATCCATACAACGAAGAACATTCGAGGTGTAATTTTGATATGAGAGCTGGGGAGGGATGGGACTTCGGCAAGGGAGGGCCAGGGGCAACATAGCTGTCGTAGATAGATCTGGAAAGTAGCTTGCGGATGGCCAGGGTCTGAGCATCGGCCAAAGACAGCCTGAGCGACGTGAGGCGGCGAAATCGCACGATCGGAAGACATACTTGGCCAGGGCGCTATTCACCTCCTGGGTAAGATCCGGGGGCTTCGTCAGATCCCCAGCAGATGCAACATGTGCATTCTCCCATTCTATCAATACCGTGGTACTGATGTACGAGAAAACGCCGCTTGCTCGACACAGGAGATCGGCGGAAACCGTGAGCTGATTGTCCTTCGCTTTGCGATCTGCGTCGGAGATCCCTCGATCATGTTCATAGTTTCCCAAGGCAGTCGTCTTTGCCTTGGCGAGATTCGACAGTGCGTAAGCGTAGGTCAATAGTGAGTAGGCGTGCTCCCCGTGTAGGGAGGGGATCGAGAGACGAGGCGAAGTCTTGAAGAGATTAGCAGAGAGCGTCGTACGCCAACTAAAGGCTTGGTCCTTGTTCAGTGGGTCATGCGGAGACTGTCTAGAAAGCCATACTTACTAGGCTCCGATTTCAGCTCCATCTCTTTCCCAGCGACACAGACTATGATCCCTCGCAGCTTCGGAAGGTATTCGTCAAGAACCTGACAACGATCAGCCCTCGTGAAAGTCTATGTAGCGCAGTTCATAGAACCTTGACGAGCCTCAAGTAGTCCTTATCGTCATCTTGCGTTCGCTTGGTTTCTTTGAGGATACCGCGTAGATTGGCACGCGTCTGAGTCGTGTCTGAGAGATGGATCGTGTGGGCGTTGTCCGGAGTAGTGTCCGAGCAAAACTCGGAGAATGAGATGGCACCAGTAGTCGGTAGTTCGTAGAGATACAAGCTCATGATCAAGTGCGGTATGCCAAGATGTTCGTCATGTGTTGTCTCCCATCGGCGAGTCGGCGACCGAACGGCGGGATGAAAATTAGGCCGCGAGAAAGAAGGTTGGTGAAATACAAGCGCACGGGTTATTTACACAGCATATAAGTGAGCATTTCAGAGATGTGAAGCAATCGCATCGAATGATAGTACAGAATGTGACAAACAAGGCTCAATCAACCTTGGGAATATGTAGACTAGCAGCGCGCGCGAGTCGCAAGATTCTTTCCGCCTACGATGCTGATGTGGACATGGCTATAAGATGGGCCGTAAGATCGCTCACCTGTAGGATCATGGGCTGGTCGATCATTTCTCCTTCCAGTCCTGTAGCGCCACGATTGAGTGAATGTTCGCGTTGCATTGCATGAACTATCTTGGCCGCACGCTCGATTTCTTGTTTGACCCTTTCAACGCCCAAGAAAAGTCTCAGACGAAGGTAGGCTTACCGGCCGATGTCGGGACGAAGGCCGATTGGATGGTATCTACTTGCGTCGGATGAATAGCTTGCTGAACATGATATGAGATGAGTTCGTGGGAGAACATGCGAGAAGCACTGGCCTTGCCGGTGAAGCCTAATCGACGACCGTCTTGACATTCTTCTTTCAGGTAGTCCAGGTCCTTATACTGCACGCATACCTGGAACTCGACATCAGTATTCGATCTAGAGAATTCAAAAGGTCAGTCACCATGTCGATAGCTTCGAGGCCGAAGGCTTTCGCAGCAATGACGATCGAGGAGCGCGTGGTCAGCAACTCCGTCCTGGACGACGATCGCAATATCCCAGTATCTGCACAATCTGTGGCTACATCAGTCAAAGGAAGAAAGGTTTGAGAACAAACGGATCACAATCTTCAGCGGCAAACTACAACCTCAATGAGTACGAGCTGGAAAGAAGGGGCCCTACTTACCAGTAACGCAGACAGAGAACTTCCTCTCTGACCGCCCCCAGCTTTCCACGGCGCAATCGTTCTAAGATTCCACATTCCCAGTGCACTTTCAATGCTGGCAACCAATCTGATGGGAGCGCCGGCCGTTCCACTAGCTTCACGAATGGACATCTCGACAGTATCCAGAATCTCGGCCGAGTGCACTTTTGGAAGTACTAGGCCACCCACAGCCCCCGAAGCCAGCTTGAGCGAGATGAGAATAGACTTAGGGCAAGGAATGTGCTTGATTTACGATCTTGGAAATATCCTCCGCGAAGTAAGGCGTCGTCACCCCATTGACTCGTACAGAAACGCGTTCTCTGGGTGGCAGGTCGGGCTATCCGACACTTTAACATGCGAACAACGCAGGATCACCAGATGGTCGTAACCATACCCTTGAGAGGAATTTGGACAGACGTTCGCGAGCAGAGCTCTTGTCCAGCGCAGTGGGGGGTACACTGTCCTCTAGGTCGTATATAATCATGTCTGAATCGTTCGATAGCGACTTTTGGAGCATTCGATCGGAAGAAGCAGGAACATAGAGGTAGGATCTTCTGAGCGGCGCATCGGACGCATGCACCGGTGCACTTTGGCTCTTGTATCGTCGGGAACGGAGGAGCTGCCTGTTAAACCGGAAACGAGTGATTGAGCCGAGGCCTGCCCGGGAAAGACCATGGAGGTGACGACACAGAGTCTGGGAGGACATAGTAACTAGTGATCTCATCACGGGCTTTCGCAGATCGCCCGTTTAGGACGACAGCTATGCCCAAAATGAGCTGTGACACCCGGCGTGACAGGCTACTAATCTTACTCGGCGCACGCCTTTAACACGTTCTGGCTTGCCTCATCTCTCGGAGGCTCTATTCTTATTTTTGTTATGATGATACAATCCAGCTCGGAAACGACCGCTTCGACAAGCCCTATCAGTCCTTTCTCCTCTTTTTCGGTACCCAGTGAACCCACTTCTGATGGTATAAAACGAGGCCCACCTCCCCCTGACCGTATGTGTTTACCACTTGTGCAGAACAACCCGACTTGGGAGCCTTCGTCAATGTGTTCCATGCATGGAATCAGCTGCAGCCAACACGCACATTTACACACCGGCCGCAGTACTCCACCTCTGTCTCAACCTCTTCCGAGTCCATCATGGAGCTCGAGTCAGACGACGCCTCTGGATCGCTATTGGTCGGCTCCACTGTGTGGACCCACGGCCCCATCGCCTCGTATCTGAACAGCATCTCGGCCGCGACGAGCACTGACCGACGTTCTCCTAGCCCAGGCTCAGGATCCAACACAGAGGGTGCCGCAGAGCTGGACGAATCGGGTGTGC